AGTGACTAGTGAGGGGTCCCATTCACTCGTAGCCTTTTTCTGGCACCTTGGGTGTTTGTGATATAGCAGAATTTAAACTGGAGCTCACGACGATTCGCCAGTAAACCGCAGACTTTCTGGGCCGCGGCAGGCCGTCGACCACCGTTTATGTGTGCTTAAGCACATGCTTTCAGCACATGGGGTGAGGGTAGCAGTGCGCCGATGCCTCTGTACAAAGTATAAGGACCGGCGCCAGTGCATTATATATACAGCGCTGCAGAGCCCCGAACGGGGCCAGAAAGAATTTGGCAGCGCGTTTGCCACGCAACCTGAAAAGCTGCAGCATGTAGTGTCGCGTAGCACCGCTGTAGTGCAGAGGCAAAAGCAATCGGTCCAGTCCTGACAGGAGGTTGCCACCATCGTGGATTACTTGCCCTTTATCCCGTGGGGCCGTGTCCTAGGCTTCTCACGGCTTGGCCCTGCCTCCCACGAAAAACAGATGTAGCCTCATATGGTGGTTGTACCGAAATTTTTGGCACTATAGTACTGTTTGGGTTGCTTCAGGTCTCATTGACGAGGTGACAGGCGCAAACTTCACGGAAGAGTGAGCCGATCATCCTTGGCTTTTGCGAGAGAAGTTTGCCACTTCTCGCTACCGCCCTAGCAGTAGCATGAGAAGACTTGTCCAGCTATACAGCGGCGTTTGCCCACTCTTGTGGACAAAGGCGCACATCCACACACTGCATGCAAATCACATCAAGTCTCCAAAGTTGCTAGCTGCTAGCTTCCATGAACATGCGTACAATGCCTCTCGGCTTATCCCAGCAGTTTGTCGTCGATCAGATCTTGGCTCAGATTCATGCTGGGCCGGGAGACTTTGTGTGGGTAGTAGACCCCAACGAAGTGGCAGATGCCTCAAGAGATGAAGAGCCAGAAATACACTGGTGTGCGTTGAAAAAGCGAACCGGCTGCCCCAAGGCCAGGTGATGTTCGCCGTCCTGGCGCTGGCTGTGGTAGTAGGAGCCAAGCAGGCTCCTTCAGCGGCTCTTCTTGACCCTATTCATGTTGCGAGCCGTGAGTCTGGGTGCATGGCTTACTGAGGTAAAGATCCACTTGCTTTCCACGGAAACAACTGCCGGGCTGCTGCGCGGAAGTCTGCACCTCATCAAGCCGTCATCTTGTCTCCGTATCGCTCTCGTGGTTTCCAAACTGCAGTGTCAAGCGCAGGAGCAGAATTTCAGACATGCTTCGGAATTGGGAGCTGCAGGTGCAGAGACAGTCCGAGCTCTAAGAGCTGCCAAGGATGAGTCCGGTGCCGAGCTGCATCCATGTACAACCCATAGATGAGACTGAGTTTCGCTGTGCCAGGGCAAGGCTTCATCACAACACAGTCGCTCTCTCGAAAGTAAGAAATGAGCACCAGATGCAGGCCGGAACGATCGTTTCAGCAGATGCCAGTGCAACCCATGGCAAAAGTTGCGGGACAGGCGCTCAGCGATTCCAGTGCTCCGGCCCCTGCGCCGGCGCCAGTACTTGCCGCCTCGCCAGCTGCTTTACTCGGGCCGACTGGTCCGAAAGGGCCACGAGGGGCAAGGGGGCCGAAAGGCCCCACTGGGGAGGCAGGTGATGCTGGCGAAATGGGTCCTCCAGGACCACCAGGACCCACCGTTGTGATGGGCTACAGCACCTATGCCAATCCTTACATGATGCCAATGATGAACCCGTTTATGGGTGGCATGCCTATGCCGCCGGCGATGCCGCCAGCAGCAACGATGCCGACAGCTCCCACAATATCTGCAAGCAGTGCAAGCGCACTCTCAACCAGTTTGGGCACTTCTCTCCCTTCCGGCCTGGCGATGCCCAACATGTCAGCCGTAATGGAGGTCCAGACGCTTGGCAGCCTCTAGCGGCGAGACTAAACAGGCCTTTGGTCAGCCCAGACATGTGACTAAGGAAATCTGTGGTTAGCGCGTACTCCGCGGCGGCAGCCAAACCCGGGTCTGCAGCTCCGCTGCCTTCGGCCTCCGTGGGGTTGGCGGCCGAGAAGCCACGGGAAGCACATCATGAAGGACATCCAAACTCAGGCAAGGCCAGCAACATCAGCCGATGCTTCTGGCAACTAGTGACAATCAAATGCGGCTGGCGACGTCGAGCCTTTCTTTGCCGTGCTGCTTCTTTGTGCCCTTGTGTTGCCTGAGGGCTTTCCGGGCTTGGAGTTTTCGCAGCAGTCGGCGCGCAGTCGGGAATTCAACCCATCGTTCTTGCTTCTGCAGGCAGACAGACAGTGACGACACCTCCTCGAAAGATGTCAGCGGAGCCCTGGTTGCAGTCACGTTCCGCATCGTTCCACCGACAAGACCAGCAAGTGGATTCTTCGTCCAACTGAGGCTTCCTCTGTTCGCGTCGCTGCCTCCAGCAGCTCTGGCAGCCACTTTATAGAGACTATGCGGCGATCCGTCGGCAAGGCACAAACAAAGAAGTCCAGAAGATGGGGGATACTTTCGGTAACAGCACGTCCTTTTGACGAGTTGTCTTGCGTTCAGATTGGACCTGGACTCCCTGGTCAGGCGGAGGAGATTGGGTCATACGTGCCATTTGCTGCTTGGCTTGAAGCATTGAAGCATCCGCCACAAAAAGGCTGCCCAGCTGTGCGAATTGTCAGGTCCCCTGGGGTCTGGTGGATGAAGCAGTGAACCGCAGCGGCATAGAGTGAGCGAGAAAAGCCAAGCAAAAATTAGCTCAAGGTTGAGCTTGGCTGCTACACGTGAAAGCGTGAAAGTCATGCGACAAAGCAGATATCCAGGTTGACTGTGACCTCAGATCGATGCTGAGTCGAGAAAATTCTTGGGGTCGGAGAGAAGCGACTTCAAGGTCAAGTGTCTCCCGTCGTATAAGGGATTTGACCCATTCCAATCCAGTCCGTAATGCCAGAGTAGTGCGCATGGGCACACAGCTGCTTTATGCGCCGCGGCGGCGGCAGCAGCAGGGCAGATTCGCATCACGCCGGGTACGGGGGGCTTTCAGTGCCTCGTGCATGATGAAGTGTAGTTGTGGAGCAGACAGGACAGTAGCCTTCATGATGCCTTTCAGGCTTCAGCACGCCATGCCACAATCGCGAGTCGCGAGCGTGCAGCTCGTGCACTTCTAGATGGTTTCTATATGACTCTATGACTCTTGGGTGTTGGGATAACAGTTAACCCCTAAAAAGGGGACAAGGCAGGTCGTTCCTGATGGTGTTGGCTATGGGCCGTGCGTCCAGTAAACGTGCGCGACGGGCTGGGTTGCTGGGGCTCTGGGCTTGGGGGTCAAGGCGAGAGACCATTGCGGGGGTTCTGGAAGTCTTTATGTTCTCTGGGTCATTAGCGTGTCATTCGGGGGTCCCAAAGATCCCTGGTCTCCTAAACGGACATTTAGGAAAACTCCCTCAGAATTTTCGTGTGCCTGGTGGGTCAGACCGAAGAGCCCAAATCCAGCGCGCGGAATATTGGTAACCCCATTCAAGAACCTGCAAATTTTGCGATAAGCAACTACAGGGCAGGGGTCTTAGGGAGGTTGAAACTATGCAAACCATGCGATTGACGCCTGCAGCAGGGGTCGGGGAGAATAATCGTTTCATGGGCGACCCCTCACGACTCACGAGGCGTCCCCTGCACATCCTCGCGAGCCAAAAGCAGTACTTACACAACCTGAGCTATTGAATCTTCGACGTGCCCATGGGTAAGGTGTTATTTCGTGCTTTCCTTGGTACCTCCTGCACGTGGTCATGACACGGTGCACTTGTGCTGCAGCATCTCTTCAGCGCGACATGTCCCAGACAAGTAGACAGTAGAGACCCTTTTTCGGCCTGCGCACGCCACGAGCCCAGATGCGGTGCTACTGCAAGTAGCTCAACCGCACTCCTTCTCCAAGAAGATTCCCAGGCAGAGTCGGCCTTTCGGCCATGGTGAACATGCAAATGTTCCTGAGCTCCCCTGACTTGGCGACGCCGCACGGCGGGCCTCCTTTCCAAGGCTGGCGGAAAGGCACCGCCTTGGCACGCCGCAGTCACACGATTTCACACGTTGTTCGTCGCATGAACCACTTGGTGCGATTATGTTTGTGAGGCTTTGGTTTCGGACATAGCAGAGGTCCCGGTGGATATGTCCGGCCCTTGGCCATCAACTTTTCTTGACCGCTGTATGTTCGGCGCGCATACACTTCCAACACAGCTCCGCAGTCTCTGCACCCAGATGCACGAACCGTCCATGGTTCTCAAACTGAAGTGCAGTCCGAAGTACGACCGCACTCTTGCAAGCAGCTCCTTGCTTGCAAGCCAGCTGCATAGGACATCACATCATGGCACTTTAAGTGCCGCTCGGCACGATGCGGATATGGGAAGCCATGCCACCGTCATAGGCCATGGCATGACGAAGTGTTGGGGTATGATAGCTTGTTCCCTTCACAGGTGCATTCTGGAGAAAGAAGTGGGAGCTTGGTCAGGCAAACAGCTTCGGTATCGGGGAGCGTGCCATCCCAAGATTTGCACAGCAGGGACGCTTCCAATGCGTGCCACAATTGCAGACCAGGCCCTAGCTACAGCAGACCGGAGGATGCGGATGTGGGTCCAAACACCTATGGCGACTATTCCAAGCAGGTTGACAAGGCCAGCGTTGGAAAGAAAAGCTGCCAGCTCTCTCAAGTTTGGAGCTGTGGCTGGTGACAAGGTGAAGCGCAATGCCATCCGACCTGGCATCAAGCTGAAAGAGCGCTTTCCGACCTTTGAGGATGGTACTTGCCAGATGATATGTAGCAAGCGTAGCACAGTACCACCACAGTCTTGCCACTGGCGTCAGTTCGAGTGAAGGAGAAGAAGCGGGACTCAAGATCCGGCGTCAGTGGGCCTGGGCCTGCAAAGTACAACACCAGCATACCTGCAGGCCTGGATCTGTGCACTGCTCTGAAATGCTATGAAATGCTACTACTGTAGCACTGCATTTCTTGTGGGCAGTATCCACCTTTCTCAGCTCGAGTGCTTTCGAGCAGTGAGGCAAGTCCTCTTGGGTCTACCCTGCCAGGACGGGCGGCACCGTGTAAGTGACAAAATAACTCAGCTGACGGTAACAACCAAAAATGGGGGGTAACAAGCGAATGCCAAGCCAGGAATCCAACATGGTCCCTGGGTGCACGCACCATGCTGGCTCAAGACAAGGAGTGCGGGCCTCAGGGAGGCAGACTGGCCACAGCCAAGCATGCGAGTCCTTTGCACAACCCATGCATGTGCCAAGGACTATGGGAAAGCCTGGCCCCGACGCTTACAACTGCGTCACCCAGCCTGGAACAAACTCACCAGTTCTGCACTTTGGCCAAGAAGTATTCATTCAGTTTGTTGTTGAATGGGTGTTGATTCTTCGCTTTGCCCACCGTCGCCCACCGCAGCTAGCGATCCAAGGCGAGGCACTCTCTATGACATCACGTTGAAAACCAGGACGAAGGCTTCAAGCTTTTTTCTCGGAGTCGGCGGATCGTTGTCCCTTTGCCCTCGTGCTCTGGAGGTTCATCAGCTTGGTGAAGCAAGTCCCGGGCCAGCACGCTACAACGTTCAGGGTGAGCTGGCGAAGTGCCCCCATGCATCGCTTCATATCGACTGGAGACAAGCCATATGGACAAAACCTTTTCCCAAATAAGCAAGGCACCCCCCCACCCACCTTCAATTCATTGTTGTTTAAAAGCCGTGGCTACAAGATTCATGTCCCAGAGAAAGTGCCATATTATGGAAAAGAATTTTTTCCCTTGACAGCTTCAAAACCCAGGCTCCGACTCGACATTGTACTAGCAGACTAGGGCTAATACAAAATCACGAACCAACGACTACGCCGACGCATGTCTTCCATGGTGCAAGGTGATTGGGGTCGTTTGTTCACGATTCCCATGCGTGGCAGTTCCCCACGATCGTTGGACACGTACTGCTACTGTGGTGCAGGTATGGCCTCGACCAGAAGATTGCAAACGTAAAGGCACCCTGCGTACTTTCGTACGAATGCCACTGTTGCGTATGGTACTGCCATGAACTTGTCAGGTGCCGCGGAAACCGCCCCCATCACCTGGTATGAGCCAAGACCTCGGTGTGCTTGCGAGCCCATTGCTCCTCCAGCTCTGCTGCCCCTGCCGGCTTTGCCGCTGCTGGTGCTAGCTGGTGCCCGGAAAAGTGCGCTTTCCGGATCGACCCTCTCCGAATCGCGGTTCTAGACGTCCCTCAACTGGGTGGAGCATCCGAAGGAGAGATGATATCACACAGAAACAGCCAACATACTGCCAGAGGTCCGAACAACAATTCAGCCTGCGCTCGAATCTCAACTCGTCCATCTTCTTGCTTTGCACACCCCTGTACTACAGAGATGATCAAGACAACTGGCCCTGCAGCCAACTTGTCTTCTGATCTTTTTTCCGCACGATGATGGTGTGTGGTCCGCAAAAACCGCGAGTAATCCCGCGATTTTCCGAGCAAGAAGTTTTCGAAGCAATTAAACTATCTCCAGCAGGACGAAGCTGTTGTAAACTCCATGCTCGGCGTGTCGGCTGCCTGGACCTGGCGACATCTCGCGCAACAGATTGTGTTCGAAGCTACTGAGACGTCGCTCCTTGAAGCATCCGTCTTTTACCAACACCTTGCACGCATGAACTTCGGGCATCAGTTAAGGACTCAAGGTTTCGGTTCTTGCTTTATTTGGTGGTGGTGGTGCTGCTGCTGCTGCTGATGCTGCTGATGGTTACTTCTCCTGCCTTCTCGATATGCCTCACCGCTGGCAGAGGTGTAATACTGGAAGGTGAGGACCTGGGTGATGGGCCCGGCTTGTTTTTGCAGCATCTCGCATCCTTGTGCAGCTTGTATTGGCTGAACATTGGACTGCCTTGTGGCCGTTGAAGGTCTCGAGGTTGACAGGCCTGAAGCTCGGGGTTTCTGAGAAGAGAAGTAAGATGAGCCACAAGCAAGCCCATGACATTTCCGTGCTGAGATGTCAGTTCTTCCCTGTAAACCTTTTTAAGCCTTGTTCACTGGTTGACACTTGCAGGCTGACGCGTGTTGAGAGCTCGCATCTCTGAGAGCCCAATCGGACTACGATTGACGGCTGTTCAGACTGCGCTAGGATTCCTGAAGGGAAGGTTGTTTCAAGCAAGCTCACGTGCACGTCACGCAACAAGGAAAATCAGCAGCTGCATCAAGATACCTGTAGACCTGTAGGACCTAGACCAAGATGTTGACAACTGATGTACGTGTACGGTACTAAGTGGAGTCGTAAGTTGTTGTTGTGCCTTCTTGCGCAGTGACTGCACGCTTCGTTCGCTTGATGTGTGTCTCACCACTTACTGATACAAGCTCTCGACCACATGCATGGCAATCTCCAGAGGTCCAATACGGCGAGCAGTTGTCAAAGCGACGAGTTTCCTTCCGACTTCCGTATACTGAAGCCGCGCGTACTCCGACAGCGAGATCGTTACCTTTGCAATCGCTTGACATCGAGTAGCAACATCTATCCGGTCGAAGAGGGTCGCGCCCCACGTTGCGCTTTGCCACTGTCCAATGTTGCAGGTCATTTGGTCGTTTCCATAGGTTGCCTTCCTGCGTGCCCCCTCGCTGCACGAGCGTGATGCAATGTTGACAGCCCGCGCGCGGGCCGCTTGTATAGGTGGGAAGGGTGTTGCCTGGGATTGCCTCCGTTCCGGTAGCGCAGGGGTCTGTTGTCATTGAGGAAGCTCCTGCTAGAAGCCGAGCCAAGCCGAATCACAGTGATATCACGTGCTTTGTGAGTCCCAAGCCACGAGGGTTGGCAAGTCGCAGCTGGCTCCAGCTTGAAATGCATCGGTTCATCCGGTCAAGTCATCGAATTAGCACATGTTGCGAAGGTAGCATCGACAAGTTATTTTTTCATAAACTCATGTCAGTGCTTTTGACCATCTAGCAGGAATTTCCCGTTGGCCGTTGTGCGCCATGGGAGCCTGCGTAGCAAGTGTGCTTTGGACGCAAGGTCTGTCAAGAGATAAATTCGAGGGCACCGGCGACCAGGTAGGTCACAGAGCATTTTTGCTTGGCAGAAGCGGCATTGGGCGATGGAGGGGGGGAGGTTTCAATAATTCTCGGCAGTGTGATCCTTGGCTTCGGAAGGGGCATGATCACAATGGCCAACGTGGTAGAAACCGCGCACTTTCAACACATGTGTTGCACTTTAAAACGACGTCAGCGCATGTCAGCATAAGAGCGAGCATGGCTTACGTTCAGTCGAGTCCTTATCCTGCACGTCTTCTGCGAAATTCTGCGCCACGTAGCTCAGGTGCTCCCCTGCAAAAGCAGCTCTTTAATGGGGGAGGTTGAAACTGTACAGTCAGCAAAGATGGCAGGCAGGGCATCATTTTGCATGGTATGCTGGAGAGGGTATATTGCATGCAAATATGTTTGCCGGAAGCTTGCCGCCTTCATCAATGGTCAATGGGAGATCTGCTCAACTTAGCATTCATCTAACTGATCAGCTGACTGGTCCAGGCACAAGTATCTGACGAGGCTGCATGTGAAGTATGGTATATCACAGCGCAGGTCGCGTTCCCGGTGTCACGGTGTCCTTGGAGGCTCCGCTCCCGGCCATGACTGTGAAGATTTCAGGGGTGGCGGTTGCACTCCCAAGAGTTTTGCAGGCTGTCAAGATGGAGATCGCAGAGGAGGCTGGCAGTCCCAGTCCGCTCCTTCAGGCGCGCAGGGCGCAGCTATGCCCTTCGCATTCCGATCCGCATCCGTGCACATGTGCAGGCAGTCATGGCGGGACGCAGCTTAGATATGGAGCGAGCCCAGGCGTGAAGGGGCTGAAGCATGTGGGTTCAGGGCCACCATTGGCCACACGAGCTAGTCCAGGATGCACCACGAAAGCCCATGAAGCTTCAAGATGCTCAGAGCAGAAAGGCACCTGCTGAGAAGCTGCGGCTTTACCCTACAGGCAATTGCCCGAGAGATTGCAAAGCCGGACTACACCATCGGCCAGTATTTTCAGGAAGGGCAGGGCAAGACACGGCATGTAGCAAGCATGGCTGCGTGTGACAAGCGCGTCATTCTGACATGTGAATCGCTTTGAGGCTGTGTTTCGTCAAGCTGTCTGCGCCACTTTCTGAACCTGCTGAGCAACTGAGGACCTGATGGCCACTTTTCCAGAGCTTCATTTGTTTGGTCTCGAGGGGCTGCCTGCTGGCATTCTTTGGTTTTGTCATGTTGATGACAGCCTGTTAGTTAAAGTGTGTCGGAAGCTCCCTGATTCGCATTCTTGTTCAGTGGGCTTGTTCCGGGCAATTTCGTTTGCCACGGTACTCTTTGTGCAAGCAACAAAATGCGGCTTCTTCAAGCTGGAGGGCCGGGGCACATCCTAGGATGTCTGTAGACACGCTGGAGTTCAAGCGTGATGTGCTCTTGGCTGCATTATCCGTAAGCAATGCGCCTGTGGCTCCCATCCACTCCATGCTTGTCGTATCTCTTCCGACATCTGGTGCAGACCTTTGTCAGGTTCTATATGGTGGAAGAGTGGCCGGTGATGAGTTTCAGCGTACTGTTGGTGCATTCTTTGCCATTTACTGGTTGCTGCGCTGCTGTGCAGCAGAGGTATTGGCAGTGCAATGACGTGGTCGCCTCTGTGCAGACTTGAACATAAGCCGCAATTCCGAGGTTCGAGCATTGATGGCAAGCATGGTTTTTGTCATGGAGTTGACGATTCATGGAGGCCACTTCGTGCCGATGGCAGCAGTTAAGCATATGAGCCAGCCTTTGCACGTCAGGCCGCTGGCTTCACGCGAAGGTGAAAGCGAGAAATGTCGTGCCACCTGTCCGCGAGAAAGCCGATGATGGTCCTGCGGAGCATTGCACGGGCACATGCAAGCCGGAGTGAGGTCTCGCCACCATGTGTGCTCACTCTATTATATTGGCGCGGACAAGTCGCAACTGTCTGCTTAGTCTTGTCCCCTGCTGGTCGAACAAAGGTTTTCTATGACGACGACACGATCTGGAATTATTTTCAACACTTGATGCTCGATGCAGGCAAGAATGGCCGGAAGAGAGGGGCTTTGAGAAAAACACTCTGATGACCTGGGTAGCATCAACAGCCAGTGTGAGAAGAATGGGCAGAATCAGAGCAAGATACAGGCCCACACCCGCATTCCGGGGCAAGAAACAGCACACGTACAAACAGGCAATAAGTGCGAAAGCCAAGGTTAGTGGCAAGTGGTGAGAGAGACGACTTGATGCTGAGACATTCACCAAGTGCTTAGGGTCCTGGGCCCATTCCCAAACCTGGTTCCTACCCGAAACGAACTTAATGACAGAGTGCACAGAAACAGCAACCATATTGTTACAACCATATTGTTACCAAGGTGCTTCCTGACTGTTCAAGACAGTCCTTGCATGAACAGCCTAGAGTATGGCCCAGTATGGCTCTTGAGAGTTTCTACGCTTCAAAGAATGAACGAGATTGGCACGCAATCAACTTGCGGTCTTCGTACAGTACAGCCTGGGTCCACATGAACTAGAAGCATGAATCCCATCAACAACCCCACTCAAACCGAACTTTCATGGGGGTCAGTGGAACGAAACTCTCATACAGCCTTATTTCACCAAGCACAGCTTCTAATCGTTGACCTTGTCAAAGCAACCCAGGAAGAATCCTCTTGTAAGCTGTTGTTCCTAGGTCCAGAGGGCTTGAACAAAGAGAAATCTCGATCTATTTGTTTGGACAGGCTTCAGGGCCCGGTGACACATGTCTTACCAGCCAAGAGCAAGAAGCCAAAACATGACAGGTTTCATCCCCATGAATGTGTAAACCAGTTGGATATGGAGGGGGCACGCTTTTCCGCGCTTTTGAAAAAAGAACATGCACGTCATCGCATCCATAGGTGGGAGTTTCGACTTTCTGGCGTTGGTTTGTTGGGAGGCGTTCTCGTCCAAAATGGCGCAAAGCTGGAAGTGGACTCTGAGACAACTCTTGCACTCTTGGTGCTGACAGCAAAGACCTCAAATCAAGTCCTGAAGCCGAACTGCTGCCAAGACTTTGAACATGCACTGTTGGTCTGAGGCGCTGCATGACGTCATGAAGGTTAGCTTGCTGCTGCCGGTTGTTCAGAAGGTTGATGCCCCGTACCGTGGTACAGATCTCAGCTGGTCTTTACCATCGTTCTGAGTTCGGCTCGGCTTGTGACTGGTTCGGTATCGAAGGCTATTGCGAGTCGGAAGTCATTGCAGACCATGACTTGGAATCTTGTCTCCGCCAAGACAGCAAGGGGTGAGGCGGAGTGATGAAGGCTGAAAGCATGAAGTCACTCAGCGAGACACGCACTCACACACATGGGCGCGCTGAGGCTATATTTTATCTTATTGAGCGATATCCACAGCTTCTGCCATCATTGAGCCACTCTGAAGCGATGTAGTCCGGTGTCTTGATTTTGCGCCCACCCGAGTTCACTGCTGCCTTTCCCAGGCAGTTTGAAGCCAGACTTGCAAGCATCAGTGCAAATGGTACTGAGTGGGCTTGCCTTCAACAACGGCCTCTTGCCCCAACTGTCTATCTTTGCATATTGACACATTGCACCCTTCAGAGTTCCACTGAGTTGCTTTTTCGTTTTAGTTTTGCTAACTTTTTACCTCTCACAGTCATATGGTGACCTCCGTAAAAAAGGTTGGTTTGTGCAAGCAGAGGCACCTCCAGGACTCAGGGAGAGACATCCCTCTGAGAGTGGGAATGAGTGGGAGACCTCCCTCCCGGGTCCCTCCCCGCAGAGTTGACTCTGAATTTCGCAGGAGCCGTCCTGCGGGGGATCAAGGCTGCGATCACATCTCAAAACAAGCTGCCCGGCAGCACCTGCACACCGCCTCACTGCTGACAGGGGCTTTTTCGAAGCATACTCGACCCCTGACTGCACAAAATGCCAGGTCTGATCGGAAAGTGAGCAAGCGCGATTTGAGCTTATATTTCGTACACTGGTTGACAGTCTGAGGCTCAGACTGAGAGGGACTCACCCAAGTCACCCAAGCATGTGCTAGGGACATGGGCAGAGTTTGCCCCAGGATCTCGCGGGGGCCGAGCCTTCGCCATTATTTGGATGCCTTAAGCTCACTAGCCAGCTCCCGCTTCCCGTGCTGACGCTTGGCAGAAACGTGCCGAAACATGCCGAAAGATCAGAACTCCAGAGGGCAGTCCGAGAGTGACACCAGAAGGCATGGGATGACTGGTTAACATCGTACCCTTAAACCCTAAACCGTAAACTTCCGCAAACTCCAAATAAGGAAGAGCTTCATGGAGTCGGTCAAGCCACTGACAAGCACTGATTTGTCTTAGATCTTAACCTTGGGATGTCTTTTGTGTTTGTCCATTTTTGGGCGAATGCATTTGCGTAACGAGTACAGCATTCGGGTCAGGTATATTCAACAACTGGCGGAGCGTTCTGAGACGGAGGTCATGGAAAGCTACCTGAAGGAGCGGACCTGGAGCTAATCGCATGCGGGGCTGATCGAAACGCTATAGCCTTTTCTTGGTTCTCTGGGTTTTTTCAGGAGTTGCTTTAGTCGATACTTTCTGCCTTGCAATGCGAAGGTGGCCATTGCGGCAGTAGCAAAGGGGTGACCTCCCTTCGCCCCCCCCCCCCCCCCCCCCGCCCTCGGGCCCCCCCCAGAGCTCTCAGGCTTCCATCAGCGCCCACAGCTGGAGGGCCTCAAGTTGCCTCCAAAACTCAGCTCGTATAGTAAGATGAACGAACGTTCACTTTCCAGCTATGTCAGTGAAGGGAGTGCCGTATGACGACAGCAGTGCCCGAAACCCTGGCAGCAGTGTCTCTCTTAAGAGGATCGCTGGAGAAATCACGTGCCGCCGATGGGACCTCTGCCGAGCGGGCCCGAAGCTCTCGTCAAGCTGCGGTTGCTTTGCATGGTACAGCCGGCTCAGTTTGACTTTAGGGCTCCATAGCCTTGGCGAGAACTGACCAGCAGCTAGCACTGCCGTCCCAAAGGACCCGTCAGCGTAGACGTTCGCAGACACTTGTAGCTGACTGGGCGCACAAGCAAGGCAAAAGTACTGTAGCAGGCAGAAAGTCAGGCGCTCGAGTCGCAAGAAGTCGAAGTGACTTGGGAGATCTTGGGAGGCCCAAGGCATGGCGTCGCAAGTGCTGGAAGCCTTCGAGAATCTCAACGAAGCAGATAAGGAGGCAGAGCGGTTTGCTACATCAGGTGCTCCTTCGGAGTTAGGGTGCTCCTTCGGAGTTAGGTGCCCAGCAGAGCTCTTGGAGTTAAAGGGGGGGGGGGGTTTACATGAGCTCTCACGTATTTACGAGGCGTAGATGCGAAGAGTTTCTGTGCCAAGCATCTCTGGCCCCTGAACAACGAGATGCTAGCCCAGACTGACCCGATCGGTGCTCCATCAACCAGGTTCTGGCTTTACATTTCACATTCCCAGTCGAAACGTTTTGGGTTCATCATGAGCAACAAACAGCACGCCGAATGATCAACACAGGTCCTCAGCATTGAAATGTCGAGAACAGGTGCACTTCTCAGATGACCAGAAGTTGTCACAAGGTCTTGCTGAAGGTGTTTGTTGCCAGCCGCTTCGTGCCTTTGTACCAACTCAGGTACGGAAAACCAAAGCTTCTCAGAGGGGATTGTGCCACCCAGCGTGTCTCAGCAGCACCAGTACTGTTCAATCGCTTGGTTCTTGTTAAGGCTGTTGAGGAACTAAAATGAAGTTACTGCAATGCGAGTAGCATATTTGTTAAATCAACTTCTTATTGGAACCGAGTGGAAATCAAGTAAATTGTTAAGAATCACCCAGCCTGTCCTGGTCAAGGTGAGAGACTGTTTGGCGGGGCCAGCTTTCCTGGTTTACTATGGCCCGGCATTCTTGCAGAGGCACCTCTTGCAAAATGTTCGGGAAGCCACTTCTCTTGCTTGAAATCATGCAGTCCAAATGAGCAACCCTGCTACCATGCTACAGCCCGGTTGCACCAAAAAGACATGCTCGACAAAGAATTGACCGTGTCTCTGCCCACGCTGTGCAGCTTGTAAGCTCGCTACAGCTGCGTCATAGCATCTAACCGCAGGATGCACAGTGACAGTCCATTGAGACGTCTGGAGATCCTGGCCGAAATCTACCGCCGTGCTCGCAAGCTATGGCCCGCGGCTGGGCGGCACACATGGCAGGGGCATCAACTGCTTAAAGTGGGGTCACAATTCTGCCTTGTGCAGAACATGTCCCTTTTTTGCTGAGGCTACCAACGATCAAGCCGCAAGCTTCGTCCTCATCCGGATCGATGCCATCACCATCCAGGCATGCACCAGCTCGGCCTTCGGTCTCCATGATCCAGTCAACTGATATACCAGGTGCTTACCAGCTTGAAAACTGGAAACATGGGTACTGCGGGTGAATTCGCGGCACCCAATTGCCACGGTATCTATGGATGCAACACAACCAGCGTTCCTGGATGACTTGAAGCCAGCTGTTGGGGCGCATGTTGTACTACTGCGGTGTTACTACAGTTTAACAGTGAGTAGAACCATAGCACCATCCCCCTCCGAAGCGCTATAGTCCGTTGCGGCAGAAAACGCGGAAAAGCTGCATGCTATATGGGCGTACCTAATTTGCGTAGGCTAGATCTTGAACAAAGGTAGCTGCAGAATTCTCTTGAAAGCCCATCTGCAGCTGCAGCACACGGCAGAGAGAGAGCGAGAGATGCAGCGTACTGCGCAGGGAAAGTGGAGCGCATCGGATCCTGAACTACTACTCTTGAGGCACCTTGGGTCATTTAACGGATGCAGAGGCAGATAGCCATGGGCTGGCACATCATTGGAGTTGATGCGGTAGTTGCCGTGGTTGCACAACCATCTGCTTGGCTGAGGATGTGCAGCAACAAGCAGGCTGTCATTGAAAGAAAGCCGCATGCAGACCCAAAGACGGCGAATATTAAAGAGGACCCTGACACAAGCCATCGTACCTTTCTAGTCCTAGGATACTCAGTGCAGAGCCACAAAGTGCCAGACATTGCTTGCTTTTGCCTCACGAGTTCGCATGCCTTGTAGTTCTGTGTGTCAGGAGAACACGGAAGTCTTGTTCGCTCCGGATGTGGTGAACAGTCCCGATGGCGAGGATATCTGCTCTCAAGAGGACTGTCAGTCCAGCTGTATATGTGCCAAATGCCGGACACAAGTAATCCCGCGATATCCCTGCGGCAGCAGGAGATGATCCGACGCGTGAGCAGCGAAATCCTGAATGCTGGGTGCTTCGGCAGCAGCCAGTACCGGGACCAGCCAGTTTCTCGTACTCCCAGACACGCAAAACTTGACAGTTTGTAATTCGCAGAGCTTCCGTATCCTTGCGTCCAGGCGCTGGTACCGCAAAGTGGCTTTTGCTTTCCTGCGCCGTGCTCAACCAGGTGGGGTCCATGTGATCGGACGGGGTCTGCCGGGATAGTTCTATTTCCACGTACTGGAAGGAGAGGTCATCACCACAATCGTGGATGGCAAAGAGGAAACCGTCAACACTGCTGTCGATGGCGACTATGTTGTGCACCCGGGCCAACTTTGGTGCTGATGTTGGCGTCACTGCTGCTGCTGCTCTTGCTGGTTCTTGATAATACTTTCTCGGCTCTCCTTGGGTCTAAGATGGAAGACGATGTAATAGTCATCCTGTATTTTCAAGCAATATTTGTGCAAGAAGCCCTCGCCGATTCAGAAACGATCGTCGAAAACCAAGCAAGTATGAATTCCAGATTTGGCCAGCTACCTGTCCACGATTGAGAAATCACAACTCAAAATCAGATGCCCTCCCTGTCCTGGCTTCTCACAATCTCACAGTGTGAAAAAGAACATGCTTCCCTGAATCCCGACCGCCCACACCCCTCACAGCCCTCCATAACAAGCAGCTTTCCGAATCCGCAGCTTGGGATAGTTCCCGAATCATGGCTTCGCAACCATGAGTGGTTTCAAGGAAATGTCAGCACACCATGCTCAAGTGATCAAGATGCTTCAGGGCTGAGATGGGCTGAGTGACTCCTAGATCGCTGGCATTGCGGGCTCTTATGTGTCATGCCCGCGTACATGTGAAGCGTGTTCCAGACCCTCCCGGCTGTGGTGATCTTGTCTTTGGTCTGACTGTGCTTTTTTGCTGGTGGTGGTGGTAGTTGCACTCACGCTCTATACCTGTGAGGCAAGCCAACACCCGATGGAAAGAAAACTACATCCTTTCCTATGCGACCACGTCAGCAGCCTATGAGCCCCAGACAAGCAATTCATCCACAGCCTCCAAAAAAAAACCGCGAACGGCACCATTCACAGAAGGTCTGCGGCATTGGCATGTAGCATCATGTAGCTGAGGACTTGGCGACCCCGCTCGAAATCCCGCATGGTCGAGAGGACGCCCAGCAATTGCGCAAGGACGGGTACCGCTGCTACAGGCCAGACCTTGCTCATGCTGCTAAACCCACGTGCCCTCAGCCATGGTTGCTGTGCCTGGATAGGTCACGCACGCGCATTCGCGCGCTGCGTGCCACGGAAGAGTTTCTGCGGAGGCGTGGCCCCAAGCTCGGTTCAAGCTTGGTTCAAGCTTGGTTCATGCAGGGGATGGGACAAAGGATCGCTGTGCTGGGAGTCCTTTTGTGACTTTTGTGGCCTCGGGCAGTATGCGCTTTTTGACTAGCAGGGCCTCGCAGGAGATCTCTGGGAAGCTTGGGCACCAAGATGCACCAAGGCACTGCCCGTCCAAGAAGTTCATGGCGAAATGGGGATCACCATGCTCAGTGTCCGACTGAGCACCAGCAATAGTAGGTCTCCATGTGGAGAGCAGTGCATGTGACTGGGTAAGAGGCGTCCGTGTACTCTCGCGCACCAGCGTGTACCCTCACCTCCCGCTTCTTGCAGTGAGGTAGAAGTCGACGACATCATAGCAGCCCAAGTCAGTGCAAGCTCCGTGGTGACCGAGATCTACAGGACCCTTGGATGGGCTGCTCTAGGCTCTTTCAATGGGAATCAAGCTCACTTCACGCAGGATTGAGAAAACGGTCTTCAGAGAGACCTTCATTCCTGAGCAGAAGTGAAATGTTCAGACTTTCTGAAGAGGGCCGTCAGTCGTTTTTAATGAGCATCGCCGCCCTTGTAGTCAAGCAGCGAGCTGCTGCAGGCATTTGCTAGCTTGTTTAGGATTCTAGCCATGCACACGGGTGCACCTCGAAGGCGTGAGGCTTGACACCCTGCAGGGCATTTTCCATTTCGAGCCTTCTAGGCTCAAATTATGGGCCGTTGAGACACTTTTCCATTGAGTGCACCAAGTGCTGCTCAGTGAACCGTCATGTCGTCTCTCGTTCCGTATCACTTGGGCAGCCGAGCAGCTTGCACTACGCAACCACCTGCGCTGCACAATTTTGTGCTGTTGCAGATGATTTCAAGTCAGGTCTTTGACGCCTGCATTGGCATTCGAGGACCAGAGCAAAAAGGTGTCAAGACACTGCGTGACTGTAACATGCTCAGACTGTAAATGCGACTGTAAAATTGTTCTTGCAAGGCCCCGCTCTGAGTTGTGAGCCTATCAGCCACTCTGGCTTCTGTGTCTAAGACACGTGCCCGGGCGTGTAGAACACCCGATGCTGCTATGCTGCTGCACAGCAGATGACAAGGCTCCACCCGAGGTGGAGTCTGAGGAAAGAATACCAGCCACAAGGCCCTTCTTCCAGACGTCCTCAGCCTTCAGACCAGACTCGATTCCCGACGTCTTCTGGGTTTCCGTGTCAACCAAGGGCAGCCCACTTGGCATCATCTTGGACGTAACAAATCCTGAGTGCGCCGTTGTGAAAGAGATCACGAACGGACCCCTTCGGGATTGGAATGAGAACTGTTCCGAGGACAAGAGGGTTACCCTGCTGGATCGAGTAGTCGAGGTGAACGGAGTCCGTGGTTCGAGCATAGAGCTGGCAAAGGCGCTCGGGAATCCGGACGCAACGGAGTATTCCATCACAATGCAGCGACCGGAGGAGAGAAGAGTTTGTCTGATCCGTCCAGGTGAGATCGGTATGGTCATGAACTACAAGAGGATTGGTGCCGTCGCTCCCTGGGTTTCAAAGATCACATCAGGTCTGCTCAGTCAGTGGAACGAGAGCATGCCGGACCAGGCTGTGCATGTTCATGACCGCCTCATCGCTGTGAATGGCGAGAAGGGCACAACAGAAGAGCTGTTGGCTAAAGTTCGTGCCGACAACGACATACTTGAGCTCACGGTGCTGCACTATGCAATGGAAGCCTGGGGCAGTTAGAGGGCGCTCCAACATTTGATAAGATGCTTTGTTAGTCTGCATTGTCGGGGGGTTCCGGGCAATCCGCAAGAAATTGCGTGGTCTTGTCTTTTTCCAGTGACCTTCCGCCTCTCCGGCAGTTTCACCCACAAAGACTGGAAAAAGATGGTGCGGGCCTGGCATGTGCTCTTGTGCTTCTTTTCTTGGTCAAGGCAATACAGGTTCCCCTGCCGCCCCTGCCCTTGATGTCATGTGCTCAAGGTGTCACTGAAAGAATGCTACGCACATGAAGGCTAACAAGCACATGCATCTGGGAACCAAAGGTGGTTTTCACACCAGGCTTATGGTGTTGCAGTGTAGCATGTGAGTTACTGGAGAGAGTTCGCCGCTCGACTACCAGACTCCACTTTCTTTGGCCGGCGTCGGGGATGCCGTAAATTGAATGTCTCCTTCCCAGTGGCTGCGCGATAGCATCTCTTCAATAGACAGCTTCTGCTGGCGCCAGAGCCATTTTGCCGCTCCCGTGCAGTATTCTATCCCCACAAGCACCTGGGCGCAGATCTAGCTCCTTTAATTTTTCTCAGTGTGCGAGCTAAGACTTGAAAAGCATAGTCGTCCCGAAACAACGTGTGTTTCCTGAATTCTGCAGAACTTTTCTACTGTAGGCAAGTCTGAAAGAGTCAGGCAAGTGGAACCGGTACGAGCCGCTGCGGAGGAAGTGGAAACTCGAGGAGAAAAGAGACTTTGCTCGCTTAATTCCAGGCGACGCACGCACCTACAACTATTCAGAAGAAAAGCCCTACCTGGAGATGTACGCATCGTCTCTCTACTGCATCACCAAGAAAAAGGGTGGATGGGACTGCTTGCGGCACTATGAGATTTTGCTGGCGGGCTGCGTCCCATACTTCTTCGATATTGGCAACATGCCCCGCCACAGCATGGTGCATTTTCCTCATCACCTTATTCGGTTGCTCATGCAACTTCCCGGGGTGCCCAGCGAGGATGTCCTGGCTGCCAGGTTAAGCAGGAATGCAAACGTTGCGATTGATCGGGCAGTGTTTCCACACGGTGAGTACGCGAGCTTGCGGGCGGACATGCTGTCGTTCGTGGAAAGTCATCTGCTTTGTTCACACAGAGCTTCGGATCTTTATGGTTTGAAACCACGGGTATTCGTACACTCGCAAGCAACCATTGAGAAGCCAGTAGACTACTTGAGGGACCTGCTCTTGGTTGGTTTCTTGGAACTCGGGCATTCCGTGTATACCACTTTCAACGCAAGCTACATCTTCGAGGATTTCGACGTGTCCAGTCTTGATGCCCCCTGGGGCGTGTCGTACGGCCGAGGGTTTCTGTATGAGCAAGCTGTGCCCTCGACATACAGGCACCTCTATACTTTCTGGGCGCGCGGAGATCCTCCTCCAAAGGAACCTTTCTCATATATCAAGACTACTTACAACAATAAACCTTACCCGATTGAGACCTTTTTCGACAAGCCCGTCGACACCATTGTAGATGGTAATGATATTTGGGGAGCGCACCCTGAGCCTGTCGATGCAGCAGCTTGGTACCGGCGCGAACTCTCTGACTGCCACCGATTGAGCAAGCCAGCACAGGTAGTGCTTGGCATCTTGAACTCAGGCAGGTCGAGCTCGGCATCCCTTCCCCCCCCCCCCCCCCAAAAAAAAAAGCCCGACACCCCTCTGCAGGTGTCCTGTGGAACTGTGAAGCAGCTCCGGGAAGCCACTTGTGTCCCAGCCTGCATGATGCTGCTCGCATCTGGAAGTATGGCTTGCAGATGACCGAAGAGTTGGGAATGCAGACGCAAGGTTGGAGGAGACTTGCCCAGTGTGGAAAATTGCAGTTAAGCCACCTGCATCACCATGTCATCATGACATATCATGACATGTCATGATTCAATCATGTTCTAGAGTCTAACAGCTATGAGGGTTGTTCGAAGCCCCTGCCTCTTGACAGCAGGTCATGCTTTGCACGTATGCATGTATGCTCAGGACATCTCAGGACCCCCAACTGACGCACAAGGGCGAACATCATCATGTTGCCAGTGTACTGTGCACAGAGTGGCCGCCGCCGCCCCCCCCCCGCCCCCCCCTTCAAGCCATGGCAGGCACAGTGCGGCAGGTGTAAGTTTGGCCGAGAATAGGAAGGTTCGGCTCTGTAGACTTCCATTGTGAGGATTTCATGTGCAAACTGCGATGTGTGTCTTCAATATCATTTAATATCGAAAGGTCCTGAATGCTAGGACCCAAGGGCACACCCATATGTTCATTGAACCCCTGTGACCTTGAACCTCTGTATCAGCATGTATCAACAGATGACAGGGGGAAACTGCCGACCAAGAGCTCGGCGCCAAGCCGTTCTTCAAGTGTAGAAAGTCATGCCAGCAGCCCCATACGACAACAACTTCTGTCACTTTGCTGGTTTTGCGCATGTAGCTTTTTAACAGTTTCATGTCGGCAGGCGTTGGAACCCTGGGATTTGGATCTTGGGGTGTTGGCCGTCAGGCATTTCGGGGCGTGTAGCGATTTTTCCGGCAGGGTTCAACATCTTACAACCTTGGGGGGGCATTCGCTTGGCCTTTCAGGGTGGTCGCGGGACTTGCGGAGCTATACCTGCCGTGAGTGCGAGCATAAAGACACAGAAGACATCACTCAACAGTGACTCAGCAGACTGAAAACACATTTGCAGCAAGCCCCGGAACGCCGTCCAACAGATAAAAAGGAGGCACCGAAGCGATGCAGCACCACCCCAACCCATTTGCCTGAGCGACATGGAAAGTTGTGTGTTTTGAGGGTGGTGCTTGGCAGGAACAGGGCCATGAACATCTGTTACCTTTGCAAAGATGCAGTATACGCCCCGTAGGCAAAAGAACACGCCTGGAGTCCGAGCAGTTTGTTGCAGAGAAGGTTTGCTGCCAGATAGTTGTTGGATGCTGTTGGATCAAGGGTGGCATTGTATTCACGGGTGACAGGAGTCCAAGTGGCACAGAACTCCTGCTTGACATTGAAGATTACCTCCGCACACCTCACTATTTCCCCGATTTTGTGGAGAAGTTTTTGATTCTGGCCACGAACTCACGGCAGCTGATGGAATGGTACCGCCAAGTGGCCGAACAAACCAGCGATGCTCCCGGCACGAAGGGTCCCGCGGAGGTCCCAATCACTCGCGGGTGAGGCGGGTGAGGCCAGGACGCCGGTTTTTCCGCCCGGTAAGGGAACGCCACTGCCACCAGACACTGTAAGACACACGCTTGGACCATCTTGGACCTAAAGCTTGACAGCGGAGCCAGAGAAGAACGAGGGCTATTCCGGGATCTTCATGAGCTTGTTTGCCGTGCCGCTGCATGGTGCCAGGCTGAGGGGCCGTTGGAAAGGGACTGCATCATCTTGGCGCTTGCCGACTTGCACTGTTTGGAAGCAGAGCATCCCCCAATCTTGGCGTTTTTCAGACATGTTGGAGTCTTGGAGCCAAGGCTGGCAAGGACTGCGAGAGCCCGGTATCAGTTGCCGAAACAGGGTACTCGTGCGGCCACATGGGCCACGCCGCAGATATGAGCCCGGCTATGCAAGGTTCGAACTTGAAGCTTTCGTCACGACTGGCTCTTCGAGGAATGCTCGCGGGATGCCTGCCCAGCCGTCCGGTTTGAGTGCACATCCGTTGCCCGCGACCATATGCAGATCGCAAGATGCAACCGTGTCACAACTGGTCATTCAAGCACTAGCCATAGATGCGACGTTTTGACCGGGTTGCTGCCCAGGGTTTCGTCGTTAAGCGATGCCGAGGCATAGAATGGGCAGTGCTTGCCATTGCTTGAAAAGATTGTCCCTCTTCCGAAGGTGGTTAGGATGCTGCGTGCCTTCCCTGTAGTTAGCACTTTTCGGCTCACGTTCCGACACGTGACGAAGTGATGCAGATTGTAAACCCACGCAGCCCTAAGCCTCATCGTCTCGGAGGGGGAGGGGAGGGGGAAGGGGGGGGGGGGGGGGGGGGAAATACACCAACATTAGTAGGATGATAGCGGTCTAGCTCCTGCAAAAGCCACATGAATGAATATGATGAGGTTTTTATGGGGGGGATTTTTGACCGCGCTGAAAAGTACTATATACAGTCACTGTATTCACGCGCCTATTTTAATATACTCTGACTGGTGCATACATGATGTTTACGCAGGCCACAGCGGCATCCAGCCTATTACTTCATGCAGATGTAATATGTATATACACAGTATGTACAGGCATCCTTAAGTAGATAGAGTCCGGTTGTCGTTTGTGGTTCGAAGTCCGGGTTGTGTCCCGACCTGATATGCCTGGGGAGCATGTTTCGAAATCTGGACGGATTCCCGACCCCATAGATAGAATATGGTTGGGGGTTAAGAGGGGGCGTACTTGCCGTCTGTCAAGCTGGTCACACACGATAATGACTCTGGCCCGGCAAGATTTCTCGAACGCAGTTTCTTTGGACAGGTACCTAGAGCAGTCTGCGCACAAGCCCTGCAAAAATGGCGCACATCGCTGCACTAGGACAATTTCAGCAGCAGCAAAAAGCCACGACTTATAAGTAACTGCAGCATGGCAACATGCTTCGTCCTGCACGCTGCCTTGCGCCAAGACTTCCCCTGCGGCAGTGGCTTCACGCGACAGACACAGCTCAAGGCCAAACCATCAGAGTGCTCCACTGGAAGCTCCCTTGAAAGGCTTTCGAGGGGTCCAAGGAGTCCAAGGGGGTAAGGGTAGCTGGATTTGCTCACAACTTACGCCTCATAGCGATGTGTCAGCTCAGGAATCTTTTGGCCGACTGCTTGGCAAAGAGCTCATCCTTGTTGAGCTTGCGACGCGGATTCCGATGTGAGGCGGATGTATTGTTGTGGGAACGTCGGCGCGAACATCTCAAACAGGTGCGCAGCGCAGTGGCTGTTTGCATGCGCTGACTCAATCCATGCATTTTCCTCACCGTTGGGAATTATTCTGCTGGTCGTAAGTTTAGTAATGCAAGGCTCCTAAGGCTGTCCTAAGGCCAGGACTGGAACAAAGGGTCGCGGGCACAGATGCTCTGGCGATGAGCTGAATGATCTGAATGGCCAAGCCGAATGCATGAAGTGTAAAAAACACGTGGGATTTGGTGTGGAGCAGCTTGGGGTACGGTTGGGGGGAGATCCCAGAGCACTCGACACACCTCCGACCAACAACCGAGGCGTCCCGCTCCTTGTTGCACTGTTGACCCCTGTTTCTAAGATGGCAGGAGATCCTGCAGCACGATGCAGATATTCTGGGCCTTTGCGAAGTGGATCATTTCGAGGATTTCTTGGAACCGGAGCTTTCAAGAGCTGGGTTCCAAGGAACCTTCAAGCGTAAGCGCGGGGTCCTTAGTCTGACAAGTCAGTCCTTTGGATGGGCCCAAACCGCTGAATCTCCATGACTGACCCTCAACGCTATCTCTGTGGGACATTTCATTTCTGCCATGTCCTTAAGGCAGTCCTGCTAAAGATGGCGTCGCCGTATTTTGGAAGGCAGATAGGTTTGAGGAGGGCGTGCGGCGAGCAATCTTCTTAGAGCAGCATGGTATATGTTTAACAATGCTTTGACGTATTTTAGCGTAGTCGCACCATCTGTTTGCCATGGTCGATCTTGGCCTTCGTGCACAGGTATGGTCGTCATCGCACAAAGGGAGCACAGGTGGCAGTACTGCAGCGACTGTGGCCCAGGGATCGGCTGAGTGGCAAGGGCATCGTCGTTTGCGTTGCGCACTTGCGCGCATCGGCCGACGATGGCTTTCGCATGCAACAAGCGTCCAGTTTGATGTCTGCATTGAAAGATTTTTCTCGCGATGATGAGCAAGTTATACTGGCAGATGTTAACAGCATTCAGGGTGCGGACACGAACGAGGCAGAGATCATGAACGTCTACGACTACTTTTCTGCTTGCGGTTTGAGATGTGTGTACACAAGCATTGGGCGGCAGCATGGCTGCAGGATCCCAAGCTACACAACTTGGGCTGGCTGGGCGTCAGGTGATTTCAAGGCTACCTGCGATCACATCTTTGTTTCTCAAGGAGTCCATGCAAAGGCGGTGCTAGATGTTCCCAATGCAGAGGATCTGGAACGTGGCTTCCCGGAAAGACTGCCAAATGCTCTCTTTCCCTCGGATCATATGAGTTTGGTTGCTGACCTAGTTATCCCTGACACTGCGCGCGCTGCGCAGCTCGCGTAGCCAAAGTTGCTACGCGAGAGCGGCCGTCAAAGCTTGGGTTCATGTGTATTCATTCGTCCAAGTGCTGTATGTAAACCTTTCGGCTTGTAAAAAACACATGTCACGCGCTGCCGCCATGAATCTTGTCTTCGCAGTTTTTGTTGCAGGAGGCAGATTGCTGGTGACATGGCACGCTTTCGCTCTGGTTTGGCCCAAGTGGCGTCGTTCCGACGTGTCCGATACTGAAACCTCCCTTCAGAAACTGCCTCAGTGCTTACATACTTTTGCCTTGCGGCACTGTGGCGAGCACCCTTGCGCCGTTGTGCCGCGTGATGACATGCATTGCCCTACTTCTGCTCCTGTGGCTGCCAAACCTTCAGCTGTCGGGCGCATTGCGGCGCAAGCCCCAGGGCAAGAGTTCTGTATTTGTCCATCTCTTCGAATGGTCCTGGGGAGATGTAGCTCGAGAATGTGAGGATTGGCTCGGGCCCAAGGGTTTTTCTGCAGTACAAGTTTCCCCCCCTACGGAACACATTCAGGGCAACCAGTGGTGGACCCGGTATCAGCCAGTAACATACAACCTAACCAGTCGATCTGGTGACGAGGCTGCTTTTGCCTCAATGGTGAAGCGATGCAAGAAAGCCGGAGTTCAGGTTTATGTGGATGCTGTGCTCAACCACTGCGCAGCCAGCAAAGGCAAAAGCATAGCAGGCAATGCATTTGGCGGGCGAAGAACGCCCATATATAGCCCAGAAGATTTCCACCACCTGCCTTTTGACGTCACTGGAAACTGTGGCGTCAATAATTTTGCAGACGCTCACAACGTGCAATACTGTGATTTGCAGGGATTGCCAGATCTTTGTACCGAGTGTGAAGGTGTGCAGAACAAAATAGCCGCCTATTTGAGCCACCTGGTGAAGCTTGGCGTAACTGGTGTCAGGCTCGATGCTGCCAAGCATATTCCGAAAGCAGACCTGACCAAGATCTTCGACAAAGTTCAAGACGGGAACAAGCTGCTGAAATATGCCGAGATCTCCAAGGCGACTACGACGGACGTTGTGACAGAAGAATCATATGTGGATCTGGTGGATGTGATCGAATTCAACTATTCGCCACAGCTCGACCAGGGCATTGTAGAGACCGGTCGTATGTCTAATTTGGAATCGCTTGGAGGGTCAGCAGACCTTGTGCCAGGTTCTTCTGCCATTGTCTTTGTGGATAATCACGACACGCAGCGTTCCAAGGATCTGAGTGTCCAAACAATCGTAGCAAGCGTGTATGCGTTTCGGATTCGACTGAACCATGCCTGACTCTGCCACTGTGTTCACGGAGGACAGCAACGTGGCAAAACTGACCTACAAGTCCGGGCGGCTGTATCAACTTGCCAGTGCTTTCATGCTGGCCCATCCTTATGGGTATCCTCAGATCATGAGTTCCTTTCATTTCAGTGAGTATGACCAAGGTGCCTTTGCCAGCACACAATTCAGTTCCCAACAAGTTCCAGAGAGAAAGGGCACCACATGGAGTTCATTGTAGCTCTGCCGCTTTGTTGACATGAGGCCCACCGACAGCTTCAGTCCACAAAGAGGATGGTGATCTGCGATGTGGAGAGTTTCAGCCATGGGTTTGCGAGCACAGGCTGGGTCCCTAGTTTCCCTACATTCTGGCTTTGTTGAAACACGCCTCCCGGCCTGCCCGACCCGCGTGTCTGCTGCAGCAGACTCGGAACATGCCGCTAGATTCTAGATGGTGGTTGTGGTGCTGCAAGTACAGAAGACATGGTTTGAGTTCAGGGTGTTGCTGGTTTAGTTTGCTCTGGGCGGGGGTGCAAATGCACGGATGCACCGGGTACAGTACTGCAGCGACGATGTGAAGGACAGAAGGCCATATGAAGCGTAGATTCGGGCTGGACTTGATGCTTGTAGGACCCCTGCGCCGCACAAACCCGCCACTTTCCCAGCGTGGCCATTTCAAGTAACATAATCCACAAGGCTGCGGCAAGCGTACCTAGGAGTTGGTGGTACTTTCGTCGTGGCTTCGGTACAGCCCCCTTGGAAGTCGGGTGCCAGTGCGCACCCCATGAGATGAGCTTCTCCCAATCCCCCTATTGCCCATCGTACTCCCACGATGTCTGCTATTTCTTTTTTGGGTGCAAAGCGAGTGGCCAACTGCATGAGAGTGTCGGAACAGAAGAGTCCGGCGCATTTCGTCTTGTCAGACAGGTGGCCTGGCATCGCAAACATGGTGGCATGGCGTCGTACTGCAGCCGACAACCCCGTCACGCACTTCACGGCATTGAGTGAGGATACGGTGTCCTTTTGCCGTGGCAGCTTGGTGGCGTGTGGAATACGCAGACATGGCACAGATATGCAGCACGACGACAGAAAGCACATTGATGAGAGATCTTCTTCACAAGCTGCACCAAGGTCGCGTGGCATGCGTTGCGTTCAACCGGCAAGAGTCTGACGAATGGGTGGTTAATCTCGTCGTGCCGCTTGAGCCAGGCCAGGCGATGCCAGGCGACCAGACGTGGATACCAAGTCTGCGTTGCTTCAAGTCAGCGGTGCCCTGCTTGTGAGGCGACTACTGCGACGTGGCGAGTTCAGATGGGATTGGATGCCCAGTGATCAAGGCGCGATTTGCCCGTGAACTCGCTGCAAAAACACGCGACGATGTGGACGTGCAGTCTGGCATCTTACTCGTGCCTAGACAATCCTAGACACACACTCACATGTGTACAACCTGTAGGAGAATTTCTATATGCACCTCCTCCCCCCTTATAACATCTTATAACCTAGTCCAATGCCAGTGAGAACTAACCATAATTCCTGGTTGGCTCTTTGAAGTGTACTGCGGGCACCATATTCGAACAACCATCGGGGAAATTCCAGCGGCATGATCGCTACCGTACCACCAATGCCATAGCTTGAGCTTCGCATAACCGTCGGCTGAGTTCTATCCGCGATACTCGTATGTACTGCCATGCAAGCGGTCTTACTTGTTATTCCTAGTTTGGCGACGGTTCCATTGTCTTCTACAAGTACTGTGGTCAGCAGCAATAAGCATTAAAATGTCGAAAGCTTTGTTTTAGGGAGGTGTTATCCTAGTATCGTTTCCGGAAGAAAGGCGGGCGGCAAGCACAAGAATATGCATCCAACGTTCGTGTCGCCTGCTGCAGGCTAACTGCATTCCTTGGAAAGGTGGAGGGTGGGGACGTGGTTGGAGCAAAGTGCAGGACTAAGAATAACATGTTCAGCCATGCGAACAAGGTAAAGGTCCCTGGTTGCCAGAAGAAGTTACCGCCCAAGAACGAGGCACTGCAATCTCGCAATTCAGGACACCGGGTGCCCAGCAGCGAAGCAAGAAGAACAAAAGGTGATATCTTCATGTCGCTGCGGATGTTGAGTCGTCACATCCTGAAACGGGGTAGCTTAGCTGAGGGCCCAACAATAACCTACAGTATGAGTACAGATCTGCGAGAGCTGCTCATGCTATGCCTGTGACGATTGCTGAGCTGAGCGCGTAGAGGGTGGTGGCCTAAATGAAAGCACACTTCCAAGTCGCACGTTGAAGATGATTAGCAAAGGAAAGAGCTCACTGTGGCAAGGGCGAGTGCCAAAACCGAACAAAGTTCAATCAATGGAGATATATTTTTTGCAGTACGGTGGTCGAAAGTAGTAGATTGTAGATGCTCAGGAACAGATTCTCATACTGCACCTTTGATTCAGCTGATCGTGGTCTGGTTGTCTTTGGAACTCTCGGTGGAGATCATGCGATAACGTGCACACTCACTCACGTGTCCAGGTGGACAGCAGCAAGACGGCCAAGCTCACCGTCCCGGCGCAGGGGTTTGTGGCTATTCATGTGGGGGCACGCAAGAAAACTCCACCAAAAGAAGACGACGATTTGGGCGAGGCCAGGCGGGACTGTCCAGCATCAAGGGCACTGCAGATCCAATTTGCCTTCAGGTTCAGCTTCGCACGCGCACCGAAAAAGGTGCATTCTCAATCAGCGCCCCTCGGCACAACAGCGGCGTTGTTTTTTTTGCACATCGTTGCGACATACTAAGACACCAAAAAAGCATCGATGCTGTCCGAATTTGCTCTGCACTGCATGTGGAAGGTTTTTCGGAAGCTATGCTTGCGGAAGCTGTCCCGTTCAAGCAAAACCTGCGGTTAAGCAGGTTACGCATTCGTTCTGAAATCGTTCGCGTTCCGCATATTTCCAACGACTTTGTGATACCCTGGCGTTGATTCGCTGAATGTTGCCTGCAAGCTCTGTCACTCCAGGTGCGCCCACAGGCTGCAGGTCTTGTCTAATTACGACTTCAATATGCCTTAATTTTGAGCTCCTGGGGTGCTGTGGGACTTCTTGCGGGATACGATCAGACCTTGCAAAGGCAGGACAGTGTTACGCGCTAGCGCCGCGCTCCTGTAGCTCGGCGCTAGCAAACTCTCAACGCAACCTACCGAGGAAGATCTTGGCCCACGTGCCACGCGGATGTACAACGGTCGGCATCACAATCATTGAATGGAGCATCTTTCAAGGGTGACATGACGTGGCGCCCATGGAGCGGCAACGTTTGTAACCTTAAAGGCGTGACAGATACCAAGCTGCCGCAGGAAGTATGGCGTGCAACGAGACCCCTCTCACTGGAAAGGGTTGCCATTGTGGCCCGGGGTGCCCATGCCGTCTGGGGCCGTCTTTATATATTCATAAAGAGGTAGGGTTTCCTGAGCTTAGTTCATGTATTTGCCTCCTCCCCCCCCCTCCCCCTTCCCCTAAGCCTTCCCCTAAGTGATCCTTCATTCACCGGGCTAAATTATGCGAATTACTAGAAGTACGAAACATCAAATATGATTTAACTCTACTTAGACTAACTCGATCATTGAACTGTCCTAGTGTTTATCTACCCAAATAAGTTAACGACAGAAGAGTCATTTGGTGACTAATTTGTTCAAGTAGCTCAGAAACCTGCGCAGGCAGGCGGGGGCGCGCGGGGTTCGCACGGGGCCGCAGAATATTGGGCACCGCGCACTTCAGAATTTCCTCAAGCAACATGGGGTCGATGCGGACGCTGCTCATGATAGAGTGTTTTGGCAGACCATGCGTATCCGGTGGCTGCAGTCGCTGTGGGTGATGAAATCCGGTGGGGGAAATGTATGTTTTCAAGCAGTGCGTGATGCATATTGTGGGTTGCGCTGGCGAGATGTTCAGGGTACATTCTTTGGTGGCGAGTGGTTTCTGCAGATTAGGCATGGTGCCGTTGGTCTGTTGACTTTGAGAAGAAGGGACGGCTGGGTGTTCGTGCGGCAGGAAGTGGATTCGCAGGAAACTGCAGCGGTTGTGCGGGGGATCCTGCGCTGCGTCCTGGAGAATGTCATGCAGCACACGTTCTATCTTCGCCTCTTTGTGTGTGACGATATTTTGCTTCAGGCTTGCCGTGAAATGTGTCCGATGTGTGATGAGAATGCTGAGAAACAGAAGGTAGTGATAGAAATGTCTGAATGTCCTGAGCCGTGGTTGGAGAGAGTGAAGGCTGAGATGACGGCGTCTGAGGTCGCCTAGCGGCCTGATGCTCCAGCATGACGTGGCTTGTAAGTTTCACGCCTGCTGATCTGAGTAGGTGTTTTGGCTGCCTCACGCAGTGGGACCTTTGGGATGCAGCGGCAGAGAGAGAGAGAGAGCTCAGAAACCACTTGGCTAAACCAGTGACCATTTCTCAAAATGTTGCGCCCCCCCCCCCCCCCCCCCCGCCCCGATGAAAATGTAGATAGCCAAACTCATTTCATTGACACAGTCCTTGGCTAGCTATGATTCTCAAATAAACAATGCTTTTCTAAACGTGGCCAGGGATCATGGAAAGTGAATGAAAGACTGCCATTGGGACAACCGCTGGGCCAGTTGAGCAGCAATTTTGAAAGACAAGACCGATTATCATAGTTATTCAGTGAATGTAGGCAGCCCTAAATACCAAATGAAAACTAGCCGCCCGTATGATAGTTGTTGTTTTCGGCGCATCGGTTGCTCCATTCTCGCAACGCTACAGACTGAAGCACACATAGTCACAGAACGCACAAGGTCATATCCACAGACTGTGGTTATGGCGACGCATGCAAATATTCGCAGCCAAGGCGTGATGAATATCATGCAGACGAGGATCCACGCAGTATGTATGAGATACCCCGGCAGAGATTGTCATACACCCAAGCATTCAAGTAGTAAACCTTTCAACCGTCAAGCCGTGAAACCGTTAAACGCTTGGTTTCGACCCTATGGGAAAACCATTAAGCCTTTAGAAGTTACACCTTAATGCGTTTGAACAGCCTGTTTCGAGTTTGTGGGAACATCCGTTAAACCTGAAAACCAGTCGTTTCCAAACCCGGAAAAACCATGTGTCATGGGGGAAAGGATGTGCTTGATGGTTACGGACAAGATATATATGCTATATGTATATGTATATACACGCATAGTGCACTCTATGCAAGTTTTGTTTATTTGTACACGTTTGGGGCGTGTTTGTTCTGTTTTCACCACATTTACATTCTCGCTGTTCTAGCATCAGCTTAGAGAGCTTGTTACTGATAGCTTGAAGATCGAGGCGGGTGGCGCTTATCAGGAATGGTGAGTCCTGGGGCCACGAGCAGCGATGACTTGAGATCCGTCCCCCAGCGTTTGCTGAAAAAGACGGGAACGTTTTGGCTGTAGCAATTGTAGCCGAGGAGTTTGGTGACGTGACAAAAGTCCAGTGATGGCACATTTCTGCTGCACGCTCTTACACAAGCCGTGCACCTTTGTAGCCTTTGAGCTCACAGACACCGATGGCAAGGCTGAAGCAGTAGCATCAGCTTTAAACTTACCAACGTCTTGACACCAGCTAGCACCCCAGATGGTGCGTGCGCAAACTAGCCCCATCGCCGCAATGGGAAGGGCATCGTGACAAGGATGTAGCAACTTCCCTCAAACGCATGCCCTTCAAGAATGAGGAGAGCGTGCGCACCCCAGCATTCGACACATCTCTAGTTGCAGCCATCTATGTGTTTGAGTGTGTCCAGGTCGTGGCGGAATCTTGGTCACATCTTCCACATGCGTGACGTTTGCAAGCCTTACCTGACCAGCGTTAGTGTGTGTGTGTGTGTGCGTGTACGTACGCATGTGCATTGTGAGTTGTGCGTGTTGTGGTTGTTGAGTGCGTGCGTGCGTGAGTGAGTGAGTGAGTGAGTGTGTTTTTTGCGCATGTGTGTGAGTGTATGCCTGCTTGCCAAGCTTGCTGCCGCACAAACAAAGGAGTTAATCCAGCTGCATCTATGCGGGTCCCTAGACGAGCACGGCAGGGAGGGCTCTTGGAAAAGTCCATTGGTGAGTACATTGCCCATCAGTCAGCTGGCTGACTTGAAGCAGGAGGACGGGCATTCCAAAGCTTGGCGTAGATTGCTTGCTTCAATGTTGGGTGGTTTCGCGTGGGTTTCATGCATCCTTTCACTCCTTGTAGCGCCAATAATCTTGAAGACAACCTCATCTCCCTCGATTACGAGTATCTTTGCTGCCTTTGGGTTCTTTCAGCGGGTATTCTTTGTACTCTTTGCAGTCCACTTGTGGTCCTGCACCACACACACCTTGAATGGCCTGTCTTGCTGCTCCCCATGTTCATCTGCCCGAAATCAGCAGATCAACATGATGCCCGAATCAGAGGTGTGGTGAAGGGCGCACCGTATGCTCGCGGTGTTCCCGGCAAAGCCAAGCGAAAACATGTTGAGGTTCAGAAGCATCCCAAAAAAGGCATGCAGTGGACGCGGCATTTGTGAGATCCTTTGCGTTGCCAGCCTCACACGCTCTGTACACCTGGCAGGCCAGGGAGGAGCATTAGGTGGTGGGTTATAAATGCCTGAGGTGTTGTCCAGGCTGATTCGAGGCCTTCCTTTGAGCCCAGTATGCTACCGTCAGTGCCAGGAAATTGCAAAGTTCGTGCCCATCAAGAAGGACACCATCTCCAGCTTTACACGTGAGTCAACTGTCACAAAGATTTACCACTGGCTAATGGCTTATCTGGAAACGCTGCTGCAGCTATGACTCTTTGTGCTCATGCTGTGTGATACAGACGTACTGCACTTACTACACGTCATGCTTGGCCAAGGAGAGCAAGGGGTACCTTTCGTATACTCGAGTGAATGCTCGAATCCTAGCCTGCGAGCTGCTCAAAGAATGGGCATATGAACATCGACAGTGGGGCGACCGAGACATGGACCTTTATGTCGTGTGTCGCTACAGGGAGTGCCCTGACGGAAGAAGCTGCTCATGAACGCGCTTGTGCATCATCGATGTGATCAGAGGGTTGAAAGCCGGAACAGATAGCGGATGTTGCGCTGTAGCCCTCTGCAAAAAACCCAGGCCACTAGAACTCCTTCTGTAGGATTTAGTTGTTGTTGTTTCCTTGCAAAGATGAAGATTTGCTAGAACACTCCTCGAATGCCGTCGATGGTCAATCAGGGCTAGACCAATGCGGAGAACAGTTAGTATTACCCCCCGGACTTCGTAGAACCTACGTGCCGAGACTATCCCTTCGTATGCCCGCCCCCCCTGCCCTTCGTCAAGCTTCGCGTTGCCGTTTCCGCATTCGCGTACCGTTCGTGTGATCCGGTTGCTCCCCCTACTACAGTAACTGTTCCATCCTCGGTTTGCTGTTTCTGGGGAGCAGCCGGATCACACGAAGGGCACGTCAAGGCGGCAACAGCAACGCGAAGTTGGACTATATTAGACGATCAATACTGTATATAGATCGGGAGATGTGTTGGAGTTCTTCCATCAAGAAAAATGTCGTTTTTCTCCATGCAAGAGCCCTATCACATCGTCCTTGGGCCTCGGGCCTCGACATGATAATTGCTCCCTGTCCTGTGTATCGTAACCTCAGAGCCTGAAGTGTAAAGGTCTGGTGCTTCGTCCAAGAAGAAAGGGAAAAAGAGACCCCCCAGACCCCCAGGTTCGTTTCACACCTCTTGTACTTCCATGACAAATGGCCTGGACCTCAGCGCGCAAGGAGTTGCCAAGAAGAATGTGTGAACTGATCCTGCCCCGTTTGCTGGCAGCTTAGGGCCGAAAGTGAACATGGCGCCACGCGAACGAAGATCTTGGGCGAGCCTCATGGTCTCCTGCGCACCAAGCGGAAGGAGAACAACTAGTCCTAGGTGGCTAACGCTAGGTGTTGTTGACACATGAAAGGAGACCTTCGTGACGATGTTGGTGAAAGTCCATGATGCCCTGACCAAGCTGCAGCACACTTTGGAGAAGGACTCAACTACCTCGGGTGATCTCGGGTAGGTTGGGGCGATGGTGGTGGTGATGGTGGCGACAGACGCGGTAATGGTAGTAGGCTTCGTCGGACTGGCAGTAGCGCTCGAAGCTGGTTGCGCAGGTTGAGACATCCGAGTCGAATTGCAGCGTCTTCTTGGGACAGCTGAATGATCCATAGCGGAGTAGAGAACCTGATTTTGTGTGGGGCCGGGGTGAACGCAAAATGGGTCAAGGGTTCAGCATGGCTCCACATTGTTTAGGTCGTTCAACTGGCTATCTAAGGAGCTTTTCCAGCACTTGCTAGATCAGGCACTGCGTAGCTTTCCGCGGCGCATTGCTGTGCCATTCTTGCACTCTGACGAGTGTGAAGCGCACCATTCAAACCAAGCTGCCCTGCAGGCAGCTGGAATTTGTTTCCTCGGACCCATGGAGCACCATGAGGCCCCACGCCCACACACACACAAGCGTGCCCTTACATCTCACATGCAAGCTCCCAGCCTAGGACATCACCTCGGCGCACGGAGACTTTGGAATTGAGTTCCTTGAGAAGCAAAGGCTCAACATCAAGGGTCACAGCGGCCGGGGCCCTGGACATTTCAGAACTCCAGAAAAAATTCCACTGGGGTGTACTTGAAGAGGATGAGCTGGCTTCAATGCCTGCAGGTGAGGTTTTCTGGAGTACTGACTGGGGCCGCTTGTTGGATGCAGCTTTACGACAGGGCGATCCAGATAAGTTTCAGCCACTGGGTGCTTTGGCATAAATCTTGGCCTCCGCGAAAGGAAGTGCAGTTTTTTGCCCTTGCTTGCCGGACACTCTAGGCAGCTGGCTTATCTTCTACCAAGAGAAAGCTAGCCCATGCATCTTGCCGGCAATGTCACTTGTCTCTTGTCGAAACTGGCCGTCGTTCTGCCGCGGCTTCACCTAAAGGATCGCCGAGCTTGTGCATGCTTGCGCCCCTGTCATCCCCTGTCTACTCGTCTGCTCTGAAGTTCAACATAAGTTGGGGCGAGAGATACATGCCAGCTTTCACGTCCTATAGGCACAGTGCTAGCCAACATTGCCTATGTTCTGCTTTTTTGGCGTGACAAAAAGTTCAGTCTAGCAGGGAACAAGCCCATAGAAACTTGGCTAGCCGCAGCATGAGAGTTGTTGCTTAGAATTGCTTTAGATGGGAGGCGTGAAAGCGGCACAATTTTAGCACACCAGAAACAAGTTCTGCACCCAAAGAGGCAAGATGTGCAGATACTATTCGCAGCCGACGCCTCAGCATCCCTCAGACTGTGAGAGCCGCCTTCAGATCCCCTCAGATCTCTTCTCAGATCTCTCGCAGGTTGGCAGCTGAGAGCCGCTTGCGCTCGATTCCCAGGGCCGCCATATTGCTGGGACCGGGTCCTGACACTGGCCCTGAGCAGCCCTCGAAGCCAAAAAGCAATCTGTGGATAACTGGAGCAACACCAGGCACATGGGGTTTAGGGCGGAGGAGCAGAGGGGTGTTCTTCTGTCGTTTTTGGGGCTCACGGCTTCTTGCAAGTGGCAACAGTTGCATCGAGAATCGTGTCATCGTCGTCTCACACCGACACGCGCCCCGGTTTATTGCCTTTTCCAGCTCCAAGGAATACAGGAGGACGATCAACAAGCAGACGCTGGAGAAGCATGCCCAACCACTACTGGAGGTCAGCTGGTGTGAAAGCTAAGAAATTTGTATACTCATAGAATAGCATGAGAGTGTGATATTATAGCAGCATTGCAGTATTTGAATCAAATAGTACAGTGGCTTTGTCGTGCATCAGTGACACGTCTTCGCGATGAGCCATCCAGGCCATTGACGCACATCTGCTGGCGATTGGCGCCAAACCTCCCGAGAAGAATGCGCTGGTGCGTGTCAAGGATGTCCAGAATGTACCCCTCGCTTTAAGTCCACTTCGCGGCAGGTGGAAAACCTTCTGACCGTGGACGACTTTGCCGCCGACACAGCCGTGCCTTGCCAGATCTTGTCCGTAGCACAGTGCACGCAGCTAGCTTTTGTTGGCCGGATGCCCTGCGCCCGAAAGGATGGCAGCCTCTGGGACTTCCTGGGTGAACCGGGAGTGGAGGAGCAAGCTGCAGGAGCTGCCGGGGCTGTTGAGTCGATGTATCTTTGACACCTGCAAAGTGCGAGCATGGCGATATCGGGTCAGAGGACCATCAGCTGCCTCCTCAGCGGGTGAACGCGCACGCGTTTTTTCCGCCACTTGATTGAAACAAGTGATCGACATCAAGCAGCTATGTGTCATGAAACGGATGAACATCAGCTGCGACAATTGAGTCAGGACATGAGCAAGTCCACCGCAGATCAATCCTCCAGGCACACGCTGCCTTTCTGTTCCCTCTCCCCCTCCCCCTCCCCCTCCCCCTCCCCCTCCCCCTCCCTCTCCCTCTCCCTCCCATGCACAAAGCGAATCCCGATGCTTGGCCAGGCATCGAGCGCAGTCTGAGGTGTCCTCCTTCAACGATGACACCTTTCTAGGCGAGGATTCGGCCATGACTGCTCTGAGTTACCCGGCAACAAGCCAGACTTGGTCCCCAAACCTTGAGAATCTTAAGAAGCTAATGTGAGTAGGTGCGACTTGTTACGCACTGCTCTCCATCGTGGTTGCTTGAGGCCCTAGCTGCATAGTTCCACGTTCTCCTGCCGTGTTTCATGTCAGATACTTTCAAGAGCCTAGTTACGTTCATGTTTGTGGTTGAACCTTTCTTCGGCTGGCAGGCGTGCGTACTTAGAGTTGTTGATGATGGATACTCTGAGCTGCGCTAGGGTCTAGGTCGTAGCGACCATTCCTGGAAACCGCCTCAAGCCAAGCCAAACCCTTAAACTACATGTCCGAGCCGTGAGAGTTGGAAGATGTCGCAAGGGCAAACTGCTCGGGGCTTTTATTTCGCTTAGATGCTACAGCACAGAGCTGTTGTACAAGGAGGAAACCAGACGGACCGCCTTCCAGAAAACAACGTAAACATTGCAAATACCTTGCATGGGTATGGGATTGATGCATCATTCCCATGCCCGCAGGCGGCAGAACAGCATCGCGTGAGTTCTGAGTATACACAGGGGAGCGAGGAGGGCGGGGCGGGGGGGGGGGGGGGGGGGCCACACCATCAAATTAGGAGTCGCCGGTGAAGTTGCTGCAGAGTAATGCGACGGTAGCTTGCATTGAGGTCCCGAAATCGAGCTTGTTCGGGCAAAATGGACCGCACGAAATTGGCTGCTTGGCGGCGAAATGCTAGCGCGTGCCGACAAATTCCCATGACTGGCAGAAGGGCCTAAAGCATGTTAAGGTATGTTGGATCCGAATCCATGTCCTTCTGTGCCTCTCGAGGACTCGCAGCGGCTTGGCGTCCGTTTTGCTGCACGACACTGCGGCTAGCATCGGTGGGCTACCCGTGCCGGGCTTCGACGCTTTGATCAGCATCGTTCTGCAGATGGCAGTGGCTCGGCCTTTCTCAGTTGAAGTCAAGGCGTGAGCAATCAGAAGGGCACTGAGGGTACTGCACGTCTGTTGTTGATCAAGGAAGACCTGGCTTGTCTCTTGGATGTTCGCAGGCCTGCTATGCATGCGCATTGACGATGTTTCGAACTGGCGCTGCTCAATGCAGTGCCGGAAATGGTACCGACGGTTCTTCAGAGACTTTCGTCTTTGTCAGGACGATCCTGATCCCACTGGAGGGTGTTTGCATGCAACTTGGAACCCTTCGATCACGACGAGTTCTTCATTCAGCTCTTGCAAGGTTAATGTTGCACGTGGACCATTTCGCAGAAACCTGTCTCATGTCCCTCTGACCCAGGAAGTCGAATGGCAAAGGCATGCTCAGGCAAGAACTTTGCAACTGGGGTCAGTCATGACTCATCTCGGCTCAGGAAAGCGTGGTGCAGTTTCACCAAATTTTTGAAGGAAGGCTCTTCGAACAGCTGAGGCAGGGCACACTCACAAGCCTGGCCGAGCGATGGCGTTTGTTCGCGAGATGTCCTCGTTCTGTGATTCTGTGCAGTGAGAAATGGGTGGTTTACGATATTAGGGCTTCCTTATTATTGGGGTCCTTAGTATAAGGGAATCCTACTATTTGGAGGTCTATATTCGGGATCCTTATTGTCGTAAACCCCCATATGTTTTTTTTCCAAATCCACGGCAGGAGTCAGGAGGCCCATACAGCAACTGCCTATACCCAACGGCCGGAAGTGCAAAGGAGCTACCGCCGTTGCTACCAGTGCCTTGGCCATTTTAACGTCAACCAACCTCCCGGGGCTCTTGCTGATAAATTCAAGAAAAGTTACCATAGGGTCACATAGTACGTGGTGCAGTACATTGGAGTACCTTGTGGTAACTTAATACCTTGTGGAAACTTAATACCTTATGGGAACTTAATACAAGTTCCTGAACAAGAACCCAGTCTTCGTCTACAGCAGAGTTTGAGGCGCGCCCTGGCGCTTCGACGAGAGATTGCCAAGAAGGTCAAGCACTCAACTTGTTCACCCACTTGATACTCGTGTTACCAGTAGGTACTCAGTAGTACCAGTAGCACAAGCAATCGAAAGTGCTACAGTTACAGTTGCCTCGACCTTTGCCTTAGAGCATGTGCGACCAGTAGTGCTCTCCTAGCTCACATTCCAAGGCTGCTGTTTGCACCCAGACTTCCTTCCGCAAATCTTGGGGCTTTTCGGTGGGGTTGCGCATCCATGGCCTTTGGAGCAGGCTGAGATCTTGAAGTTCACGTGTGACTCAGGTGCAGGTGCTGTCAGAAGCTATGCCGCTGCAGTCCAGCGAGGACGAGCAATGCAGCACTCCTGCTGCAAGAAACGGTTGCATGTGCAGATGTCAAGATGTTAGGGGACGGGGGAGGGTTCCCGGCCTCGAGCCGCCAAGCTGTCCTTCTGTCCGTCCAAGGCATCGACAAGCTCAAAAGCTCAATGACAGCGCCTTGCTTGGAAAGGTAGCTCGATTTCTGCCATGTTCTTGCATCTGTTGGGCGCGCGACAGGCACTAGCAAATGCTCTCAGTGCCGGGCCAAACCCATTAGCTCCAGCTCTTACAGATGCTCGGCCGCCAGCAGCCGCGACACTGACGGATAGGCGCCATTCGAGTGAAAACGTGGTGTGCGGTTACGAAGCAGACCAGCGCAAGCCGAACCACAATTTCACTAGACCTCCCAACTTGCCGCGGCAAACGATCCACGGAGTAAGCCCTGTGCTTCTCGTTGATTGAGCTTTGGGCTTTGGGCTGAATGGCTCCAGTTTCCCATACGTCGAAGCAAAGCTTGCCTCGCGAACAAGGAGCATTCCAAAAGATGTCGAGTGCGCTGCTGCTTCCTGCAAGCGTGCGAATGCAGAATCTCTGGGGAGACCCAACAAAATGGCCAGACTAGTTGCGACAACAAGCTGCCGAGATGTGCAAGCTTTGTATTGCAGATCGCCCATGCCTTGCACTGCTTTGAGTTAACGACCGTGCAGCATCTAGGCACCTCGGTGTAAGGACAAGGTAAGGGCCTACTCGTTGCTGTGCTGTGCGGCCGCATGGCTCAATCAATGGAGCGAGACCATCTGTAGCTGGGACGAGGCTGCACAACCTGACCGTGCTGCGGTTGCAAGCTCCAGTAAGTGCAATTGAGCCGGATGCTGGTTTGGAAATGCAACGGCATTATAATGGCTTCAGAGTTTCGTGAGCTGACGCGACAAGAACTGTCCGGAGCATAGAGCACAGTGGGGATGCACTCGCCACAATAGGTGAATGGTATAACCTTAGGCTTCAAGTACGGTAGAACTAGCTTCGCTGCATCGGGATCAATCCGTGCAATTCACCCCCTAACTGACCCTATCTAGTGAATCTAGTGTGCTTGCGGTTTGCTCTTCCAAGGCAGGGGCTTATGCATCAAGAAGGCCCAGGGAAGAGATCGCGCGAACACTGAGGGTGAACTTCAACTTGTCCATAGTAGCCTGGACAGGACTTGGCAGTGCAGATGCCCATGACGCCGACGTGACTTGCAACACGAAGGAGTGCATTGAGGGGCTGCAGACTCACGCCGAGGAGCTTTCAAAGATCCCTTTCTTTGTTCCTAGCCAGAATGAGAAGTCCTCTTGTGGCTCAGTAACTTCCCAGTGCTTCTGCTGGAGACTCTAACCCCCTTCCTGTAGCTGCCAAGGCGTCGTGCAGCAGCAGCTTCGTGTCAGAGTTAGTTCTCCTTGCCAAGCTGGAAACATACCAAGCTGGAGAGAGACTTGGCCAGCATGCCATCCTGATGGCTTGCTCTGTTACAAATGCGTTGCGGGAACAATTGAGCCCGCAAGTGTCGCAAGACACAGTTGGGGTTCTGAGTATCTCCGTGGTTATGCAGAGGAGTCTCCGAAGGGGTTCGAGGGAAGATAGCACACGGCTGGCCTGCACTCCGAATTTTTCTCGCAACGAAGATGTTAGCTTATGAGGTCCTCCTGCTCCTCCTGCTGCTGCTGCTAGATGCTTTCAATAGCTGTAGCACCGCCTGGGTCAACTCACGTCGTCTCATATCACGCCGGTGCGTGGCTGACTTCCCAGCTGTTCAAGTTCATCCAAGCATGCGCAATCTTCACAGTGGTAAACAACAGGGAGGCTAACAGGCCATGGCTTTCACAATCGTGAACCGATGGTGCGTCCACTTTGGGTGGAGTCATTTGATGTCATTTTAGAGCATGACCTGGTATTCGTGCAAGGTCTCGGTGAGGTCTTACACATTGGAAGCAGGGCTTCGGATAGATACCAGCTCTGGATAGATACCAGCGCCCTTACCATTGGCACAGCAAGCCTTTAACGATGCAGCACAAGCAAAAAGCGTGATCGGGCATTGGCAAATCGAGATTATTCAGGTCCGATGGCTGTAGCCATGTCAAAACATCAGTGTGGCGTCCACTACAGAGTCGTCGAATTGTTTTCTGCGCATGCTCCTTGCTAAAGCGGATCTACAAGGAGCGTCCACATCGGGGTGACTTTTCAAGATGTTCACTGCCTGCTGTGTGTTAACCTTCCCCCCCCCTTCCCCCCAAGCTTGCAGACCTGGCAATAAACCTAGCGTGATTTTCCGCGTCGTGCTGCCGTGTCTAGATGTTGATGCTGACTTGGCCGAGGAAAGTGTGGCTCCAGGGCGACGAGTGTAACAAGCGCCTTGGCGCCACATCGTGGAATGACCGAACAGCAGGCGGGCCGGGGCGGCTGAGCGAAGAAGTGTGCTTTCTACAGGCTCTACATCCTGAAGTTGGGGGAAGTGGAGCTGATCCAAGAGGATGGAAGTGTTCTGCACAAATGGACTGCAGGGGCTATGTTGGGCCTCTGCATCATGATGAATGTCCACCACCGCCTGTTTTCAGCGCAAGCCGCTGCTACATGTGAGTGCTTGACCTTGCCGTCCTCCTCGCTGCTTGCTTCAGACTTGGTATGAAAATTAAAAGTTTGCAGCCTTTGGAGTAACCAAGTTGCCCAAACTGTTTAAACTGAAGTGTTAAAATCACACTTTTTGTTTCATGCGGGCGCTCGGAGGCCAAAGCGGACATAGGTGAGTCGCCGAGAAGACACGAACCACAAGAAGCATCCGATTCTAATCCCGCCTGATCTGGCGGGGGAAACAACTGCTTGTGAAACTCATTGTCTGTCGGCAGCGACAATAGCACTTTTGCGTTGCCAGCATGTCAACAGCAACCGCATGCCGACAATCCGCAGAACACCCTTCGGTTGCCGAAGGCGGCTGGCTTTGCGAAAGCATTTCTGGTCCTAGTGCTGCTTAAAACTCTTTGCAGGTTTCAGGCCGTCTTGAAGCAACATCCGGCGGAGAAGAAGCATTTCGTGGAGGTGGCGCAGGCTGAAGCAAAGGCTGCACTGGGTGCTCGACAGCTTCCTGGCAATGTTCATCTACACACCGGCCCAATTGTTGTGCGCACAAAACACGGTTGGGAGTCCTTGCTCTGCAATTACGCTGCTACTTCGAACATTGTGTACAAGCCTTGTGCAACCCTCTTCGGGGCTCTGCGCGTCTGATCTGGAGTTGCTCTCCTGTGGAGGTGGCATGCAACTGAATTCTGCGCTTCTGGCATGTCACAGCTGCAGTAGGGTACTGGTCCTCAGCAAGGCATGAGGGAATCAGGTATCCTGGAATCCTATAATCATCCCTTCAAGGGTTATATAGAACGAACTAAACTTCATCATTCTTGTCAAGAACCAGTAAGACAGGCCTGAGCTCCAGTGCCCATTTCAGATTGCCTAAGGTTCGAATGCCTGACTGGGCCATCGCCAGTCGTTCCGCCCAAGACCGTACACAGGAAGGCATTCCACAGAAGCTCTCATGGCACTCAGGAGGACAAGTCCCCCAAGAAGTCCAAGGCCTTGGAGAAGCTCCCAACTATCGAGCCGATCACGAAGCCGCTTCTTTCAACAAAGCAAGTGTCATCCAGCCTGCCTCTAAATGCCAAGTTTCGACGACCTTCTTTATCGAAGCGCGGCGCGTCGGTGTTGGATGCTGACAGTGGCTCTGACACAGAACTGAAGGTGTGCCCCCAATTAAGCACTCAGAGTGCCCCAGAAGGCATGGTATGGTCAAGGAGCTCAACAGTCCCAGCATTCGGTATGCTGCCAAACGATCAGAGCACAAGCCACCTCATGCCTCCTCAGCTGCCACTTTCACCACGATCATCTGCGGATCGTTCACCCTCTCCATCAGCTGCCAGCAAGTCATCATGCGAGCCTGGGGATGACGTGAGCCCTGCCTCCAAAAAAGCAAACTACTGGAGCCTTGACTGCAAAGTCCTTACGCTTATCTATTGTAGACAACGCTGCTCATACAACTTTTCCGAAGATACTGTGTCCGGCGTAGGTGCGATGTCATCCGGGATTGGTTTGGGTGTTTGGATGCCGACAGCAGTGGTCGTATTGACAAGGAAGAGTTCAAACGCATCGCGCAGAACCTCTCGGCAGCTTTTGCGTGGGATGACCACCAGTCAGCATTGCTCCTTCAGGAAATTGACACCGACAACGATGAGCAAGTGGATCTGCCTGAATTCGCCGATTGGCTCACTAATATTCATGCCACCATGACCTTCAGTCCTGACGGCTGGCTCCAGACATCTGATCTAGCAGACACTCTGCAGCCATTGTACGAGTGCTACGATCCGGATCGCAGCGGGATTTCCAAGGAGCAGTTCCTCCGCACCTACCGCATCATTGCCAACGCATTGAAGCACACCCCAGTGGCCTATCAGAAGAAGGCAGACATCTGGGTACGAGCTGCCGAAGAAGAGTATGAAAATCTGAACGATGGCGGACAAGAGATCCTCATCGAGATTGACGATTTCATCCAATGGCAAGCCCAGCTGCTCAGACACTCAGGAATACCAAACGCTGCGCTGCCGGAGCGAGTGGCTGGCCTCGCCCAGGCTTTGAAGGCACTGATAGGGATGGGTTAAGGGTTTAGGGTTTAGGGTTTAGGGTAAAGAGCCTGCATCCACACCTGCAAGCCATGTCTCAGGTCATCAACGCCTTGGATAAGAAGTCAGTTCTGGCAGAGCAAGATGAGATTACTCTCAGCAAATCAATCCAGAAAGTTGCCACTCTTGCGCGGGAGCTGTATTTACCATGCCATCGACAGCTTCGCGCGCTTCTGGAGGCAAACAACCACGAAAGAAAGGAGCCGAGCAATGCCCATGATGTTTTCGATTTGCAGATGTACATGTGATGTAGAGCTTTGTTCGTACTGCACGCCAATGAAGCAATTTCCCTCGAAAAACTGAGATGGCAGGAAACACAAGGCTGTGATGAAAGCTATATCTGGGAGAACCCGCCAGATGGTGCAGTCAATCGGCTTCGTCGGGACCAGTCACAGTGGGACGTACTTATTGATACGATGGCAGTCACACAGCATGCATGCGAGCCCCATTTGAGTGCTGTGCCTTTTGATATGTTGCAGGACTGTGCAATCAACATGGGTGTGCTGCTGCCCGGCGTCTTGCCGCACAAGCACGAGGAGACTTCCAAGAGCGACGTTTGGAGATTTGCGCGACGGAACTCGCACATGCGCAACCGTCAGAGCCTTACGGTTTCCAAAAGATAATGCTCCTTAGATGCCCTCTGCTTGTCTCTGCATTGAGCGGGCATGCTGCCATGATCGGCGTGAAATGCGTGAACCAAGTCGCGCGATCACAGTTTCGGTTCGACGGGCCCAACACGAGAGAGAGAGAGGTAGAAGCCTTTGCCTCCGACATGGCCACGCCCAGCATGAATCGGCGCTTTGTCCTCTTGAAGCTGGCACTTGCTTTGCTTGCGTTGCACTTTCTCGCGTCTACCTTCGTTTCCCCTAGTGGCCCCAGCGTCCACGTGCGAAGCCCTAGGAGGCAGCTGACGGCTGTCAGGGCCGAAGGGGAGCCCGGAGCAGAAGAGGAAGGAGGAGACATGCTTGAGTTCCTCAAGGTGGAGCAGGATATTGAGCTTTCTCCAGAGGAGTACAAGATGGCTCTGGAGGCCGAGATCGAAACGCAAAGGAAGAAGTACTACATCGGAGGTGTTGTCGATCCGAAGAATCTCGTCGTTCCTTGGAAGCCTGTTGTTGAGGAGGTGCTGGTGAAGGATGCAAGGAGGACCTTGAAGAAGAATGGGATCAGAGACCCTGCTGGTGGCGACGAAGTCACCGAGTATGATGACAGTGAAGTCGACCTCACCCTCATCGATGATGACGTTCTGCTGCAGTGGGCAGGCGGCGTCCCTGGCACCAAGGTGGGCTACATCATCGAAAGAAAACCCGTCGGCAGCACGAATTTCGAGGAGATCGCCACCTACGACAACATGAAGAATCCTCAGCTCCTGGCGAAGCCCTATAGTGGTCATGAATATTCCTTTACCGACTCAATGGTTCCTCCGGGCAAGTACATGTACCGCCTCCTCTGCCGTTCCCGGGACGGCTCCATTGATGTCGTGGATCAGAAGGAGATGATCGTAGCAGAGGCCCCCGGCGTTGATTTGAAGATCGCTGTCCCTTAGGGATACTTGGAAATACTTTTTTTTGGGGGGGGGGGGGGGGGGGGGGGGGGGGGGGGCACTTTGTTTCCTCAGAAACAGCTACAATTACGACTTTTGCTAGGGTTCCAAGTTCAGTATAGGTCCCAGTTCTTCTGGCCTTTGTGCTCTTCAGTGCCCTCTACGGCTTCAGCTTGGACCCGGGAGCTCAGCCGTAGAAACTGGAAACAGTGAGAGTATCGAGAAGTTTCGGTGGAAATAATCCACCCCCCATCCTACAATAGCATGACCTCTCTGGCAGTAGAAGACGACCATTTTCTCACCCTGCCTGGAAAAATGAGAGAACCACCACTGGGCGCCTGCACTCACACAGATCCATTTGCCGGCACTGGATCTGCTGCAGAAAACCAACAAGAGAGCGCATGACATCAGCTCGTATGTGACCCAAGGTAAGCACACCCCTGTGCTGGGCGAGTTGCTATTGTGTGGCTGTGCAGCAGGGGGTGAGAGACACACATGTCCATTGGCTGCTGGCGGTACTAGCATAGTTGGTGCTGCCTCAGCATCGTTGGAAGTATGGTGAGTCTGAGGCTTTCATTCTTGTAGTGGCAGCACGGGCACCAACCGTTTTTTCGCTTGGTTGGAGGCACGTGCACAAGTCAAGTGTATTGAGTTGCGACCACTACGGCACATGCGCTTTAGCCATGTTATAGCGCTTTAGGGGTCCCAAGCCAAAGCTGGGAATCAGCATTTTCCATGCCCTGCGTTGCTCTGCATTGAACTTCAATGTGTTTTCTTATACCTGTGTACATCTATAGAACAAGAGTAGTCTTAGTACTACCCAGTAATACCAACCGTCTATAAAATCTCCTGTGTGTATATGGTTGTATATATATGTGGGTGGCTGTCAAAATTATGATCCCTTTTGGGGTACCCTAAATATTAGGTGCCGTATTATAATAGGGATCCAAAAAGGGACCATAATTTTGACAACCACCCATGTATATGTATATATACTATGGAATATGATAATGTAGTGTATAGTTTTTCTGGTTTGCAGCGCATAGTATAGTGTAACTTTAACGCTGCGCGACCCGACTCGGCCGCGGCCCGTGGCCACGTCCAGGAAAGCTAACTCTTTGGAGTGGAGTGCGGGGTTCAGGGGTTAAGGGGTGGGGAGGGGGCGAGGTAGGGGTGAGAGGGGGTGGACCTGGAAAGGAATAGAGGTGGGGTTCCTGCTTTATGCTCCCCAGACAACTACGGCTCGAGGCCTCGGCGGATACACGATGTTTGTTGCTGACTTCACCTTTTGTCAACCACTTTGGCCCGGGCAGGCTCCTCGTAAAGGTGAATCTGAGCGGAGGCTTGGCAAAAGCCAGTGTTAAGGTGGCTGCTGGAAAGCGATTGGTTTTTGCAAGGGTGGCCAGGATGTGATATTTTGGGGATGGTTGTGGACCCTTCCTTTGTATGCTTTGTGATCTGGAGCGACTTCTGCGGGTGTGGGTCTCTGGCCATAAATTTGGGAGGCGCCCGGCCACGAGATTCTAACCATGTCTGTCCTCGCCTTGCAAGGCAAGCAGTACCTAGTCATTCATTTTTCAGATCTTCTTCGTCATACTTGGAAAGACGGAATTCCGGTCTGAAAGGACTACTCGGAATATCTCGGAGAATGCTGGGCGTTTCCGAAGCTGTCGTGCAAGGCTGGAAACAACGTCGGGAGATCACCAGCAAGTATGCATGCCAAAGAAGCTTTACAAAAACCGATGCAGAAGCCGAACGTGTGCGAACCCAGGAGCCACTCCTACGAGCGAGATCATGCGATATCTACGATAGATAAGTTTTGGGAGCTTGTGCACACTCACGGGAAAGTTTTCAGATCTGCGTGAAAAGGGGTGTTGGGTGGCTGCGGAGGCCAGCGGACGTCCGCAGCCTTATGCGTGTGGACGAACAAAACCCTTGTTAGCCTTGAGTTTCTTGGAGTGAAGATGGCTGTCTGTCGCTTTGTCGGTTTCAAGGAATATGTACTACGAGCTCGTTCCACGTGACGATGGATGTGGGAACACTCTTGAGTCCGATCCTCGTTGTTGGGCGAACCTATACTTACTGGTTCTTAGTAGAGAATTCGACTTGGGAACTGGGCACCATATCCCCTACAAAAGATAACCCTTCAAGAGATTACGATGGGCTACTTAGGTCCCTCGTTCCCTACTAAGAACCAGTAAGTACAGAGGTACGGCGCAGACGGTACAAGACGGTACAGAGAGTAGAGGTTCTTCTTGAACTTGGAGACCAAGGCCCGCATGGAAGCTACTTCCGAATGGAGGGGCGTTTCATGCTGAGCTCGAGCGCCTTCCAAAGCAGCAAGTTGTGCTGGCGCTGCTGAAGACGCAGGTGCCTTACTAGCCCTGAAAAAAGCTTCGTGCAGGACTAGACCCGGAGCCTTGCAAGCTCTTAGATTCGAACCAGGGCATTTTCCTATACAATAAAGGGTTATATCTAAGCATCCCGTAAGTGCCTTGCATTCCCTACTTAGGCCTTTTTAAAAGGATCATAGAAGGACCCTACTTGTTCCCCAACTCCCGGAAGCCCTAAACCAGCAAAAACAAAAAAAAAAACTGTTTCGAGGAGCTGGCCCACGAGCAATTGCAGTGGCCGCAGGTGCAGCGCAGCCTAGGCGCCTTGGTTTTTGGGTTTGTGGGTTTTAGGGTTTTAGGGTTTTTAGGGCTTTAGGGTTTTTTAGGGTTTTTAGGGCAACAGCGCCAGAAAGCCACCTGAGAACCTACGATGCCTGCCTCCAGGCCTGGCAGAGGAGCTACAACTCGTGATGCATCAAGACGTGGAGCAGGTGAACAAGGTCGTCCACACGATCCTTGGCCCAACATAATCCAACCCTGGTTGAAATTAGGACAGTGAGGTCCGATGAATAGCTGGCAGTCGCTTTGTCAGTAGTAGGCGAGAGTTGTTCTCAAGGTTTGCCCGGCAGTATGTGATGCAGCAGCCATGGCGCAGCACTGAGATGTGCAGTGTAGGGCATGAAGGTTGAATGCGCCCTACTGCTGAAGTCGTAGTTTCTGCAGATGCCACAACATGCCACAACCATCCAAGGCACAAGGAGCAGATGGACCCCTCGATGCTCATGTGGGTAGTTCTCTAAATCAGGGTCCGCTTTTTGGGGTCCTGTAGACTAGATGGTACGGCACCCTTATCATAATGACCCTTTTCTGAGAGACCCCCCCCCCCCCCATGGTTTGTTTTGTCAACTGAACAGAGCTGTTGAAGTTAAGTAGGTTGGGCGGTTCCACACACATGCCATTGCAGGATATGGGCATGTCGATCAACGACATTGTCACTGAGCACTTGGAGGACTTCGGGCCGATTTCCCAACGGACCTTCTTCTCCCTGGTCGCTTTAGCTCCCTCACGCCCAGCCCAACTGAACACAAGGGCAGATTTGTCCTTTCTCAACTGCTCAATGTTTTGAAGGAAGCCACCGTCTTTTGTCAGCATGTTCCTCATGCATGATTCTGTAGCGCCGCACGCCTGAAGGAGGCAGCTTTCTCGCCAGAGGAGGTTGGATGCTCAATAGCCCTGCTTATCTTCTACAGCTGGGGAGGCAGTGATGCGGCATGGAGAGGCACGAGTCGCCATGCTTGTGCGAGGTGCTATATCTGCTGCTGAACCAGGAGAAAATGGCTGATACACAGCAGCCAGATCCGAAAAACAAGTTGGTGGCAACACTATCCAGGATGTTTTCCAAGAAGCTGGAAACTTGAGGAGTCCTGTGCAGAACCAGCTCGAGTCCTGTGCAGAACCAGCTCCGGAAGCATCACCCTTGTAATTTACTTGCGAATTGCGCAGTTTGAACTTGCCCGGTCCGAAGACTGGGTGCGCGCTCAGCTGAGCTGATGCTGCGGCTTCGTGTGCACGATTCAGTTTCAATTATTCCTGCCTTCAGCTTTGACGATACGACGTTTTTCTTGAAGGATCAGGCGCGCCAGCACGACGCCACAAGACGCTCGTGTGAGGGCTGCGAAGTTGTCAGCCAAGGGTGGAACGGCATCTGCGCATGGTACTTGCGAGGGCCAGGATATTGCCTGGCATGCCATAGCATGATAGTGACATGTTGTGATCAATGAACCATCCTCATTCGTAAAGACCATGCCTTTCTAATGCAGATCGCCTTGTTCCTCGAAGATTTGTGATTCACATGACAGCATGAGATTGTGTGAACTGCTTTCGTGCCTACGTTGGGTGCATCCTCGCGGGCAGCGAATGCGAACGATGTGAGGTTTCAAGGGTTTCAAGGGTTGCAGAAAAGTTTCTAAAGCTTGACGAAAATGGTGGCTGATGGCTTGCAGACATCAACCAAGTTGATGACTGCAAGGCCTCCTTCCCCCAAATGGTGATTGCCTCCCTTCCCCATATGTCCTTCAACGATTCTTATGTGAATTACTGGTAGGCCACGCTTGTGAGTCATGACAGAAGGGGTAAGGCTATCAGGGGAGATCTGAACTTGGAGCATGGGGCAGTTGAGAAAGGTTTTGGCTTAGAACTTACTGTTTATAGACTCGTTCTCAGATGTGTAGAATGCGCTCGCATGTTGGAGAGCAACTTCCAGGCAAACTGTACTAATTGTCCTGTAGATGCTGAAGCATTCCGTGGGAGAGGGCGGGACAGAATTTAACATCAGGGGGAGGCTTAGCTACCCACGTGACACGTGAGCTGTGGTTTTCCTGGCAGATATGTCGACAATTTCAACACGAAAACCTTTATTCAAGCTCCGTTTCCGCACATTGCACAAACTCACGGGGGGAAGCAGTTTGCGGAAGCTCTTTGCGCACGCGCGTGCTGCAACTCAACCGACGGTACTTGCACTTTTAAACTTACGGCGCGGTGTAAGCATGCCTAGAAGTTTCCTGTTGACCTAGGTTTCCCCATGCTTTCAGCAACGTACGATCTGGGTTCTGCAATGAGACTATCGAACCTGGAAGCGCATAACAAATACATGTAAGAGAATGCTGGAAATCTCCAAGCCGGAAGCTGTAGCCCAGAAGCGTCTTCTTCCTTTGGTAAGCATGGCTGCAGAAATAAAGAGGCGTTGTTTAGCGTTGCAGGCAAGCCACAGGCAGTGATTGCATGCACGATGCACCTCAACAAACTCCTGCGGAGTTAAGGCTAGCGCCCAGCAAAAACCTCCACGAAGCCCACATTCACCTGTCTCCAAACGCCGGCCCTCCACTATCACGAGAAGAGCACAAACCCCAGCTCACGCCTGTCTTGTACAGTACAGCACAAAGTGCTGGCACACTTGCAGAAGCAGGGGCCAGCATATTGCCAAATGTGGAGCTTCTCTTGCTGAAAAAGCCACTGAATGAGGCAAGTCATCTGCAACTGGGGTTCACAGACAAGCTGCATTCTGAACTGCCACTTCAAGGAGAGCATCAAGCATCATGCCTTGATGAGACGGCTTACAAGCAGGTGAAGACTTGAGCACTTACTTGTTTTTGGCTTAGGGCTTAGGGCGTTCTGAGTTTAGCCCACCACTGCCTGTCCCATGACACGAAACTCGAACAGCACGTGGTATCGGCTCTCGAGTGTTCCGGTGCTTACTCCCATGCTCTTAGCATTCTGAATATTCGTGTTGCCTCAAGCAATAGCATAGCGCCGTGCCCATGAAGCGCGCTCCCTGTGAATGCCTTGGAGGTTCTGGTGGAGAGATTGTCGAAGCATTCCGTGAGAACCATAAACATGTCGTTTGCAGGACATCCCCGATCACAAGCAGCGGAAGCCTCCATTGCATCAGCCATGTCAAAAGCGAAAGTCGACAGGAGCTTCCACTTGCTAAACCCTTATCTCGGGCATTTGGCAAGCTGCAGGAGATTCTCGCCGGTGCGGTGGAAACGAAGCGACCAGCTTTGTCGGCAACTACCCCGTCTCGTGGCAATCACAAGCGAGTCTTGCGTTCCTCAAGATAAGGTACAGCACAGTACCCCAACAAGCGATCGCATCTAGCTGCAGGCTTCAATTCAAGTTGTCGGGCACACCGAAGCATTGTGTCCAGCCATCCGTCCTCGGTCATTTGGCGTAGTTTTGGCGTGCATGTCAGCCAACGGCAAGCAGACAGAGACGCAGAATGCCACAAAATCATCCCAAATAGAGCCTCATGAGCTGAGCATGCCAAGAGCTTCGAGCTCGCTGCCAGAAGAGCCGTGAATGCTCCTTCGAGAACAGTAGCACCTAAGAAACAAATGAAGAAAAGCAAAAAGTGGATAGTGCGACCTAAGTGCCGTTTCCATTTCACACACTCTCCCACTTTCCACTATTGCGTGCCAGCTGCTCTTGTTCAACGTCATGCTACAGGTGCTGCTGGCCAGCGCATCCATTCATCAAAAGTTCTGCGGAGGCAGCGGGGGAGCTCAATCTTCCGGAGAGGTTTCGATGCAGTTGCTAGTCTAGTTGGCTTGGTGCTGGATACCGATCGGCCTTCAAACTTTTCTCAATTTCCAGGGTTCTCGAAGAAATTGTGTACTCTGACATACCATATTTGAGAGTTCGGATGTGGTCATTCCATAGGTACACATCCATGCTCGTTCAGGCTACATGCTTGGAACACCTGGCGTGCTGACGCACGCAATGTGATACGGGGATGCTTTCTAGGACCAGCGTAAACGACAACTGCCTGCGCACGTGTGAATAGCACCTCGGTTGCGCGTTGACTTGTTCTGTCGGCTTGGTTTCTTCTCGGTGTTTAGCTCTTGATTGCACGTTGATGTACGGACCGGGAACTGCGAGGATGAAATGGAATGTCATGCATCCTGAGTTTCCAGAAAACCTTGAGCATGAGCAGACCCGCGGGAGGAAGTTGCACAAGGAAAGCGAAATCCACAGGATTTCTTGTGGGGATGCCGATGCTCATGATGCTTGCCCTTTGGGGGCATGCTCTGCGTTTGTGAAACGCGGGTGCTGCGATGCTCAGGTGCCTGTTTTGGGATTAAAGCAAAAACGCTTCAAATTCGGGTGGGGGGGGGGGGGGGTAGAGCGTTTCGTCCATGTAGAGGCCCTCGCAGGAGGGGTCTGCTGAAGCTGAAGAACCAAAACAGACTCCGGCAAGTCCCATACATCAGACCAGGAGAAAGAACTACGGATGAGCTTGTAGATCCGCTGCATTTGCGCATGCTCAGCATCCCAGAACATGCGGCCCTGCAGGTCAATATTGTCCAGTACTGCAAAGTCATCAAGTCACTCACTGCTGATGATTGGAAGGCAGCCCTCCAGGTATGGAGACACATACTTCACGCAGGTGTGCGGATTCTCGCCTGATTTGCGGATGGTTTCCCATGCTTGCCTGTTTGCTGAACACGACGTATCCCGCTGTGCACAGCAGTGATGCGCATCCTTCCTGGCCAATGCCATGTGGAGAGAAGCACATCCGGCGAACACGAGTGGCAATTGCCATTTGGGCGAACGAGTGCCAAATGAGCAAATGAGCAAGCAGGCTGGGCCACACTTGGCTTCCTTGCTGCTTGCTGCCAAGGACCGATGTTTTTCTGAGTGGCGCTGTGACCAACGCCAGTCGGCAGGGGCCGTGGCAGCTGGCCATTCTCCTGCATCGCATGCCAGGGCCTCACATTACTCACCCCACGACGGCCAACTACGAGGTGATACTACGTGCAAGCTTCGCATAGGGTGCAAAGGGTTCTGTTCCTATATACTCCCTCATCATCCTTTTAATTATGCGCCTCCTGTTAGACTCTGGAGGTCAGGTCTGCAGCCACACTTGCAGCAGCTAGAGCATGTGATTTGGCAGTAATGCGGAGCCAGTACATGCAGCAGACAACCTTCATCCGATGCACAGCGATGATGCTGCCATCAGCCAGAAAGCGTGCCCTTGGAAGCACCACACATATAGCTGGTGTTGGATGACGAGCCCCCCAGTCAGAAGGCTGTAGCCGACATGTGTTGAACGTTGGTAAGCATTCACCACAAGCGTCTCTTAGCAATACAGAAGAACTCGGTCAGATGCTGAAAAATCCGGTCTAGCCTAGGACAGAATATGATCGGAAGAGCATACACACAGGAGTCATTTCTCGACAGAAGATGTTGTCGTTCTTCAAGCACAGCGGCATGGGTGTAATCCCACGGCCCTTAACGCTTTGCAGCTCGTCCACAGCCCGAGACACGCTGGGCTCACAAGAAAACATTGACCAGGCCGTGGGAAATGTTTCACTTGCAAATACAAAACTTAGAAGCAGTACGACCGAAGAGCCGTGAGTGGAAGCATCTTCGTGCACAGCAGCACCAGCACATCAATCGCCCAACATCAAAACTTCACCGTAAATCTCCTGCTGTTCCAGGAATGTCTTGAAAGAAGCTGGAGGTGGCGGCCACGCCGACTCGGCAAGAAACAGCCCCTCCATATCACAGATCGCGAACAGACACGCAAACACACGAGAGGTGCATTCTCATTTGTTCTGTGCCCATCTCCTGCAGTTTGTACAACAAACTTTGTGGTGGCAGCTGGCTCTTGAATTCGTGCTGCAGGTCTTCAAACCAGATTCGCGCGAACGAGGCAGGTGGTGCGTCATGAGGACACGCTCAGCAACCGTGAGTGTCATCAGATTATGCATCATCGCCCCATATTCATGCGATGAGTATTGCAAGTTGCTGAGCTGTGAGGTTACATATGGTGCAGCAGCCGCGGCATGTGGCCAGCCAGGGTGGCTATCAGGATTGGAGATGTTGCAGGACTTGGCAGCAAAGAAGGCATGATGGTCAAAGCATGTCAAAGCTGCATCTGCTGCCAAGCGATGCCAAGTGAATCAAGTGGCTCGTGCATACAAATGCGTATAATCGGTTCTGCAGGCGCTTAAGGTGAAACAACTTCTTCTCTTCACAGTCGCAATCTGTCCAGGTGCGGTCCAGCCAGCAGATCTCCAGCAGTGTCATGACTGGAAGCAGATGCAACTGGATGCTTGTGCTGCAGCTGTGGACATTGCTGGGGCGCACCGTCCCTTGGCATTTAGCCACATAGTCTCATGCATTCCTATGTCGGCGAACCTGGCAGCTGCAAATTCTCCGACGTGATGATGGGAGTCCATTAAGAATTTCAGACAAAGGCAGCGAGCCTCCCTGCCGAAGCACCTTGCTGTTCATGCATAGAACAGCAGCAAGCACGATTGCAAGGCTACTCCCGATCACGTCTCCCTTTGTTCCACCATGAGTTCTTTGCAAGAACCGGGCCAGTGGCAACGAGCTTTCTCGATGCTGCTCGCGCATTATCGTGCTGGAAGTGTTTGCCTTCTTTCGCTCTTTTGCTTTTGCGAAGAAGCACAGTGCTGACTAAGGTTGGCATGTGCTCGGCGCACATTGGTCGAGCTTGGCGTATTCTGCAGCTTCTCCGCAACTGTTTCAAGGTTGCCGCAGGATATCACAGACTGAGAAGCACGTGGGTCTTATGTCTTCTTCTTCTCCGTTCTCAGGCCTCAATACGGCGATGAGCTGCGCATGTTGTGCAGAGCCATCAGCATGGTCTTCCGCGCTGGGACTTCTGGCCGCATCGCAGGTTCGAAGACTGACCAACAGCGCAAGCTACAACCTTGGAATCACCTCGTTTGCAGAGGCCCGGGCCTTGCTGGTGCACGTGGTATCACATGGTATCACATGGCCATGGGCTTGTCAGATTGCTGCGCAGGCCACGCGCTGGCACGCAGCTTTCGCGCTTTACAAGAACATGGGGACTTCGGGGCTGCGGAACAACGAAGCAACATTTGTGCTGACATGTGACGCCTGCGGACCGTTGTGGCAGAGAGCCGCGGCCCTCGTGTCAGTCCCCGAGCATCCCACCACACGGAGCTTAAGTTCTGTTCTCAACGCCTGCGAGATGGCAGCAGCGGAATGGGCCCAAGCGCTGACAATTCTCCATTCCTTTGGAATTCGCCGCATCTCAACAACACAGGTCACTTTGAACACAGCAGTGAGCTCGTGCCGACAGCACTATGTGTGGCCCTCTGCTTTGGTATTGTTGCACTCCTGTGTTAAGAGCCAGGCCGGATCCATTTACCTACAGGGCCCACAGTGCGTCAGCTATGCTGTTGACACTTGTAGGGTCACGCCTGTGCAGGTGGCGGACATCATCACTTGGAGTGCCACGCAGGCAGCATGCAAGTTTTCATGGCGCACTGGCGCGCTCCTCATGTCAAGGTCAGGGCGATCAGGGTGTGTCGGGGTGATGACGTCGCATGATGTCGCATGGTTTCCTGACCTGTTCCTCTCACGATTGCAAAGTTGTGGTTTTCGAAGGATTGCGGAGCATGCGGTGCGCGCCGGATCACTGAGCTACGATGCAGCGGTTGCCTCCTTCACACAGGGACATCACTGGCAAAGAGCCGAGATGCTTCTGTGGAGGCGCTGCAGCCTCCGGCTTGTGCTCGTTGCATCAGGTGCGGTTCGGAAGTCACTCACTAACTAGAATGGCCATGTTCCGAGCATAAACTGCTGTTGTCATCCTTTGTCCATTCCCTGAGACTCAGAGCAATCCCCCACCTGTGAAGCGGTCATTGCACGTCTAGGATTAAGATCGGAAGGCGACAGGTTGGTCAGCCATGCAACTCCATTTGCTGCCCTTGCATGTCACATCTCGCGTGCATTGATCCCCGTGTATATGTTGAAATGCCGATGCCGTCCGATACCCAACTTGCATTACCCTACGCGTTGGTGGGGCTCCGTCTCGACCCTGCAGACAACTCCCTTCTGTGTCAAGAGCCCACGCACCATTGCCAATCATTACCATACAATGCACTTTGCAGTTGGAATCGCCTCGCCCTTGTTGTCTTGCTTCAGCTGCGCTTGGTGAGCCTTCGAACAGGATGAATCATTGGAGAGTGGAAGCCTTGCCCGCCACGGTCTGTGCTGGAGTCAGCGCGGCTGAGCTGGCAAATGCCCAGGCGGCACCTAGACCTCTGAGGCTACAGCGGGAAGGAAGAATCGGGCTTGAGTCGAATTTAGATAAGGTGAGGCAGGTGAGGTCCATAAGTTTAAGCGAGCGTTCTGTATTTAGATTGATTTTTTCAGAACTTTGGGCACATGTGAGAATCATGTGGGGGGGATGGGGGGGAACGTAATTATCTTTTGGCCCCACTTTTGGCTGCATCGAAGCCGCGCAGCCTCGTTTAGGTTTCCTGTGAAGCGTAGAAAGTGCCCGCTGCCACGTCAGCAAGACGCGTTACCAAGCAAGAATTTAGACACTGCAGCCTGCAACACCGTTCCATGAGGTGGGTAGCACAAAGTTGTGTAATCCCACGTCTCGCCAGACCAAAACGAAAGCACATCTCTTTGGCCCTTAGCAATCCTACGCCTCTCTGCGATGGAAGTCTGCATTGCAACCCTGAGTGGCGAATGCTTCCAACTTCAAGCAGATCCCAGATGGATGTCCCGTGACCTGAAGATGGCGATAAAGGCAACTTCAGGCACGCAACGGAAGACAGAGAAGTACACTAAGTACGCTGCTTTCACTTTATCCCATTGCAGTGCTGTTTTGCCGAAATCTTTGCACCTTTAGGCTTGCACGGTTGCAAGATTCCAGTGCCCTCTGCATGTCCTAATCTGGTGTTGAACTAGCGACTCATGAATGCAATTGAGAATGTTAACCAGCTACAACTCGCAAGCGCCCACATGTTCTCCTGCAACCTCCTGCGCTTACTAAGAGAGGCATCCGTCAGCGTGAACAGCGCTTGATTTGTGGCACGCAAGAGCTGCCCGAAGACATACCCCTGGCATCTGTGTCGGGATCTAGCGACGCCATGAACGTGACCCTCATCCGCCGTCCAGCAGAGCAAGTGCAACTACTAGAGGACTTGGAAGACTCGCATCATCCTAAAAGAGTCCTGCGTGAAGCACCCCGCTCTGACCGCGAAGTTGTGTTGACCGCCGTAATCCGAGATGCGTCATGCATCGGACTGGCAGACAAGACGCTGCAAGAATCCCGCGAGTTCGCGCTAACTGTGGCAAGACGGAATGGAATGGTCTTGAAGTTCTGCGCTGAACTGCAGGACGACCCTGAAGTGTGTATGGCAGCAGTAAAGCAAGATGGCTTTGCTTTGCAGTATGCATCTGTAGCCTTGCGCGGCAGCAAACCGTTGGTCTTGGCAGCTGTGGAAAAGGATGGGTTGGCTTTGGAATTTGCAACCTCAGAGTTGCAACAGGACAAGGAGGTTGCGCTCGCCGCCCTCGAGCAAGACGCCTATAGCATGGACTTCGTCGGGGATTGCTTGAAGGCAGACCGTGACTTTCTGCTTTTTGCGGTGTCTGTGAATGGACGAGTTCTGGAGCGCCTGGGCGAGGATTTGCGGCGAGATGAGGAGGTTGTACTGGCAGCGGTCCAGGAAACCACAAGCGCTCTGCGCTTTGCTCATAATGCACTCCGACATTCTGAGAACTTCGTTCTGACACTTTTGAAGCGTCACCTCTGTAAGCTTCACTATCCAGCCGAAGAGCTTTGGGCCCGCAAGGATTTCGTGTTGCAGGCCGTAAGAACTCACAGTTCAGCTTTGCAACTGTCAGTGCCGATGCTCCGTGAAGATCGGGAGGTTGTCATGGCGGCTGTGCAGCGGCATGGCTACAGCCTCCAGTTTGCCTCCCTTCAGTTGCGAGGGGACCCAGAGATTGTAATGTGCGCAGTTCGACAGTACGCCAATGCTTTGGCATTTGCCTCTGATGAGCTAAAAGCAGACACAGCGATTGCAACGGCTGCCATAAGCAAGAATGGCTGTGCACTGCGTTTCGCGGCCCCGGCGCTGAGGGCAAATCGAAGCTTCGTTTTGATGGCGATCCGGAACAGCCGGGGATGCGCCCTGCAGTTTGCGGCGAAAGAACTCCGACTTGACGAAGCCGTTGTGCTGCATGCACTTGAGAGTGACTTGAGTGTCCTGGAGATTGTGGAAACATCCCTATGGTCAAAGTCCAGCTTTCTCACCGAAGTTATGCGAAGGCACGGCCACCATGAGCATGTGGCTATTTTTTTAGGACAGCCATGCAAAAGACCTCGGCGTGCTTTCGAGTAAGAGGCCTGCAGCAGTGTGGCAGCAGAAAATGCTTCGACATTGCTCAGGCGTTACTGTAGCGATGGCGATAGGTGTAACATGTCGACAGGAACCCTGCCTAGCAAGTGACTGCAGTCTGCTTGCAGTATGAAGATGTTTTGATTCGCAGTGGGTCCAGTTTCAGCATGAGAGTTGAGTCGGCTACGCATCAGAAGTGGGGAAACGAGAGAGGCTCCACCTGGGTGTCCACCTGCCTAAGCTCAGATCAGATTCTTCGTTTGGGCTACTGGAACAGCTGGACTCTTAAAATATCTGGAGGAGATCATTGACTGGCACCCACAAGAGATCCGTGAATTGGAGAAATTAGCCGCCAAATAGCCCTTGCTAAAGGGACTACTATTGCGGCTTCTTTCCCGCGATTACGCAGATATGATTGTGATTATACTTCAGTTCGTGCGGTCATGAAGTGCACCATAGTGCCGCACAGTAATAGTATTAGCAAACGCATGAATGCAATGAGCGCCCCAAAAACCCTTTCTTTGTGTGTATTATTTAACAGGTTGAACGGGGGTGCACAGATTGGGGAAGAGGTATCGCTTGCGGAAGATACATCTGCCACCTGACCTGATTTCAACCGCTGGACTTCGTTTGGCTGCGAGGGCAGCCCACTGTTTTTAAGGGTTTAGGGTTTAGGGCCGGGACTCTTGTTGAACAGTCACAACGTATGACGCAGCGAGTCAAAAGAAAATCTTCGCAGCCGATACAACATGAAAGAGTTTGCACCACGCCATGCTTTCCATCATAAGCCTTTGCTCGACTTTTTCAGAGCTGTTGGTAAGGCCACTTTCTTCCCCCAACGGCTATTGACAGCAGTGGCTGCAGGATACCAAGGCTCCAAAAAACCGCAATTTAGTCCTGTTTCCGACTTGGAAAGCCTCTTTAATTTGCTCCGATGCGAAGCCTTTCAGCGCCAACACGGAGCCGAGATTCATGCCTGTCGCTCAAAGCTTGCGGTACACTTGTGCTAACGACAGTTCGTCATGGCTCCATGTGAGAAGGAATGCAAAATGCGAGCTTGCATGAGGTGTGCGTGCATTGTTGACTTCATGTGTATTTCAGGTCCTTGGCATCTTGGGCACGACCCAGAGGCCAAGCAATGTTAGGAAAACTGAGCCGTTCATGATGCCTGCTGGATCTCTGTTGTGAACCAACCCTTGCAAAGCTCCCATGTTCCCGCTAGCAAGAATGCGATGTTCGGCCAGGCACCCCAATCGGCACTGAGACAGGGACAAGGCAAGAAGAAAAAGACAGGCGATCGAAGAAGCACACTTGCAGCAGCCAACAGCATGGGGTGACGTTGTCTGATCATGGGGAGAAGGTGACATGGTCTGGTGGCTTGGATGCACAGCCGCCTTGCTACATGTTTGGGGCTGCTCTTGGAATAAGATTCCTAGCAGCACTACAGGCTATTGGGACGAACGCCAGCGCAAATTAGAATCTCAATCCATCGACGATGCCCTGTTCGGCGCTCTGTCTTCACGAATGGCCTCGGGAGCTCAACGACCTGAATCCTCATCCGACATCTTCAAAAACTGCTGCATCTACTTCGACGGCCGTGTCGACATTGGAGGCATGCAGTGTGTCCAAACGAAGCGAAGAAACGGCGGGCCCTCACCAATCCCACTGTTTCGACACTGCCCTGTCTTGACAGGTGGCCTGTCGGCATATGCCCTCAGCAAGGTGGCTCGCTTACATGGGGCGACGGTTAATCCAAGGTTGGCAAAGCGCCGCGTGACACACGTCGTCTGTACCCAGCTCAGTGGCGCCAAAGAGCGGCATGCCCTGCGCGATGCAAGCTCAGCCCATGCCGTGGTACAATACATTGTCCAGCCATCGTGGATTACGGAATCCGTGGCTGCTGGAAGGAGACTTCAAGAATGTCAGTTCTCGCTCATGAAGAAGATCTCGCAGCAGTTTGGAAACAATACCTTGAGCAGCCACAATCTTGGAGATGCCAGTCGAAGAAAGAGAAGGCAACAAGACACAAGTACTCTCCTGAACAAGCTTCCAAGCCTAAGTCATCCTTGTCGAGTCTCGGAGGTGACAGAGGTTGCCGCGTCCCCTGAACGTTCCGATCTTCTGTTGGTCTCCGACAGCCCTCCGAGCCCTAGCGCAAAGTCTCAAAACATGCCTCCCACGGCGCCTGATAGCGAGGACGGCACTCAAGAAACAGAATTGGACACTGACGCTGAGTAATTCATGCCAGATGCTTCGCCATGCAAGACATAGTTCGACTCCAGCGAAAAAATGCCGCGGCGCGTGACAAAACAGAGTTCCTGTGCAGTGCCAGGCATTGCATGGCATTTGGGATTCTCTTGGTAAGGGACGGTGCCGTGAGAGACGTGCACCAGATTCTGTGCTCCGAAGTGTTCAGATTCAGATGTCAGATGTCGTGAGCGTTGCGGCTTCTAAAGCAAAGTTGCCATTGGAGTTGAACATGGCCACCCCAAACGGCTAAGTTGCAGATAGCGCCAGATGCACCCGAGCAAAAGCGATTGAATAAGTACATGGTAACGCCACACACGATCCGCACCTCGCCCGGGGTGGCGGGGTGGGCGGGGGCGACCGAACGAATGAATAGTATTCTATAATAGTCCACGGCGTATCGCACGTGACTTTGCTTAACAACATTGTGAGGTTGTCAAAAAGTTGTTAAGAAGTCCGCTGTAAGCTTCTGTCATGACAATTGCAGACATAACTGAGTGGCAGTATGCCCCAACACCCAAGAGCCCTGAACGCCAATAGATGCCGGGCCGGGGCCGCTGTTGAGTCGTTGCCTTTGTCATGGCAACCCTCGTTCTCCGTGGCCTGGAAAGTAAGCCAAAACTAAATGGACGGACTGTGCAGCTGGCCATCGACTCAGGGGGTTGCTAAAGACGGCTCCTGCAGCAATGTGCAAAAGTCTTGCAGGCTTGGTATGAGTATATACGGGGGTCCAGTTCAACTCGAAGCCCAAGGTGCAGTATCATCATGATCGTGGCCGATGGGAGGTTGAGCTTGAGGGGGAACTGCCGCCCAGCGATTTGTTCCAGATTGAAGCCTGTCCGCACTGGTGCTCAGCATGAGGCTTGCTTTGCTTGGGTGCTGCGGGATCGTCTTGAACGTCCAAGGGTTGTCCAAGCATTGCATGAGAAGAGCGGCCTCGAAGCCTACAGGTTTTCAGTGTGTTTAGGCTATGTCTATGTCCCTAGTAACAGAAACTGTTTCAGCCCCAGCACAATCCAAGAAGGGGCGCTGTGAGTCCTTCGCCTGTTTCGGAATGTCGCTGTCAACGAAGCCTGCTCCAAGATTTCCTGCATCAAGCTATCAACAAAGAGCTGTACCGAGTACGCGCGAGAGCGAGAGAGAAGGTCTGAGACCGAGAAAGACCAATCCGGGATTGTCAAAAAACCGGGCCGATCCCGCACCCTGTTGGGTTCCCGGATGCGGTTCGTTTGAGTTGGGGGCTTGAATTGTTGGGAAAGTCGGTCTTCGTAACTTCAGGAAATCAAAGTACATGGTCAAGTTCAAGCAAACACCCAACGGGTCAAGGCACCGATTCGTGGGCAGGGTTTCTAGTACTCCAACCAGATAGAGAATCGGAGAACCAGGTGTGAACAACCACAAGCGACCCTCAGTTGCATGGTTTTGCCCCCCTGACCAAACCGTGCCTCTCACGAGGAAGCCTGAATAAACTACTGGTTGTAGTTTTTGCTGCACGTGATGTCAACCCTCCCGCCGTGCAACCTCGGAATTTGGGGGGGTTACATCGCATGCAGCAGTCTCACACCCACAAACTCGCGTACCAAACGCCCCTTGAGCTCCCTCGAGAGCCAATGGAAGAAAGGTTCCAGCCCTTTGTCTCGCTTGGGTTTGTGCCCTGGTCGCCAGTACAGGCGCTATGCTGCTGTGCTGCGGGCGGCTGCTCTGGCACTGTGTTCTCGTTCTGTTGTGGGGTTGTCTCGCTCTGTTGCGGGGTTGGCAGTGGTTGGGGGTGTGCGGTTCCTAAAGCGCTGGTCGACTGTTTCGGTGGTTGGCAACCTTGGGCGCGGTGCCTATCGCGACGCGGTTACCGGAATGGGGACATCGTTGCAGCGCACCTGGTACATCTGCTGTGCACTCTGCTTGTCTTGTAGAAGAGGTAATGTTGTCTGCTGATTAGTGTGGCCCCCCCCCCCCCCCCCTCAACGAAAGGATCCCGCTCTTTAGAGGGGGGGGGGGGGGGGGGGCAATTTGGGGGGGGGGGGGGGTCTGGTTTTATATGATTTTAAAAGGGATGAGTTTATATGAATTTAAAAGGGATCCATATGATCCATATGATTTTAAAAGGGATGAGCTCGTATGAGTGTAAAAGGGATCCATATGATTCTAAACGGGGTGAGACTATATGAAATTAAGAGGGATCCATACGATTTTAAGAGGGATGAGTTTATATGAATTTAAAGGGGATCCATCTATCCCAACCAAGCCAGCCCGCAAAAAAAAATATAATTCCGGGGGAGCAAACTTTTTATATTATACGGCATCCGGGCAGCTGCTGGACTACCCCCTTTGAAATTTGATTGCCCGGCCTCGGTACAAAATAATTTTATAAGGAAATCTTAGTTTTGGGTCTGGCCTGGAGGCTGAAGATTTCAGGGCCCGACAACCTCAGGCCTCAAGGTTTAGGAAACCTCAGCCCTTAGGCCTCTGGATCCAAACCCAACTAGCCCGCAAAAAAAAAATATAATTCCGGGGGAGCAAACTTTTATATTATACGGCATCCGGGCAGCTGCTGGACTACCCCCTTTGAAATTTGATTGCCCGGCCTCGGTACAAAAGAATTTAATAAGGAAATCTTAGCCCTGGGCCCGGCCTGGAGACTGAAGATTTCAGGGCCCGACAACCTCAGGCCTCAAGGTTTCAGTCTTTAAACTTTTGATCTTTGGTCTCTCAGGCTCGGTTCAGAAGCGATTTATGGACGACAACACCATTCGACAGCCTCGCCGAAATTGTGCATCGCCCGATTTTTTTTCACAATTCCGGGGGTCCTCCTCAAATAGATCCCCCTGAATAGTTTTTGGATTTTTCCACAATTCCGGGGGAGCACACTAATCAGGATACAACATTAGCACGGGGCGAGAACCACCCCAACCGGGAGGCTCTCCGGCACAACAGTGCTAGAAGTTATCAACAATCCGAAATCAGCCTCGGCAGATGCACTAGCCATTGGGTCTTTAAGCAAGATGAAGAGCAGCTAGAGCAGCTAGCAGCCACAGGAATGGAGCGATGATTGGTGGGAGCCACTCGATGGCGACAGCGAGTCCTTCAGGATGCGAAATGAACCAGGAGCCAACCCGCAGGCACAATCAGTCTGCTGTGATTCCATGTCAGAACTTTTTCCTGCAAGGACCGACCTTCCACGAGGAGCTGGAGAAAAAGCTGACAAAGTTAAAGCTGCTGGAGTCGACAGCAAAAATCTCGGCCGATGGCTCAAAGTTGCTCTTGCCACTTATTATTATTGTTGTTAATGTTATTATTGTTACTACTGTCATTATTATTGTTATTTCTGAATGCATGCTTTGGGCAGTGCGAGGTCGTCGACTGCAACGGCAAGAGCGTGTGCGTGTTCGACGCCGACGGCCAAGTGCTGCGCGAGCTGCGGCAAAAGCATATCCCTCGAAGAACCGACACTCCAAGTGCCTCCTGTACGCATTGTATGGCTCTAACTGGAGCAGTTGGCGGCCATACTTCGAAGAATTAGGAAATCGTCGCGACAATTCACATACTAGTACCCGACAAGCTCTGCCCGTTTCGTTCGTCCAGCATGCATCCTGTATCTCATGCCTCATGCCCAGGAAGTTTGCCAAAGGAGTTTCCCGCTGCAGTTCCAAAGAAAGGCTCCAGAGGGAAGGACCTTGGCCGTCCGTCCGTCTTGCCTACGTTTGCGCGAGGACCCATGGAGTTTCATGCACGGTCTCGCAGCTTGAATTTAACGCTTCAAAAAGGCAGGTCCAGCAACGTCAGCCATACTACCTTCTATGCGCCTGTCAACTATTCAGAGTGACACGTGACGCACTTCACTGCACATCAAAGCACGAGGACAGCAGCACGGGCAGCTTGAGGAAGAGGAAGGCACAAGTGCAGGATGATGGGGTCTGGGACCTTGAGTCAGATCATGTTTCTGGGACGCGAGGTCGAGATGTCCGTCGGGGTCCTGCATCGGAAGCCCGAGTTGGATGGGCAACCTGGCACCCTGGGGCCTTTCCAGGTGTGCCTCGGCTGCCCCGTTTAGCCGACATATGCTGGGCAGCATCATGTCAGCAAGAGCATGAACGTCTGTGACGGGCGATGGCTTGAGGCATGCACACTGCTGGCAAGTACTGCCGGATGCACGTAGCCTTTGGGACGTGAAGGCACTCATAGTTAGTAATATCTCAAATGAGTTGCATGTGCTGCTGCTTTGGTGTCAGTGTCGATGTTGCATCAGCAGGTGGACGGCTCAGCAGCCCCCGTGCTGCTGGCGTCGGCACAAATACGTGATGAGGTGAGTTGCCTGCAGAGCAATCTGGGCAAGAGCGCGCGCTGCCCCAATCAAGGTCTCTGGCGACCCACTCACCGATCCGGTGCACATTCGCATGTGGCAAAAAGCCCAACAAGAGCGAGCCCTGTATGCCAGTGCTTCTGAGATTCAAAATATGGGAGACGCCCTTTGCCGCAAAATCTGTAACCTGGCCGGCACTGCATGTATTTAGCATCCTCGGCAAGGTAGCATTTCAAAAGGGCCAGATTATCATCGAGGACGAGCCAGTCATAACTGGAGACAAGCTGGACATGGTGAAACTGACGCTGGCCGGCACTCTGTGTGTGATTTGAGATTTGTTGAGACCTGCATCAGCAAGACTTAAGGTTGCAGCAGTACAAGAAGCTGCCATCCGGCGTGCAAGAGCAGGTGAACCAGCTGCGCCAGGTAGGGGGCAGGACTTTGCATCAGATTGAGAAAGATGCCCAAGCGACGTCTGCAGGGGCCAGACTTCTTGCATCTTGGCCTCTTGGGACGAACATTCCGTGTGTAAAGGCCAGTGCAAGCTTGTGAAGAGAATCGCTCAGCTGGACTTTCCTTTCGGGCAAACGCAGACCGAGGACCGAGTGTAAGCAAGCCCCTGAAGAAAGAGGATCTCTTGAAAAACTCCCAAGACGCCGGCATCCAAAGAATCTCGTCTGCTTTGGGGCAGGGCACCATGCCAAGGCACCATGCCAAGGCTGAAAAGGTTTAGGGTTTAGGGTTTAGGGTTTAGGGTTTAGGGTTTAGGCTCAGACCTTGATGTTTGCCAGGAATGATGGACACGTACTGGGCGCTGATGAGGACGCCGCTGCTTTGGCTTTTGGCATTTCCTGAAACTGAAGAGAACGTGGATGAAGGACGTTCGGGACGAATTCTTTCTGGCACAGCCACGTCGGCGTAGAGGGACTGTACTTGGCCCTTGCGAAGGTCAATCACTCATGCAGGCCTGACCATTTGTCACGGCAAGAACGCAGCTTCGTTCTTCAGATACCGCCTGGGCTTGGGCCTGCATCGCATCAGGATATGGGGTGGAAACATTGTGTTCGCATTTATCCAATCAGTTCATGGGGGTTGCCGGCCGTGTTTTCGCAAGCCCATGGAGCCCCTGAAGGCCGAACACAACAACAGCAGATCCAACATTTGCCGCTTGACTTTGCAAGTCAACCAGAAGGATCCAGCTGATTCTGGATGGACTCGGCTAGACAATGTTTGAGAGGCGAAGGCGTGTGCAGCACGGGCAGCAGAAACTTGCAGACAATCCCAAGGAGCACGATCCAAAGAGACTACCGGCAGGCATGGAGCCTTTGGACCCACTGAAGAAGGCCCTGTCGAGCTGCGCAGGCTGTTGGTTAACTGTTAGGCAGCCCTCGCGAATGCAGGCTCTCATTGCCATTCGTGACATTCAGCCAGGCGGGTTGAGTTCTCATAAATTTGTTCGTGCCGCACTCTTCAAGAAGACATGTTCAAGGGGTTCTGATACCGCCAAAATGACCAACCATTGCGAGGAGAGGAGCTCACCTTGAGCTATCTCGGTCAGCGGCCCGGGGACCATGAAGACTGTTGTTGCCCTGCTTGTTATCATTGTTCTCACTAACGCTATCAGCTGAGATGAAGACGAGCTTTGGGAGCCATCCAATGTTCGCCGCGACAGGCTTGAACAGCGTTCCTTGTCTTGTCATTGGAAGCCCGGTTGGCTGCACTCTTTGCCAGAGACATCATCGGCGCAGATGCCACGCAAAGAGCGTTTGTGCCAGCATTTTTTCGATGCAACCAGCAGAAGGAAGGAGAGGTTCGGGACCGTTGGCACTGGAAGCGGTGAAGGCAATGTCACGTCCGTGAGAAGCCTGAATAGCCAGTCAGTGGGCAAGACGAGTCCGATGCCTTGGGACTCCTGGCTTGAGAAATAACTCCAAACCTGCTGCGCAACCAGGACCCAGTACGGTACAGTTGGAGTCAAAGGTGCTGCATCGTGCAGCTGCATCGTGCAGCTGCAATGATGCACCCGATCGACATGGCACTTGTTGGTGGACCATGGTGCATACTTATTTGGAGGTGGAGCTTGAAACACTGCATAGCCAAACCCCTGAAGGAAGCGTTACATCAAGAATCGGTCTGCCCATGTCTGACTCAATAAGATCCCTTCATGTTAGCAGTTTGACCTTTGGGCCAGTGCGAGGCTTTGGGTTCAAGTGTTTGTGCGAGCGCTGCGCAGACGAGGTGCGCATCAGATCATGTGATGGCAACTGCTTTTGGATTGGACGCCCCATTTTGGTCAGGTCTTCCGTTTGCCGAGTTTTGCTGGTCGTTTTGCTTATGGCTTCATTTTTCACACGGCTGCCTCCATGTTCTCGAAAATACGAACCAGATCGTGTTGCTGAGAAGCAAGGAAGGAACTTCAAACACTGCAAACATCATGTCGGAGCTGCGGGCTCGAAAATGTAAGGCAGCAAGGACACTACGCGCAAAAATAAGCGAGTTTACGGAAATTTGGGGGGGGGGGGGGGGCAGGAAACTTGTAGCAGAAACCGGAGAGAGAGGCACCAGAAGCCTGACACTCAACATGCTCTTTGCCTTGCAAAGGGCTGGAATTGTCTCTATTCCACAGTAGACTTGAGAATGAGCTCCCGAGTGATCGGAATTGTCTGCATTGACACCATTCTGTCCCCGGCTTAGGGCGTGAAGTGGTGTTTGAGGGGACAAGCAAACCAACAGGAACCATCGGGGACTTGTTAAACGTAACCAACGTAACCACGGCGGGGGGAGGGGGAGGCCGTTCAGGGCTCAGGGTGGTTGAGAAATTCCTTCCTTACCGAACAAAGGCTCTCCGACCGGGAGCTGCTGCACGCTCACTGCACAAGTTGTTTGTGACCACACCGCCGTTTGCCCCAACTTTAGCGACTTATTTGTCGGACACGGACAGACATGGTGCAATGGGCTCACTTCAAAATGCCAGGGTGCCAACAGTATGCTGATCAGAGTAGGGCCCTGCGAGCCAACTTAAGATGCATGAGGGAATGATGGCTGAACCCACAAGAACCTCCCTGACGCCTGCAAGCTCCGGAGTTTTGTCATACAGTAGTGTTTCGCGCGGCGTCCCCTAGAGGGTCCGCACCCAGAACCCAGAGGAGGGATGTGGGGCCCCGCAGAAGCAACAGAAATGCTGCTGGACCCAAGATGCTTTGAGGCCTAGGATTGCAACATTGTAGTTGGCGGCTTTTTGCAAAGTTTACCATACCAAAAACAGGCAAATCCAGGCATCCCTCCCCTCCAAGAGGATAAGCCTTCCACTCTTTTGGATCAGCCCCTCTCAATGAGGAGGACGACGGATTGCTGCGCACCGAGCCACTGGAAGAAGGCCTTGGGTGCAACAGCCTGATACGACGGTGATACGACTGTGTCTGCCGTGGGCGATGTGGCCGGCCGAATGGTTTGAGCTTGCACCTATCACTGCCCGCAGCCAACCATGGGAGTTCAGGAAATCTGTCTAGAAACTTGCTCCTTCCCACCTAGACAGAGCCATGCGATGGGTCATATGCAGAGCGATTTGGATGTGCCTTGGTGTGTGCACTGTGGGTCAGGAGAGTGGCATTCCAAAACCTTTTCCGGCAGCGGTGCCGGAGACATTCAGCGTGGCCCTGCGCAATGATGGTGGAATGGCGCTTCACAAGGGTCACACAGGCGAGCTGGTGCAGAGTGGGCGTTGGCTTGTAGCTGTGGTGTAGGTCATAATATTATAACGGATGAAGAGGAGTGAGGATGAAATAAATTGAGTACAGGTTGTAGTACTTTTTAAAGAGCGTTCGCGCCTTCTTGAGCCCTGCACTTCCAGGGGATGCCGTCGCATGGGGCAGCTTTCAAGATGCAATCAATTCGACTGGATGGGCAGTCCTTGATGTGCATACATCACCACTGGCAAGTGGCAACACCCAGAGTTATGCTGCCGGCTTCCTTGAAGGTGCCTTGACCCACACCCGGATCACACAGCATTTGCAGAACATGTGGGGTGTGGACTTCAAAGGCTACGCAACAGGCACTGTCCCTCAGAAAGTGCGTGACTTCGTCTCTGCGAACATGGCATGGATGGTGAGCATGGTCAAAGGGAATCCTTCGGACAACTATTGGACAACTGTCGGATACTTGCTGGCGCAGCTCCATGGACTTGCTGATGGATACGAGGCGGCCCGAGACCATCAGCAAGGAGAGCTACCACTGACTGTCGAGGACATGCTCATGCTAGTCATGGTGGACACCGATATGGACGATGTTGTGACTGCAGTGGTTGCCGAGGGACATTTCATCAACGAGCATTTCTTGCACCGTCGGCATAAGCGCAGGCACAGGATGTTCGATCCCTTTCCGGAGTTCTTCGAAGTTAGCAGGAGGCATCATGGGCATTGCAGTGCCGTGGTTCAGGTGGCGCCAAACTTCGAAGACTTGTGGGTCACCCATGCAACATGGGATGAATATCGGGGAATGCTTCGAATCATCAAGTACTTCGACATGCCACTGCCGGGCACAGAAGTGCAGCGCATGGCTTTCACAGCTGACCCAGGTGGATTGTACAGCGCTGATGACTTCTACGTGCTGGATTCTCAGCTTGTAGTCATGGAGACGACAATCGACAACTACAACAGGTCCCTGTGGTCCAACATAAAGCCTGAGACCCTGATGACGTGGGCCAGGGCCATGGTCGCCAATCGACTTTCCAAGAATGGTGCTGAGTGGACTTCCTATCAAGTGCGTGATAACAGCGGCACCTGCAACAACCAGTGGATGGTGGTCGACTACAAGCGCTTCGAGCCTGGCAAGCCCTTGCAGGATGGGGTGCTGTGGATTTCGGAGACGATGCCTGGACATGCGCAAACGGGCGACGTGACCCATGTCCTGCGGAAGCAGCACTCATGGCCCAGCTACAACATACCTTTCTTCGAGAACATATGGAAAGTTGGCGGCTACGAACACCTGCAGGCAAAGACTGGCTCAGATGACTTCAGTTTCGACCACTGCCCACGTGCCAAGATGTTCCAGCGTGCGAGGCAGGAAGGCTTCGGGAACTCCCTGAAGTCGCTCATGGCTTTGATCAGATACAATCGACTGGATGATCCTTTGGCCCTTGGGGATGCCTGCAACGGGATCAGCGCCCTAGTAGTAGAGTAGGCAACCTGTAACCTTTTTTTTGGGGTAGTAGAATCCCCTTAATAATCCCAAAAGGTTTACCTTTAATTCCTCCCCAGGTTACTGGACAACTAAGGCGCTAGGTGTGATCTCAACCCTCAGAAGCATGTGAGCTACGACTGCTTCGGGGCAATCGATGCAAAGGTCGCAAGCTGGAGATCGAGCAAACACGACCTTTCCTTCCTTGCTGCCCCTTGTGTGCACTTGTTGAGGGCCTACAGGCTTTTTAGATGTTTTTCGGGCCTGTGCAGACTGGCCGGTTGCGCAGTGTGTCAGAACTTGCGAAAGCCTTTCTGATCCAGGCGACAGGCAGGAATCACATATTGCCCCATGTTGCAGCCTGAGATGTTGCGGGATGTCTTTGGACGGTGTGGGCAGGTGCGTACACTTGATGGAGGTCGAAGCAGCCCGCCCACTCATTTTTTTGCCGCACAAACACAGCAAAGCTGCCAGCAGCTACCTTCCCAACCACGCTTATTCCAACATATCAGTGGTTTTCGTACCACTTCGGTAGTGGCCACTGGGCCTCCCCGTGGAAGCTTCTTGTAACTGTTTTTGGGAAGGGGGGGGGGGGGGGGGGCAACGCAGAAAGTCTCGAAATGCTGCAACTGCACAGCATTTCTCAGGACTGTGGCCGGAGAGATGGTGACAGCGGACAGTTACGCGGATAAGACACCTGGTGTTCGCCATCTTCGTAACTGTCGTCGGTTTTGGAGCTTTGTGTACATACAACCCACACACACACACTTCGTCGTTCGAACTCGCGGGCGTCGTCTTGTACACACTGGACACCAACTAGAGCCGCAGAGATCAAATCCCAGTTGAGTCACAGTTCGAATCCACTGCCTGGTTGCAAAAAGGATTTCGGGTTTTAGGGTTTTCTATGGGCAGCTGATGGCAGCTGCGCAGTCCTGGTTGTAAAAAAGGTTATAGATGGGCACGCTCGGTTCTTGCTTTCCTCTTTTTTTTTCTGACTCGCGCTGTCTTGTTTTCAGGCGCGGTGCTTACTTGTTTTTGACTTGGTCTTTTTGTTGCGGATCCAACTTCTTTCCCAGCTCGACGGTCACGCCATTGCAGCAAGTGGGCCTGAGGATCTACCCCCCCCCCCCCCACTCCCGACGTTTGTGGATTGTTTTTTGATGCTCCACGCGGCCGAAAGTGTATATAAGGTGTCATCACCGACTAGAAGCAACGGTGAGCGGCCATTTGCCTGGAGCCGGGTAAACGACAAGCTCGATGGCTGCAAGCCTGAGAACCATATCGGGCATCCAGACACCTTCGCTTTCGAATGGTACAAGATGCCTGCAAACTGGCCATCAGCACCTTCTGAGACTCCCAGCTTTTTCGTTTCTGAGCCAAGTTCGTGGCTTTCGTTGGAGAAAGCAGCTGCGATTTCAAGCAGCCTGGCTTGCATGTTACTCCTTGCGTGCATAGTGCAACGAGCATATTGCCAAACCGACGGTGACCTTCCAGCCACTCGTTACGAACCGCTGGACGCTTGATCTTCCCTGCCAAGCGCAAGTTGTGGCAATGAGTCGGAGAAGATTCCTGTACTCCATTGCACCTTGAGGTTGCCATGAAGTAGAATAGCACAGGACAAAAATCCCGCCCAGGGGGTGGCGCAAAGGCAGTGCTCCCTCTTGACCTTGTCTTCAAGGCGAATCTGCCGAATTCAAGCTGACGGGCCCAACCGTGACTAGTGCCTGCGCATTCCTCCCAGGGGGCTCAGACCTTAACAAAACTATGACCTGCGGTGCGGAGAAAGGCTGCCCCCAGAGTGTTTTTGTGTAGAGAGGAGCAACGACACTCATGATGCAGAGCATGCCCCATGCTACTCGGACCTAGTGGTTGCTACCAAGAGGACCCTTCGGGGGATGGATCTGACGGCTATCCGTGTGGCGAGGCTCTGGAGCAGGTGACGGAACACCTCCTCAGGCTACCGACGCTCGGCTCTGAGAGTGAGGCTCTGAGCTGAAGCTACCATGGGCAGAGCACCCATGTGTTTGTTAATACCGAGTGGTGCCATGCAGGCTGAAGCTGTGAGGAAGAGCATGAAGAGTAATTCGAGAGCAGCCATCTGCTAAAGTTACTAAAGTCGAAGGGTGACTGGCAACATACCGCCAAATGACCAGGAGACCCTTCGCAGAAGCATCCACCTGCAGAAAAGAGTCCTTGGGACGATCAGCCCTGTGAAGACTGAGCAGTTGGGCGATCAGCTCCTGGAGGAAGGCGATGCCCCTCAGGCCCATATGCAAGTGGACCGCTAATAACCGGATACAGACCCCAAATAGTAGGGTTCCCTTACAATAAGGGCCCCAATAAGGTACCCGGAAATTCCGGAAACTCCCATATCACCCTCCTCGCCCTTTCAGAGAGCTCCACATCTTGCAGCGCTGGTGTTAGGCCTTCGATACCTACGTTTCAGCGCTGGAGGCTGCTGCCAGGGGAGGATTGAACTTCTTTTGCTTCTGACATGTGTTGCTAGAACTGAGCAGGAACTGAAACTGCGATCGCCCAACAACCCTCCGAGCGACAAGCAGCCTGACTCAAATTGCCAGAGGAGACGGGCGATGAAGCGCTGTGCAGTTTTTTGTTATTCCTAAGGCACTGCGAGCGGGTCCTTGGCAAGCTTCGCAAACTGCTCAGTTCAATCGGCTGACAGTTGTTGTGCCATGTTGTGCTGGCGTTGAGAGGGAGAGTTCCACTAGCTTCTGCCACTTTCGAAGCCAAGGCGCTTTGCTTGATGGCACGTGCAAGGGCGACACTGGATGCGGTGGCTATGCCAAAACCTGACATATGCAACACCTTGTACATAGACTTGCGCAGCTTGACAACGATGCATCTCCGCAAGTTGGGGTGATGGCATTTTGTGCGGCTTCGGCAAGAGGCAATGATGTGAGGCAATATGCCCGTCGATCGCCTTGGTCAAGTACGTGTCGATATTTCTGCATACATACCAGCGCCTGCAGAACCAGCCAAGCTTGCATGTCAGAGCTTGCTCCAAGGGATCTCCATCCTGTCCTGCAGCTAGGATCACGCAGCTTTCATCCTCGCAGGCAAAGCTGGCATTGATCATGCCCCAAAGCCATTTTGGCTCAGCACATGGCAAGAGAGTGCTCACTCCAGATCGTCAAGCAGCACATGCAGACGGTGGCTTGGCCGAACGCACTTGGCCTTATGACGGCAGCTTGGTAACAGCATGGCCCCGCCAAGGTTTGTCACATGCTGGGTGCGCTGGTATCACCTGAAGTGACTGTCCCGAGTTTGCTGGCTGTACGCCCAGGAAACTCCGGCCCGTCGCTGCGAGGAGCCACAAAGAAGCCCTCCAGGTGGGCAGATGAAGCTTGCCGGAAGATCCCCCCAAACTTTCGTAAGACGCTGAACAGCCTACTTGGAGCTGCTCTTCAGTTCCCGTGACGTCCATTGGCCGAAACCCCTTCAACGTGGCACTTTTCATCCTTCAAGCAGGCATGATGGCATGCAACTGACATGCGTTGCTTAAGGAGGCTGTAGCCATGGTGTAGCGACATACCATACGAGAACCAGAAACAGTGGCAAGCAGACGCAAGGGTGCCCTTGTGTCGCAGGGCCTGGCCTGAGCGTGCAGTGTTTTGGCCAGTAGGGAGGGTAGGTCCGGGTAGGCAAGAGGAGAATGAGCCATGTCATTGGCTCTTGGTCTAAACAAGCGACATGGAGTTTCGCGCCCAAGCCAGTTCCTTGCAGGATCGGGCGAAGGATGGACGCAGTCCTCGTCACCCACCGAGGCTCGAGGAAGATGAAGTGGGAACGAAGACCCTACATTCGACCCGGCAGCGATACAGCGGGAGAAATTGCGAGCTCCTGAGGTGTACGATATCGGTTCTGACTCAGAGGATGATATCGGTCACATTTCCTCGGCCGTGCGTGCCCTTGACGTTGAGGGCTGGGGCCTTAGCATGGCAGAAATATGGGTAGTTCTCTAAATATGTCAGGGTCCCTTTCTGGGGTCCTGCACGGCATATGGTACGGTACAGTCATAATCAGGACCCCTAAAAGGGACCCTATTTAGAGAACTACCCATGTGCATGACACCAAGTCAGTATGACCTTGTTCAGGTGATGTGAAATGGCACGAAAGGCGCCAGCGTGCTGGTCCAGTCAAGTTTGACAGTCATACTGTCTTTCCTGCAGGTCGCCATGCTCTTCGCGGAAGGGCACAAAGTACGACCCATCGACGGCTCAGCACTTAAGCTTGCTGCTCCAGCTTCATACAAAGGATGTAGGCGCATGCTGACACATCTGGCTCTAGGCTTCTTCCAGTTGCAACGCAGCAGAAGGGCCTGGCAGCTCAATGAAGGCCTCCCCAAACTGTTAAAGCATAAACTTGTGGATGGCCGGCATGGCAGGTTTCGAGAAGCACTGCAAACTCTAGAAAAGCTGGGTCGGCCGCACGGCATTGGGCATGATTCAACCTGCATCGGACAGAGATCGTTTCCACACGAACTTGGACATCGACGGACAACTTTTCAGTTGATCTTGGGCAGTGACAGGCAGGTTTGCCAGTCGTGTGGCCTGAATCAGACAAGTTTCCTCATCGCTCTATGGGTCTACGAGTGAAGTCTTCACAAAAGAAGTACGCATACATGTTGGACAAGCCTTTTTCCATGGCGAGGCAGTGCTTTCAACATCAAAAGGCTTTCATTTCCACAAGAAGGCCGCAGTGGCTGGAAACATTTGCAACCGCATTGCGGATGTGTCTGCGGATGTGGAAACAGTGCGAACAAATTTGTGGAGACATCGCGGCACGATGCGCAAAGCCTTGTAGGAACAGGAAAGATTTGTCAATACTGAAGTCATGTGATTTGTGGGGAGAGGCGGTGCTCACTCACTCCCGTCTCAGGCATTCGCACAGCATGCTTCCAGCAGAATTGCCAAATTGCGTCGGCAGCGGAAAGCTGTGGTCACGACCCTTAAACTTGTTAAATGAGTTAACAGATTTGAGATTTCACTGGGCAGTCAGTGCGAAACCCTGCCGTTTTCCACAAATCTGGCGAAGGAGTCCAAGGAAGGAGGACAAAAAAACAACTGTCCTGCAAGCCCTCCTCCGAGCAGGCTGAAGATCAGGCTGATGCCTGGAACGTCGAGGACAGCATACATACATGTGCGATATCGGGGTTTACGAAAGGTGAGGGACCCCCAATGTAGACCCCGAAATCCTAGGAGTACCTTACAGTAAGGACCCCAATGGTGCTCTTGAAGTCGTTCTTCGAATTTCTGCGAGGACTGGGATTCTCACTTGGCTCAACTCAGAGAGGCGCCTCCAGCCGCAGAAGCTGGAGTTTAGGGTTTAGGATTTAGGGTTTAGGGTTTAGGGTTTAGGGTTTATTTAGGGTTTAGGGTTTAGGGTGTCGCAGTGACACGGTCAGGTCGCCACTCCATGCAGGGCATCCCCAGATGGAAAGCTAAAGGCTTGATGTGTTTGCCACGGATATATATATATATATATATATAATAACAATAATAATAATAATAATAGTAATATAAATGAATATAATATTCAAACACCTACATATTGCAATAATTGTAATGGTAGTGGTACCATGCTGTGCAAGAGGCGACCGATCTTCTTAAAGCGGAGATACAGGCTGGGACGCGGATTGAGACAGTGAGAGTGCTCGAAAAGTTTGGGCGGGCACCAGGCAGACGTGGAGCTCTTGGTGCAGGAGGCCATGGACGAAATGCGATCATGGCTTTCACAGGACATCCGGCTTCCCTCACCCGTCACCTCTTCTGCCTGAATGCTGTGCTCGGCTCATACCTCACGGGATCCCCCCCCCCCTCCCCAAGACAAAAACACAGACAAAAGAAAGTCTCGCATGAAAAATGGGGCTTCAGGCCTTGAGCTTTTGGGGTTGAAGTCTTTGAAGCTTCGCCCTTGACTTGCTAGGAAAGCCAGTTTTCAAAGGAATTTCTAGACAAACAAAAACCATGGTCCAGAAAGTTTTGGGAATCTGAAGCTGGAAGCTTCCAGGCCTCCTGCTTTTCGGGTAGCCGGGCCCTGAGACCTCGAAGATTCAGGCCTTAAAGCTGAAAGGCTCCGGGTTTCAAACCTTCCCTGTTTTGAGACTCCCCCTTAGTACACGAGTGCAGCTCACGGGCTACCCTCCTGGAGCATTGTTGGGGCCTAACCTCCGGCCAGTTCAAGCCTTAGGGCTCTCGGGCTCAAGGGCCTTCTGGCCTTCTGCTTAGTTGCGTCCCCCGAAACTTCGCATGTGACCCCAAAATAAGTATGCGAAACTTTGCATACTGCCAGTAGTGGACCCCCGTGGCGCATAAAAAGAGGCCTTGTGTGCAAGAAAACCTTGCCCTCCGGAACCCGCAGCACGAACGCACGAGCTATTCACACTTGCTTGGCCGTGCATTCCTGGAATACAAGCAGCGCCAAGCCAATCGGGGAGGACCATCCGAAACTAGTTGGCATGTTCTAGCAGTCGCGCGGCATATGAGGGGGTTCGGGTTTCGGCACGCCCTTGTTTCGTTTACCTGACTCATTTCACAAGATCAAGCATAAAACTGGCCTCAGCAAATTTCCTGGGGGCCAGCCCAAGCACTGCAACAGCCTTCCATAACTTCACACTGGAACGCCTGTTTGCCTGCTTACACCAACCAACCCTCCGCACAGACCCGTAGAGCTCACAACGGCATCTCTAATGCTGATTCCAGGTGCACATTTGGGCCCGAAAGGCTCTATGGCGCAAGGTAGCGAAGAGCAGCTGATGTAGAGTCATGATGTCGTGTGCATGGACTTCTGCTTTTTCGGTTCCCTTGCATTTTATCGCCCCCCAGAGAGCATGTGAACTTGACGAACAACGAATTGTGTGGACAAAAAGGGGGCCGTGCGCTTGGGCTGCAGGAAATCGCCTTTGCGCGACGCAGCCTCGAAGAGGACCGTCAGTGCCATTGGCCACAGTACCTGACAATGAAGTTTCGCGGCAAGGCAAAAGCAGCAGAGCCGGCCCAGCAGACGAAAGAGGCCCCCCAGTCACAACAGCCTCATGCCCAGAAACGAAAGTGTGGATCTTCGCGTCCTTCGCAGGTCATGGAGTTGAGATTGCGCGTGGAGGAGCACGGCCAGGCATTGGATAAGCTACAGGAGCCCCTCGCTGTCGCAGCAAGTACCCCCAGCTGCACAGCTGCGATCTTCAGCTTTGGAGTTCGGAAGGGCCCCCGGATTGCGGGTTGCTCGCCTTGTCGCAGGACGGTGAATTGGAAAAGCTGCGGAAGGACTTACAAGACCAAGCAAGACTCATCAAAAAGTGCGCCCTTGCATGTCCTGGCACGATCTGCCGATATGCGTGCAAATTCGGAGCTGTCAGATTGGACGACGCGACGGGCAGCAGTGACGCGCGCTGTTCAACATCGTCGGAGCGTGTTCAAGAGGCACCATCGCCATCCAAAGACTCAGCATGACTGCTGTGACAGAGCCACCTTGCCTAGTGCCGAGTGTTGAAGTGCTCCTCACTGCCGAAGGCAAGAGCGGTTGCTGAAGAACGGAAGTGGCGATTGCGGATGGAGACCTTCGAAGCCAGCTTGGCGAGGCCACAGCACTGCGTAAGGCTTACACGAAACAGCCCCGTGCAACGGGAGCTGGCTGCATAAGCGGTGCAAACGGATCCTGCCGCGCCACGTCGATTTGCTGCCAAGCGGTGCCTCCTAAGTTACCATGATCGAATCTCAAGTCTCAAGTTCTTCTGCATAAAGGTGGTGAAGAGATCCTGATCCTTTGACCATGAGATTTGCCAAGCAAAGACCTTACCACAACCAATGCCCACTTAGGCCCACCGTAGCTTAGTTAGCCTGGCCTGTGAGCTGGCATCTGGGCAGATCCGAACCTGAGTACAGCTTTGTTACTTTGTCACGCCAGGAATGCAGAACACATCGAGGCATGCAACCAAAGGACATTGGAGCTTGCGGAGCGCACAGCAGCCAACGAAGCAGACTTTCAGCGAGGCTGCTTTGTCCATGCAAGCTGCACTTCTTGTTCTCAGCTGGACGTTACCTGCTTGACTTGCAGGCTTCTGCTCCAGCCAGTCTGCCGAGCGTCTGTGCTCTGAAGCCACAAAAGACATCAGCCTGATGCGGACATCTTCTGACAAGCAGGCACGCTTGTGACACCACGTTTCCCCCGCAGCGCGCCCTGCCATCACGGTTCAGTCCCATCTAGGCCGAGGACTTGAAGCAGCTTGACAAGCAACTGCGGTGTTTGGCTGCGGAATTTGCGACCATGAAGGCCTTCAAATTCTTTACACCCTGACTTGTGTGTGCTATCTCACTTATGTTTTTCACAAGCATGCCGGTCCTTCCCTGCTCCCGGATAGGACGCAGGGAATGTCACCGTCAAGCGTATGAACAGCCAGGAAGATCTCCTAAGTGCTCTGCAAGTCACATCCAGTGAGCTTTCTTCGATGCAGAGGGCGCACAAGGAAGAGATGCTATCCTTCGGAACAAGTTTGCAAGAAGTCCTTGCCGGCGTGGCTGTTTGCAAGACGGAAGCACTGGCAGTGCAAAGCAGGATGGATGCAGTGGCACAACAGTCGGAGGATACCTGCAAACAAATGTCCAAGTCGAACCAGCACATTTCCAAGAACGACATCAAAATACAGACCGCAATCGAGGACCCTTGTATTGAGCATGAAGGTGTGCTGCATAGTGGACAAGGGCAGTCCCACCCCTTCGACTGAGTCAGGAGCTTCGAGGTCAACACGATCTTCTTCAGAGCATGCAACGCAGCCTCAAGATACAGGAGGATGGTCTTAGCCAGGTCCAAGACCAGTGCAGTGACCCGGCCTATAGTGATGTAATATACTATGATATACTATAATATACGATAATATACTAGAATATACCTATAATATACTATAATGAACTGACGCCCCATTTAGGCGCTTTGGTGAAAGCGCGCTCGCAATGCCAAGGTCGCCTCGAGTCGCAATTTTCATCTCGGGACAGTGCTGTTGGAAAGAGAATGGATAAGATTGAGCGAGACGATGCTTGGCTGCAATCCTCACAAAGACACAACTCTTGTAGCTGGAGCATCACGCACAGTCCACTGTCACGTGTCCTTGCACAGGTGACAACCACTGAGACGGAATTGTCAACAATGCAAGGGTGCCTGGAAGGTCACAACGCTTCTTGCCTGAAGAAGCAGCGCTTAGGCATTTCCCTTTAATTTTTCGTGCTTAGATTCTCGGATGCTCGGAAGATGCGCAAGAACACGAAAAGAAGTTCACGGACTTCCTGATGGCCAGGCCCACCTGGCCACCTTGGACGAGCAGCGCCTGTCGCTGGCTGCCAAAGGAGCGCTGCAGGACCATCCTGCCCTTTGCACGCTATTTTGGGCGCCTCTGCCTCAGACTTTAGGTCTCCTTTGCCCAGGAGGAGCAGCTTCGGAAATTGTGGGCAGCGGTGGAAGGTTTGGAGAGCCAGGCCGGACATTGTCAAAGGCAAGTTTCGAAGAAGCGCGCTTTCTCTTTGATCGCGTTCAAGTACAACAGTTGGCCACAGGCACACTCCGAGCACAAGGAGCTACTTCACCTGTCGAAGGGTGTCAAGGAGCAGGGCTGCAACCTCGGATGGGGATGCTTCGGCCAGCGTCATCTTTGTCTTCGTACAGGTAGTACTCGTACTAGAATACCAGATTCTAGATAAGTAAGTTGAGTTAACTAGAAGTAGCCGCTAGCCGCAGCTGCAGCAGGAGCAGCAGTAGCAGTGGCAGTAGCAGCAACAGGGCTGTGGGATGCCGTACGTTCTCCAAACCACTCTTCAAAGACAGTTCGCGGTGTTGTCTGGCATGTCGGCCCGTGTGCAGCGACGATGGAGGGATTCATTAGTTGAGCCGTTGAGTCGCATGCTTTGTATAATTTGACACCCACACATACACACACACACACACATGTGCGCGTGCTTTCAAAAGAGCACGCAGCATGCTGAGGCCAATGCCTGGAAGATATTCAGTCAGAAGCGCGAGCACAATCAAAGGCTGCAAGCATCTCGTACAATACCTGCTACATCTTTCTTCACTTGAGCTCTTCAGGCAACCATGGAGTTGGACAACAAGCTCGAGACGATTCAGCATGAAAGCACGAAGTTGTTGGACCGCTCGGGTTTTGAGACGTCCTAGGTCCAATGCTGTAGAATGCAAGTTGTGCAGGACGAGAATCGCCAGCAACTCAAGTCGGCCTTGTCGGATCTAGAAACCGAGGCGTGGATTCTACAATTTGGGATCCTGCGTGACTTTGGGTTGGTACAAGAGGAGAGTGGAACCTGGTGAGGTCAGAGCTGTGTCCGGCGCCCAACGCGAAGCTTCTGAGCTGCTGAGAAAGACCAGCCGAAGCCTCAAAGAAAAGCCCTTTTCATCCCTTTTCAGTGCTAAAGAAAGCACACTGGAAACCTCTCGCGACAACAGCGCACGCAAGCAAAGAAACAACCAGCATCGGGAAGCGCCCACAGGCCTGTACCTGAGGAGGAAACAAAAGTTGCTTTTGTTTGCCAGCCCTTCAGGGCAAATCTCGATCAGCGACTTAGAAACATTGCCTGCCGCCTTTCTGTGGCCGCCTTCATACCTGTAGGTGCGGAGACAGAGGCCATGAAGACGGAGTCTCGAGAACTGGCGAAGGTAGGGGCCCCGAAAGCATCCAGCAATCAACAGCTGCCCTCCGACGCGCCATGTGTCAATCCCCCCCCCGGTTCTTAGTAGGGGATGAGGGAATTCGGGGCCCTATGTAAAACCCTTTAAGGGCACCTCGTTCCCCTCATTCCCTACGAAGAGCCAGCCAGAATCAGGCACAAGCCGCCATCACGGACCGACAGGAGCTGCAGGATGCGCAGAACTCAAGGCAGAAGTGTTTAGGGTTTAGGGTTTAGGGTTAGGGAATCTATGGACTGCGTTTTTAGTCAAGCGAAAAAGCTACGTGGGGTGCATGTGGCAGGTATGATGAGATACTGGAGAACTTGCTGCAGCAGAATACAAGCCTTCTGGACCACCATGGCTGCTTGCAGTGCGCGACCTTGATGTGCAGTTGCTAAACGCAGGCCCAACTAAATCACAGGTGATTTGTCCGACTTGTACTGGCTTGTGCATGGGCTCGGAGGACCAAGCCTTCGTGTGGGATGCTGACATCAAGTGCACATTGCAACGGATAGGCGTGCTTGAGGCCATGAGACAATCATTCAAAGCACCGACCCGGCTGCTCCGTTCTGCAAGAACTCAGGCCAAAGCGGAAACTTTGGACTCTGAGCAGGAGAGCATGAGGCTGGAAGAGGTAGTGGTGCAGCACTTGAGCTCCTTGCTGAGTGCGGCGGAGGCAGACTGTTTCCAGATGCATCACTCAGATACAGGAAGAAATTGCAACTTTGCAGCACATCGAGCAGTCGCTAGACATGGCCTGACAGCCTTGGCATGTGGTCTCATGTAGCCTTAGGAGTCCACGCAGAGCCGTCAGAACAGTACCTACGAGGCATGGATTCCTTTGTTTGATGCACGCAAAATGCAGACAGTTGTTCTGATGGATGGGATCGTTTGTCTCAGTTAGGTTGCCAGTCGACTGCAGCATGAGATGTCGACACAAGTCTCCAGAGTCGAGTGGGACACTCGGATGGGGCTGCAAGTTAAACCGAGTTCGGACTGAGCACGTAGCTTATGCACAGCCTGGTGAGATGAACCTTGCCTAGGATGCAGCAGATGCATGCCGAGCTACAGGATTGGGTGACAGCAACTCGCCAGGCGGGCATTCAGATCCGGAAGTGTAGTGGATTGAGGACGAGGCTTGCTGCATGCTACTAAATGCTGCTGCTCTGGCCAGCCTGGCCTCAAGCGCAGAAATATGTAGCTCACCAGGGCGGCCTCTCACCATGGCCAAACAACAACTCCACCCCTGAACGAAAGCCATCTGCATTGCAGCTCGCTGTACTTGTTGATGCAGATCGTTCAGGGCGGTTGTTGGTTGCGTAGCAAATTCGGACCAAGAAGTGTTGCTTCAGGCGATGGACCGCTGGCTGTCAACATCCTTGGATAAGTTTCAGAAGGAGCAAGGCACTGGACAGAGCCAAGAGCGCTTGCATTCTCTACTATGACATGCTGGCCAGGATTGGTCCTGCAGCACCATCAAAGCCTGGATCCCAGGGTGCCGAGCGCTGTGCATGCTGATAGTATGCTGATGCCGAGATGTTTTGCTTGTGAATGAGGCTGGATGCACCGTGTGAAGCGCTGGGTCGAAAAGATTCATGTGCGCAAAGCTCTCAGTTGCACCTCTCATGGTGTCACACGTACATATGCTCACAGCTGAGTGACAAAGAACTCACGGTAGCATACACAGGTGAGCAGGGCCTGAGCCACGTTATTCTCCACATCCTGCAGGAGGCAGTTTTTCAGAACCCATGACAGGTGTGTAGCAGCGACGATTTCCACAGAACACACGTCCGACGAAAAGACGTTTCTGCATGCGTTCGCGACGACACTGTCCGTAACCGCGGCCAGCGTGCATGGGCGATTATTCACAAAGTTAACCTTGCTCCCTGAGTATGGCTTCACGAGATGAACAGACTTGACACCTGCCATCGATTTTGAGCCACGATGGCCCCCTGCCCCTTAACATTGTCCGCAATTGTTTGGAGGGCTCACCAGACATGGTGAAGCTGCTGGAGGAGGCGCATGGAGAGAAAAAGAGAATCACACATCGCCTCTTCCGCGACGGATACTCGTCGGATACTCATGGCCCGTGAGGCCTTGAAAGTGCCACGAAAGCCGAGCATGAGCCCCAACAGCGACTGGGAGCCGAGCTGAAGTAAAGTGTTCGAAGCCTGACATTTGCGATGCTTCGCAAGAGGCTTCTTAATTTAAGTGCAGATGTTGAAAATATGCTGGCAGGAAGGCCTTGCATTGGTAGGTGCAAACCTTGGTCATGTGCAGATAGGCGCTGGCTGTCCCACCTTGGTGATAACCAGCTCTTTTTAATTCGCAAGACCAATTCAGCGAGAAGCCTCGTTGGTGCGACTTGCAAGCTCGCAGGTGGCAGCACCTGCACAATCTGAACAGTAGAGGAAGGGACTAATGAAAGATGTGCATATGTGCGCAGCGGGAATGCAAGAAAAACAGGCATGAGCTGCGAAGACCAACCCATATCTGATCTGGGGGGCGTCTGCATAGTGGGTGGCGGTGTTGCTGGGTAGGCCAGAACCACGAGCAATCAATCCCGAACGCAGAGGGAGTGCGCAGGACGCTTTGCAAAAAGGAGTACTAGGCTCATAAACTTCTGCCTCGGCAGGTTCAGCGTCCTGTGCGTCTGTGTGTGAGTGTTCCTTCCCCGCCTTGCGTTTGCATGCGACGTCGTAGTGATGCAAAGGTTCCTCGGTCGGGTTGCCTCGTAAGCATTCTCACCACGACTTGCAAAGTTTACAAAGATGAGAGTTCTGACCAACCAAGGCAGCTCAGGCCTTGCACGGCCAGCCTTGGGTTCGGCTGGCAGATCCTCAGCACATGAAGCCAAGGGTCATGTTTGTGAGGATATTAAGTCTCCTTCAGCCTCATAGGATGCCTTGGCCTTGGGAGTATGTGAGTATACCCTTGCCCTGCCTTTGCCCTGCCTTTAAATCAATCTTGAGTCGGGCCCTTCTCCGTCTTGCATCCCAACCCACACACATGTTTTGACCCTGTCATGTGTTCACTTTATGTGTTCAGATGCCCCTCCGCAAGGAGAATGGTGTACTACTGTGTTCCATGTCGTGCTTGATGTGCCAGAAGCTGTGTACAGCAAAAATGTTTGCCCACCACGTGGTCTCAGATGGGCTGCCTGCTCTTCAAGTGCATGCAGTCTGGCCCTACGACAAAGGGATCAGTTGTCTTCCGAGCACGGTATACTAATGATTGCGTTTGTTTGTTAAGTGCGTGTGCGTGTGTGTGTGCCGGAGCGGAAACCAAAGTGGCTCTCTTAAGTTTGTTTGTCACCTGCGTGCGTAGCCCGTCCTTCGAGTTTTTCACTACAGCGTGTTGTAAGGACAAGGCTTTTCCCTCCCTCATGTCGTGCCTGGGCACTTGTGCCTGCCAGTTGCCTACCCCGTCGTTGGCGAACTCCAGACAACTCAACTCCTTGCCGTTCAAACGCCTCCCCCGTTGAACATAGGCAGCTCATGTCCTGCAAAATAACCAGAGCTCGAGGGCGAGATTTGAGAATGTTTCATGCTGCGGCAGCTGCGAGGGTAGCGAGAGCATGATGCGATGTTCTTATAGCCAATGTGGACATACGTGAGCAGAGACTGACGTCACAACCACTGACAGTACTGTCCTTCTGTGGGCTCTGTACTGCATCATGCGCAATGGACTACCCAGTGAGCCTTGAAAGACCTTCACACCTCAGCCATCGACAGCCCAAGAGCTCCAACCCGGAAACAAAGCCCAGTGGGAAGTGAGAGAACATAGCATGAAAAAGGTGAACATGTTTCATGGGCCATGGCCTTGGTCGGTGCGAAGCTGCCGGGGTCGCGTGACATGATGAAACCCACTGCATCAGTTTTTACAGTGTTTCTGATGGCAGGGCAAGAAAGGTTGTTGCCGGAATCCTCCTCCTTTCGATGGCCGTTGGCTCGATTGATTCGTATTCATGCAGCTCACACCCTTCACAGGTACCACCGGTCATACTTGCTTGCAGTGCAGGTCGTGCTCAGCAAGCATCAGGGTTTTGCCAGCCCAGTTAGCATCTGAGAACGGTTTTGTTCAGTCTGTGTTCGGAGCCATTGAGCTGTGACGGTGCCCACAAGGCCCGCATGGCGAGAAGCAACCAGCTGCTGGACCTCAGCCTGCTTCGCGGCATAGCATTGTGTGGAACGTGGAAGCCATGTGATGGCATAGGGCAATGTGCAACCTTGCGCTTTTACCGGGAAAGAAATCGAGTTGAGTAGATGTCACCCGTGTGTTATTTCTCAGAGGGCTTGATAGAAAGAATCGCGCGTGCGTCTCCAGCGATGCGTCCGGCACTGGAAAGTTGGGCTTGGTCTTCTTGAGGCCTGCCATGTCTTGAGAGTTAGTGGTGAACTGCTCGTACAGACACACTCAGGAAGGTCATCCACCCTGATCCCCCGTAGGGAAGACCGAAGACGCCCGCAAGACGAGAGACGGCTGGGCAGCCTCGGAAGGAACACTTGAAACCCCCCTAGTTGACCCCAAGCGCTGAACAGAAGTTGCATACAGTTTCCTTTCCTGGAGAATGTGGGAACAAACACAAAGAAAGCCCTGAACCCCAAGCGAAGTTCAGGCAAAATCCCAAAGCAGCCCTAAACAAGGGAAGGATTACAGCACCTAAGCCCCCAAGCAGTTGAAGGCATGTCAAAGAAACAAGCCTCCGAAACCCCGGCAGACTCTACATGAAGGGAGACGAGCGCAGACAAGAAGACAGAACTTCAGCCAGCCTCGGCGGATAGCAGCGCCAGACGAACCTGCACGTGCTTGGCCGGTATGCTTGATTCAGCTCTTCATAGTGATTGCGGGCCCACCAAGGCCGGACGACATGCGGCCCGTCTGAACCCCAGCTTCGCCGCAAGTGCATCGTCAACGCCCAAAGACTGTTGAACACGCTGCTTGTTGCGTGTGGTGCTGCATGTGCCCTGTGCTCCAGGCGAACGCCAACCTGCGGGATCTTGCAGAGACTGCTTATGCAGAGCTCATCAACAGCAAGAAGGCTTGTGGGATCAACCGGCCCAATGGCAGCAGGTCGGATACCCCCGGCATGTCAGAAAATCTCGATTTTGGATCCGATCTTCCTCTGTGTTCGTCTGTGCTTTATATCCTTAGCCGCGAGTGAGTTGCCTGCTTTTGGCGTGAAACTCTGTTACCACGCGTTGGAAGCCACTGAAGTGCCCCCGTAGATGTACGTCCGTAGCAAGATGGTTGCATGCATGGCATCCGGCAAAATGTTTCATATCTACATTAAGACACCAGGGCCCGCTACGGAGCGGCCGGAGTTCGCATGCCTGGATTACTCGCTCTTGCCTGCGGGCAGGTAGATTTATGTTCAGAACTGGTGCCAGCCATCGCCAAGGAAGTGCTGGCCTGATAAGTCTGGCTGGTGCATGTCACGGACAAGTTCTATGTGCTGCAAGACCAAGGATCCCGTGCTGGGTGCTGTTTGGCTGCATGAGATTCGTCGGGGGCCTCAGGCGTGTCGCAGCTGGAATTGTGCTGGTAGGGACAGGAGTGGGCAAGAAGAGACCGCTGCCTTCCATCTGCTTGAATGACAATGGCTGAGTACCTTGCACAATGTGTATCGTGCATGGGCCAGTGCCAGTAAGATGCACTTCCAACATGCTTGAAAGAGAGTATATATTTTCATTCGCAAGTGAGAGCCTTTTGCCGGAGCTCTCATGTCCGCGTTGCGAAGGGTTTCAGATGGTTTGTTTCACTGTTTGCAGGTTACCCACGGTGCTTGTAAGTCTAGAAAGTTATTCTCGGGGTTACGAGACGCCGAGGGCACAGGCGCATGTCAAACGTGCGCCGGGTCGTGTTGCAAGCGCAGCCGTCATGGCAGGCTTGCCCGGCATTGCCTTCAGTCCAAGATTGACATGGCCTACCGGGAAGAACATACCAGCCTCAGAAGACGGCGCAAGTGGATGTATTTGACGGAAGCGCAAGGAACATGCAGTCCCTGATCTTTGATGATCAGGGCATGGTCTACTCCACCACGCTTCCATCCCCAGTCCCCACCTTCAGCCTTGAGCTACATGGCTTGGACCGTGGCATGTTTCCAAATAGTTGATAGTGATTTCCCCGTCATGGTGGAGTGGGGCAAACGGCAAACTCATCTCTTGTGTGGCGCATGCTATACGCTTGGCGAGGAAGATTCAAGTTTCGGCTGACGCGTGCGGACTACTGCAGGCTGCACTTTCTTCCTTGGGCATGCATGACCCAAACCAAGTTAACCGGAAAAAAGGAGGTGTGATCAGCATCCATGGTTCACTGCATCAGAACGGTGCAGCAACGCTGGAGGAGGATGATCACCTGCAATTCCGGCAGCAAACGTCTGGGCTGCACGATTAACAAAGCTTGCCTGCAGATGATCATGGATTTGGCACTCAAAGCGCCCTTTGTGTGGACCATGTCACCTGCCAAATCCCTGCCCACTTGCCGTCCGCACCCCAATTTGGCTACTCTGACGAGTCGTTGGTGGACGCTGGGCATTCTGCAGAAGACGTTTGAAACAAACCCGCTAGTTTTGGTGCCGATGTGTGACCCGATTTACAGACGACAGTTCCGACGCTTCCCGCACCTGATCAGTTTGTTCGGGATCACGTGGCAACGCCCACTGCTACTCAAGAAATCCTTCAAAGCTTGACGGTTTTGAAGATCTCCTTGCGTGCACAAGTTCGAGCCCTGCCCCTTTCGCCGGAAAGGTCCTGGGTAGGTAGAGTTTTCCTTGAAATTTGTGAGCAATTCCGAGCTCGTCAACATGTGTAGTGCAAGCTGTGTATAGGATGTACAATCTTGTGTTGCTGATTTTGTGTCACCGACTGATGTGGTTGTGATGAAGTTTCCTAAAAGGAAGCAGCATGATTGATGCTTTTGCCTAGTACCTGGCTTCGTAGAGCTGAGAGATGCCTGTGAGAGATGGGAAAGAGGAGCGCATGCTCAGAGGGTCCAAAATCGGCCAGCTGTGAAGCCCGGCATTGCAACAGCCCGGAAGCAAAAGGTCCTCATTTCAGAGCTGAGTGGTTGAAGTTCGAAAACGTTTGATGATCCATGGAAGACCTTGAGAACTGCACCCCAGTTCTATCCCTCAAAGCAGGCTTTGAATTCATGTAGGGGTTTAGGTCGGAAGCCAAAGACTTGGGTTGAGGGCTTACGTTGCAGGATGTGCTGGTGTAGTACTGAAAGGTGGGCACGGTAGGGACTACAGATGACCAAGGTCTGCTGAAAGCATCGCCGTCAGCGAGTTGCTACGAGGATTCTGCCTCCTGGCTCGTGCCGAGTCGCGCGCCTTTTCTGTGTGATGAGGCCGTGATCGAAAGCGAAAGCCGCGAAGGCTTAGCCACGCAAGCATCCGCCGCGTTGGACGCAACAACCCCAGTTGTTTGCAGCCACAGCACTTAAAAAAAGGATGTGGGGCGGGGGGGTTCTGTTCTTGGCAGTTCAGAGTTGCCTTGCCACCATGGGGTCTCTGAGGGTCTTTGTTCGAGTGATGTCATGCATCTGATGTCGACATGGTGAAAGCTTCCCCTGTGACGGCGTCACAGAGTCGTCCATGTTATCCACACACTTTTGTAACTGTAGGAGCAGCACGCATTTCTAGCTTGACCGGGATTTGCGATGCAGATTCAATGCAACCCGCGTGCGATGGCATACAAGATCTGGTTCAGTCACTACAAAGCACAGGTTACCCTCACAGGCTGTTAGCACCCAAGCCTTTCGGAGCAAACATGCGATCACGAGTGGTAAATGCGTTTTGTACCTTTTCGCTGTCTGGCCAGCGAGTTTTGGAAAACATTTCGGTGCTTTTGCAGGGGCTTACTTATGACCTTTTGCTGCTTTCCTTTTACCTACACCTGCGTCTACAACAAGGGACTTGGCGAGTGACTAGCTGATGTCAAGAGGCGAGATCACGAACAGCGCCGTTGCTTTTCAAGCCTAGATCTGTTTCATGCCTCGACAGGCCATCACTTGATGACGCAGAATGTTAGAAAAGTTCCTGTTCGGCCATTCGGTATTGCATGTTTTCTGTGTGGGCACGAGATGTCGAAGGAAACATGTACGGAGTTAGCCATAGCAAATGCCATATTGCAAAGTTTGCAATGTAAACCGCTGCTTGAGGAGACGAACACCGTGTCCGCGGGCGCTTATTGCAATGTGATTGAGGAGCGGTGAGGCTGAACATGGCTGGACCAAGATTCCACAACATGTTCTGCAGGCTCTTGCTCGATGTGGAGATGTGGATGCAGTTCGGACGTGCCTAGCTGGAATGCAGGGAGCTTACAACGCGGGGCATTGGTGAAAGCGAGTAATTGACGAGCAAGAACTTCACAAAGCAGGAAAACTTCCGGCATCAATTTCGACAGGCTTTTTCTGACCAGATGTGGGATGCCACTTGAAAGCAAGCACTGGCCTGGTACAGGCACCTTCCGAAGGCCATTGAGGCTTTCGCAAGGAGCTCAGCTTCTGACAATGCACGATGTCGTTGCTCTATTGGCTAGCACCTGCCTGCGGCACGTGCTCCAGGCCAAACATGGCGACAGCTCTTTGACAAAGCAGCTGCTTGACGAAGCAATCCATTCAGGAAGATGGCCGCTTGTATCACCGTTTTCAGACATGGTACGACTAGGCAAGTGCGGAAGAGGTCTGGAGCTAGATGCAGTGCTCACCTCCAGCAGCTTTGATAGAAGACTTGTGAAGCGGCTACTGTGTTCACAAGGTGTGGCCTTAAAAAAGTAGTTTCGCACTTTTCTCTTTGCCTTTTGAGCAAACTTGATTTGGCGACTTTGAGTCTGAAACTCGCAACCGAAATCGAACCCTTTTGAGGGAGCGTTACCCTACACAGCTCAGTGTCAAGAGAAGGCAAGATCCGGGTTTGAGAAGCACGACTCGTGAGAATAGCAATGAGACGACACATCAAAAGCACGAGCCTTTGCAGGAGCCAGCATTGACGCTCACACGTTCACTGCAGCCATCAGCGTCTTTGCCAAGGATGTTTGGCCACGCACGCAGTGTGTGAGCATCGGCCTCGGCATATCCCATGCTGCAGGAAGGAAACTTCGCACAAGCTGCGGCGGCCAAAGCTTGGAAAATGCAGTCATTTGTTCTCCCGTTTGCACTGCAATGGCAAAGCAGCATTGCACTTAAGATTCAGCATGTTTGCCGGCAACAGGGGTGTCACGTGGACTGCTATTACGCAGACAAAATGTCATAAACGTATTGGACCAAAGACCAGGTCAAGTTGTCATGGTTTCACGTCATTAGAAGTGGCATGTGTGTGCTCGAAAGAACACTGACAATCATCAGAGCCAACAAAGGCTTGCACGTTTCAAGGAGAGAGGGAGAGAGAGAGAGAGGAGCAGCCCCTCAAGCACAACCATTCACGAGAATGGGAGGCCTTGGCCGGTGTCCACAAGTTGCTTCTGAAAAGGGGGTGTCGTGGACTCCGTCGTGAACCCTTGCGAGTCACAAAGTGCAAAATGGTACCGCAACCCAGTGCCCAGGGAGGAATTTTGGGAGAAAGCCGTGTGCAGCAACATCCCTGGGGCAACAAACTGCAAAGCTGCCATTCGCGTCAGCGAGGCATTGGGAAGAACTTAACATACAGTTGAATTTTCTTGCCACCTCTCGAGGCAAGGTCTCCACACCTAGAAAGCCACAAAACTCGACGAAGAAGCGAAGCAAGTATCATCCTTCACTCAACCTCGGGGCCTTTTTGCCCTAAGGCCTACCCCCTAAACGGCCCTAAACCCTGTGCCTAACTCAACCTGCAGATCCTACGTTTTCCAGCAAATCTGGACCGCTTCGCTTCTTTGACCAAGGAGGAGGTCTTCGAACTTATGCAAAACCACAGTGCATGGCACTTAAGAAGTCGACTCACCAGGCAGAGAGATGAAAGAAAGAACGACGCAATCTGAGGTTGCTCCAGATGCGCCGGGCCTAGCATTCTCCAAGCGAGGCGATTCACGCATCGGCGAAATCGGAGAACTCAGGCTGATGCTTGGGCATGGCTTCTGCTGGCAAGCCTGCGCCTCGTGCAGCCCGAAGTTCCCTACTTATAATCACACAGCTACTGAATCACCGAAGGCCAAGCTCGGCTTGAGTGTAGTCTTGTTCATGATGCTTGGGAAGAAGCGAAGGTTTGGCGTATTTGTCGAGAGGTAAGGGGATGGGGCAAATTGCAAGGTCGACAGGAATTGAGTGGTTTGGGGATGTTGGGGGGGGGGGGGGGGGGGACGGCGCACGGGGCGGGGCGCGCCGGCGTCTTCTCCGCGGGCACATGGGCTCATGCATGGCACGCATCCCAGACGCATGTCAATAGCAGGCACGCTGCGGATTCAGGTTTCAGACTGCAGGATAGGTCAGCAAGACGACAGTTGCTGTGCCAGGTTTATGCTGCGTGCAGGTGGCGGGTATGGTCAAGTCACAATGGATCAAGAGGGGCATCCATCTCCTTCATGTGTTGCTGTTGATGTGTCATGTTGTCGTCTGGTATGCCTTGATCACTGTCAATTCGTCATTTTGAAGCGGTGTGCTTGTCAGCACGACTGTCGTAACTTTGGGCATGCAGCAGCCTGGCACGCTTGTATGAACGCATAAACGCGCTGCACGGGCCGCAGGGGGTGGCAGCTTCACTCCTGTGTGTGGAGCACATGCACCCCTCATGCTTTCAGTCTTGGAGCGACGCATGAAAACTGGATTCGGTCGAGACCAGTGTCAGGCATTGTTGTTTGTACACTCCTGCCGGGTGAGTGTTCACACGGTCTGCGAGGGGAATCCTGCTAGCTTTCGTTGGCCTCGGCTTTGCCAGTCATGTGATTCAAGGCGCGACAGACACACGAATGCGGAGGACAGATGTGAGAAAGGTCGGCTGCCAGCAACAATGCCTCACGATCTGGATGGAGGCAGACCAATCCAGAGCAAATCTTCCGCGGCATGCTGGATCATGGTGTGGTGGGGGCCCAGCCGTTCATCTCAATTCCCCAGCGGTTGCGATAAGCCATCCGCGATCGGCAGGTTCCTACCACCTTCAACTTCCGCGCCCTGGGCCGTGCTATCGGGACTCAAAGGCTTGCTGATGATATCGTAGTATGGGTAGTTCTCTAAATTAGGGTCTCTTTTGCGGTCCGTCAAAAACTAGCGGGGACCCAAAAACAGGGGACCTAATGTAGAGGAGTTCCCCATAATACCCATACTACCCAGAATACCCATAATACCCATAATACCCATACTACCCATAATACCCATAATACCCATATAATATTATAATATGTAGTCTTGGGATGAAAAAACCCGGGGGGAGAATCCGTGATTGAGAGGAGCGTGCAGCTTTGCAAAGAGCTCGGCCTCGCAAGCCGCTTTGCTGGCCGAGTCAGGACGTCCTGATTGCGTCTAGGGTTTAGGGTTTAGGGTTAGGGTTTATAGGGCTTAAGGTTTAGGGGTGGCGCATGAATGTGACTGAGCGTGCCAGTCCCTGATTCGTCCGTAGTTGCGGCGTGCTCTGCTGCGCTGGTGATTGGTTCAAGCCGCACACTCCTTGCCTTCTGCCTCGTGATTCCAAAGCTGGTGGCTTTGGCCCAAGCCTGTGCATCAGTTTGCGGCAGAGGCAACTGCACAAGGGAATCTAATTTGCTTTCGCACTTCCTTGCTGCTCTGTCACTCAGTCCCAGCACAGCACACGTCTCAAGTCTGCAATCGTAAGGGGGCTCGAGGTACTGCCAGACGTGTGGGCTCATGGAATAGCTCTGATGTAGTGGCTCGAGGACAAGGAAAAAGTTCAGCTTCTTTGAACTCCGAACATGAACCACACACGGGAAAGCGGCTCTTTGTTTTTTTTGTATTCTGTTGCTGCAATGCTGCCAAGAGCTGCCAGCATCCTGCAGTTTCGCGGCAATGGGCAAACAGCTAATGTCATCGTGAGTCTCCCTGCCTTCCTCTCTCTCTCTGACTCTCTCTCTCTCTCTCTGTCTCTCTCTTTCTCTCTCTCTCTCTCTCTCTCTCTATCTCTCTTGTCTCTCTCTCTCTCTCTCTCTCGCTCTGACTCTCTCTGTCTTTCTCTTCCCCCACGCTTCCCAAGAACATGACTTGGAATGGGGGATGTGACTGCGTCAGGGCTTTAGACTTGTCCTGGACTGTCTACATACATCTGTCAAAAGCGGCCCTTCCTGCAAGGGAGGCGCGCTGTGCAAGCGATGTGACCTGATCGTGTGAAACCATGGTACCTCGGCAACAACTTGGTACAGACAAGTCATGAAGGGTTGACTGTGGAGATGGGTTGAGGTGCTGAAGGGTCCTGCCACACCTTCTGGGCATCCAGATGGACTGCGTCCCGGGAGCGCCTCGAAAGCAATTGAGAAAAGCAGGATGCTTCTATTGCCCTTGCCTAAATACGCCCCGTGCAAAAGGTCGCCCTGCCACGAGCCCTGCCACGGCAGCGTGCAACAGCCGAGCACTACAGACCCCAGGCACCTCCGTGCCCTTGTGTGGCAGCGGCATGGCAACCGAATGTGCCGATCTCACCAAAGGCTCGGCACACTCCGATTTCACCTTGGTGAACACGTTCGGCTCTCAGAGGCCCCCAGAGTTGAAGTCAGCCATGTCACTCCAAAAGCGTTAGGCCGCGAGAAGTGGCCATTCGCTCCAGATGCTTGCTGGAGACTCAACGCCCAACTCTATTGACGCTTTGCTCGGCACATGCGATTGTTGTGACGGCTTGTGCCCCGAAGCCTTGACCCGCCCAACACTTGGCTGAGGATGCAGCGGAGTCCTGCTGGGTCACGGAGGGTAGTGCTCCCCCGTGAGCTTGTTCCAGCGTCGGGCTTGGCTCACTTGCATTGCCCCTGACCTGGGATTTGTAAGTTGTTCTCAGCGAGGTAGGCGGGCGGGTGGAACACGACAACAGCGGCCAGGTGCTCAAACGCCATGAGCCACCACAGGTGCATGAATCCAAGACAGGCTGCTACAGCCCTGTTGCTGCAAGGTGAAGCTTGCACGAGCAAGTCAAGGCCATTACATTCTGATTGCATGAGACACCCTAAACAAGTAAAGTGGTACTGAAACACGTGAAGCCTTTTCTCGCCGGCCTCCTTTAGGCGGTAGTATCAGCCGATGACCGCAAGCACAAGTGTAATTTCATGTCACTCGACCAGGCCCACGCCCCAGACGCGATCTCACATTTTTCGATGGAGGGTCCTGTGAATTAGAGATGCCTGCTACGTACTCCCAGAAGCCTGCAAGTCCTTGTGCTCCTAGACCTTCCCGGAGCTGGTGCCCCTCCAAGAGAAGTTCTCGAGAGGAGGGGGGGTGGCGCAGGAGGGGAGGAAGGGGAGAGGGAGGAGAGGGGAGAAGGGGGGCGGGATTTCTTTCGTCACTGGTCGGATCCCATCTACTCCCCCGTGCCCGCTTGAGCCAGTGGTGCTCATGATGCTCACCCTTTTGTTCGGTATGGAAGGTGTCTCTTGGCATGCATGCTCCCTATGACCAGGCATGGGGCATATGAAAAAAGGAAATGTCACAAGCACACCGCACAATAGAAAACAGACAAGTGAAGTAGACTTTGCAGCACCCAGGGGTATGTGGGTGGTTCCACAGGGAGTGTGTGAAGGTTCGTCAGAGGGCTGGGGGCCGCAGCAGGCACGCAACGTAGCGGGCCCATACATGGCCCATACAAAGTTCTAAGGATGGATGGGTCATAGAGGGGATCTGGAGAGCTTTTGCTCGAGAACGTTGCAGGCTTTGGCGGATATGAACAGAAGAAGTTAAAACATCGTCGTCGTTATTGAGCGATGAGGGTTTAGGGACAAGGCCAAACTGCCTGCAGCCCATGCTGCTTGCCTCTGTGGCCAAGGAAAGATGTCTCTTTAGCAGCACAGCCTTCCGCCACGTTCCGCGCACGTTTAGCTCCCCTACCCTACCCTCTATGACCAACACGTCACTTGTGCTGAAGGTGTGTACGGGCCACTCTGTTTGTGGGCGACGGGTTGCGCAAGCCTTAGGTCGGCAATGTCACCAGCACCGATCGAACTTAAAGCCTCAAAAGGGCTGCTTTGTCGAAATTAGGCAGACGGTGCCCGTGGAATTGGTTGCTAGCTTAAGAGCTTCTTGTTGGATTCCGTTGCGTTGACCGTCTCGAAGAGAGGATGCTGCGCAATGGCTATGGAGGTCTCGGCTCAGCGTGTGCAAAAGCGGCAAGTGACTGGTCGAGCAGGCACGGGGCCTCTCTTCAAATGCGTCGCAGATGGTTTGGCCACCTGCGCAGGTGCTGGGCCACCCGTCGCAGAGAAGGACCAAGGGTGCACCCAAAGCGCCCGCATGGTTTCGCCCAGCTTTGCACATTTTTGCCCGGGGCCTTTTCGAGGATATTTTGCGCCATGATGTGCCACTTCTGACACCTGAGCTGCGAGGGGCACTGCCCTCGGCAACAAAATCTCAATGCAACACGTTATAACGCTAGTATGAGCCGGCGCAGCGTTGCAAACTATCTGCGACATGACACCCATGCACACTTGAATCGCTTGAAGAGGTGGCGCGCGTGCTTTTGAAGCATCATCAAGACAAGCTCAGGATCTCAAGCAAAAGTTGGACAGTTTGGTCTCAGTCTGCCGGACAGACTTCAGGGTTTCGACCCCAGAACGGCTGCAGCCAAGCAGAGACACAGCGCTTCGGCATCGAAGGCGCACCCTCGTAGCGTTCGCTTCTTCCTAAGAGAGCTCTGGGAGGTGTGCCAACTGTGCGGTGCTCGGCCAGCATCACTTGAGTGTTCAGAGCAATTCCAGCAGTATGCTGCGTATGCAATGTACATCAATGCACCAGCTTCTTAAACTCAGGCTCAAAATTCCTCTTGCTCCTCGCCCTTACAGGTGCATCTTGTCCACAGCATGGCTGTAAGATCAAAACAGATCTGTAAAAGATCACAAGAATGTGAAAGCAAAACTCATGCTTCACGATGTGCAGGAGAAATCTTGCCAGCCCACTGTACCAGTTCGCGGGGCGCCCCGCAGATCCTGTTTGGAAGCGTCATGTCCATGCCATTCCATGCCCCATGGTGACACTGAACCTTCGCAGACACTGGAGCTTGCCAGGAGAATGTGCATGCTCAAGCCCCGGGTGGGGAGGTGTGCCCAGATGACGTAGAAACCCAGACCGCCATGGCAACGGAGGCGCAGGCCACGAGGCCGCAAGGCACCCTTCCGGGCCCGAAGTCACGCGGACCTCAAGGAGAAGGAGACGCAGGAGACGCAGAAGTGGCAAAACGGCTGGAAGAGACGTTTGGGCCCATGATGGCGCACAGCATGGGCCACATCCTTGCCGATTTTCAGGGCGCGGAGTATGGGGCAGACTACCTGACTGTGTCGGCAGGTGAGCTGGTTAGCCTTTGTCCCTCTCCGAGCGCTGAAGGTTGGAGCTTTGGAATCCAGATGAAAGATGGGCGTAGCGGATGGTTCCCGTCTCAGTTCTGGGCGTCCGGACCGCCTGGCGCTCCCTCCGATGGTCCCAGCAAGGGTTCATCGTCAGACAACACGTATGACAAGGCCTTTCTGGTGTCCTTGCGGCACTTGGTTGGCAGTGGTTTGCAGGATAATGTACCAACCACGATGAGCGAAGCCAAGATCAGATTTATAGTCTCGCGACAGCAAAAGAAGCAGCAGCCAGACTGCCTTCAATCCATGATTTTGCTGCTCGAGGCAGCAGGTGGGAGCGTGCGGCTTGGAAACTTGGCAGCTGCCTGTATTGCACTTTCAATTATGTCAGGCACGCACAAACAGGTTTACCAGGATGTGTTGGACTTGGTCCAGCGATCTCCTGAGCTCTTTGAACCTGTCGAGGCGGCTTCACACAAGAGCTTGCGCCAGGTCTTGATATGCTTGGCTAATTCTGCCGGAGTGGCAGCTCCTGATTTCATTCCAGAAGTTGCGGAGTTTGATGAGGGAAGCAACCCATGCGACAGAGCACCAGGCAGAGCAGACATGCAAATGCCTAATTTTTCCCTCCGTGACAATGCCTAATTCGAATGGAAGTGTTCTCAAACCTGGTCATCAAGGACGTTTCACCCTGTGAACATATAGGTCATGGAAGAGTTTCAGTAGTCCCCTGTGGAAACAAGTCCGGGCTTGTGTGCACAGCGTAGAGATGAAAGCAGTTCTGATCTGCAGAAACAGCATCGGGCCAGAGCCCAGGTTCTGAACATTCCTAGTTGGCCTCCTGCTGATCTAGCTCCATCCAGTGCTGAATTGCGACTTGGCCGGATTGGCCGATGGTTTGCAAAGGACATGGCTGCTCTTAGCTCTTGAACATCAATCATCAAGGTCGGAGGATTCCTTCATCACGTTAACGGTGCGGCTCCAAGAAGCGGGAGAACCGAAGATGGCTTTTGCCGCTTTTGCCGTCGCGGTCGCATCCGTTGACCTGGCGATGCACAGGGTTCAGCACACAAACAAGCACAATGCAACGTAAACAGCCCCGGCACGTCCAGAACGAGGATGAACGAGGTACAGCAAACAGCATGGGCGAAGCAAGGTTGCAAGAGTTTTGGACATCGGGCCGAAACAAGGTCATGTTGGCGTTGGACTCCATCCCCTGGGAGTTCAAGTTTAATATGCACGGTCCTGAGTTCAAGTTCATTTCTTCCAAGATGAGGTTTCCATAAGAGTGGGCTAAGGGTGCAGACGTTTCAAGCTGCTTCCAGGAGCCGCGTCCTCTCTTTTGTACTCAGTTTAAAACTGCTGGGTGGCTAGCAATGGCATCCTCTCGCGCGTGGAGAGGGTGGCTCGGAGCCTGGGAGACGCAGCAAGAGATGGTGGAGCAAAAGCTGCGGAGAGGGAGCAGGAAGAGCTGGGGAGTGCCTGGAGACTTGGAGCCAGGAGCGTGAAGAGCAGGAGGAGCAGGAAGAGGGCAGGGAGGCCGAGGCCGCTTCTCAGGAGGCTTCTCCACAGGCTTCACAGGAGCCTCCCGGGGCCGAAGAGCCTGGGCAGCCGAGGCCCCTGTCCACACAGGACGTGGAGCGGCACCGGGCCTCCTGGCCGGGCATTCCCGGGCACGGCAGCGAGCCGTCAACGCCTGAAGCCCAAGTGAGCGGTAGCCAGATGGTACCGGTGAAGCTCGAGCTGCAGGCGATGGAGGCTGAGCAGGTGGGAAGCCTCGGGCCGCTTGGCCCGATACTCTCCTGGTGCCACCAAGAGAACGTGAAGAACAAGGAGTTTTATGAGGAGCAGCTTGCCAAGGTCAAGGCGGCCGACAGGCAGGAGAGGAAGGAGGACCGGGAGTTCCTCGCCAACTTCTTCAAAGAGCAAATGGCCGAGCAGCGGAAGTTCTACAGGGAGTGCCTGGAGCTGCAGGCTTCACAGGGCCGCGCCTCGTCCGGCTCGTTCCAGCCTGACGTTCCAGTCAAAGTGGAGAGCAGCAAGGGCGAGGAGCGGCTTGGCTGGAGGGTCGAGGTGGACCCGAAGAGCCTCGGCTGGCGGGCTCTACTGCATGGCTACTACAGACGGGAGGGTCCCGCAGGTCGAGCCGGAGCGTGCGCTTCCCACCTGCCTGGAGGACTGGGGTTCCGCGGGCCCTTGGGCGTTCTTTACCGCGCTCACCGACTCCGAGTGGAAGTCGCAGGGCTACGACCTAGCTAGGCGCACCCTCCTGGAGAAGCCAGGCCAGGCCATCAAGATCGTCCGAAACAGACCCGGCATCATCTTCTCTCCCAAGAACACGAAGCGGACGTACAGCAGCTGGTCGTTCCCTATCCACTTTGTGTGGGCGAAGGACGTGTCTCAGGGGCTGCTGGCCAGGCTGCCCCCATACGTGCTTCGCAGCGACGAGGCGCAGCCGAAGAAGACATCCGAGGCCCCAAAGGCCAAGGCCAAGCGAGCCAAGCCGGGTTCCCCGAAGGCCAAGCCGGCCTCGAAGAGGGCGCGCTCCTCTGCCTAAGCAGCCCTTTCCTGTCTTCAAGGAGCACCTTTTTGTTGCTGTTTCCCAGCAGCCGGTAGTGCTGCTCCCAGTGCTCGCAGCAAAGCTGTTTCGAGCAGACCCCTTTGCGTATCTTCAGTGCACGGCTGCCAGGAAAAGAGGGTGGTGTCTATCGCTTTCTTCCAATTGCAAGGGGACAGAGAGATCGTCAAGTTTAATCAGCGGCATGCCGGCAAATGCTCGTGCCTTTCGTTATCCGGGGGGCGATTCCTGACAAAACCAAGGACGACGTATCGCCTGTGCAACTGCTCGACTGCTTTTGGGTCACATCGCCTCAGCCTCAGCATCAGCTTACTGGTCGCGGAACCGACGGGCGGGGACGGCACTTGTCGCCCTTCGAATGTGTTGTGGTGTTTTCCGCGAAGCCGGCGCGGCTGCATGACAACCGTTAACCGTTGCCACATTGGCCCCATCCTGCATAATGTCGTCGTTGAGCCCTGGCGGTGCCTTTCTTCCGAATGTCCTGGGGTGCACGGTGCGTGCAGAATCAGAGCCGGGATTCGTCACCTCGATGTGCTCATCCTGGCCTGCAAATTCAACCTGGGTTAATTGCATCTGGAAAAAAATCCCCGGGCCGCCGATGAAGAGTAAGGTGAACTTGGCTGGATCAACACAACTAATACATCAATACGTTGCTTGCTCACTGAAGTGCTTCAGGCTGCTTGCTGCCTACCGGCAGGCTTAGGCTCCTGGGTTGTGTTCTTGGCAAAAAGTTCTGGTGTCTGGTGACTTGTCAGGCCATCTGAATTTGCAACGCCTTCTCGTTCTCTGTTAGGGACCCAGCTGCACCGCAGCAGCTGCATGTCCAGGCATATGGCTGCCATCATTGATGTCAGAATTTCAGGTCACGATCTGGTCCCCGCCAGCGACGCGCATCGCATGTGTTGGCTAGCGATCAGATTGCAGGCTCACGGCATGGCACAGCCTTGCACATTGGGATAGTTTCTGAGCCTCGCTTCTGCAGGTGAGCCTGCAAATGTGTGATTCTTAGAGTTTTTGTTGCCTTGCAAGTGGAATGTTTTCTCGCTGTCGGAAGCACTGATATTTCCTTAGGCAGTTGGCAACGCGCGTGCCGGCCTTTTGCAGAAGCAGGACGATTTTCTGCATGTTTCCGTCCTTCCTGCTGTCCAGCCCAAGCATTGCAAGACGTTTTTGGGGCACCTTGCACATTTTTCGTGGCTCAGATTCAGGGCGTTAGCAGCTGGCGCCGCAGACTGTATACCGACAAGAGCAAAGTACAGCCGACATCGGGCAGCCCTTCGCTAGAACGGACATCGAAATATGGTATTTCTACATTCAAAGGACAGCTTCAGACATCCTGTGAGCGTGGAGCTAGGACGCTCCCAGACACTTGATCCGCATTGTCGGAGCTCTGAGCTCTAGACGGTGCTGCGACCAACTTACATGGCAGAAGCCCTATTCCCACTAGAACATTCTGCTTCTACTGTGCTTTGGATTGTAGCTGATTGTAGCTACAGAGAGAGCTTTGCGATGTTGCACTCAGGGGGCAGACGCGATGATCCTCAACTCGCCAGCCATTTTCAAGGTACCACATCTCTGTCCGAGCGCAACTGCGCCATCTACACTCTACGCACATGTTGACCATGACTACGTGCGAACTGGTGGAGGTTTCCAAATTCACTAAAACTGGATTTGTGGAGACGTTGAATTGGCACGTGTCGACCGCGGGGGACCCGTCATTTCTGCTGATGGACGGTTCATCTGGTTTGCAGAAATATTACACAGCCTTTCTCCAAGCTGCAGTGCCCGAGGTCTACGATGAGCGTGTGGGGACACCTTTCAATTTCATCTATGATGCACGGTCCTGAGTTCAAATTTGAATCCATTGCAAAGCTACTTTGAGATACCTTCAGCAAGCTTGGCCGTGGTGGAAACCCAGGTGTTACAGTTCTCCTCAGGACGAGACTGATACCCTCTATGACCAACGAGAATGTGGTGCGAGTTGGTGTGATGAGCTCTTTTCTGACATCTCCTCAGGACGAGACAAGTTCTGCGCACTTATGCAGGGCTACTGTAAATTCGCCAGCGAGGTCGCTGCCCCCTTCTGTTTCTGCAAGGCACATAGATGCACACAGGAAGCCGTGGCAGGTGCTTGCTGAACCAGACAGCGAGCGCCACTGGATGTACAGAGGAATAGAGGACAGTGAAAGCAAGCAAGCACACTTGTTATTGTTATCTTAGCTTTGGAAGGACAGCTTAAGCGACGGGCGCAAGATCTTCAGATTGTTCAAGGAGTTCAGGGAAGTCTACAAGGCATGCGAGCCACAAGAAGCGCGTGGTTGTCCGAGAAGCTGCATGTACTATGGCTTTGCTTGGCAAGGTGCGGCGAGGGTGGAGTCGATTCTGCCAGGGTGCTCAGGAGAATGGCACATTGTCCATCCCTGCAGCTTGCGGAGTCCTTGACATGCTCTTGCCTCGGTCTGCCTCGGTAGGCGCAGCATGTGTGTAGAGTTGAGAGGAAGCAGCTAAATTTGTCTTGCATGGTCATGCCGATCATGTTGTGTGGAGACTGGATACGGTCACCGACGCAGACATGTCGGTCAACTAAGGCTGGGCCACACTTGCTCATTCTTCTACTACTTAGGCGCGAACCGTGGTGGCTGCTCTGTCCACTTTGCCCGGCTGGCAGCTAGGGATATCACCGCAGAACAGCCGACATATACACCCCAGATTTCAGCAGAAGCAGAGGTCAAAAACTTTGGGTGCGTTGACCAGAAACTGAGTGAGAATCGGGGCGAACCTCATCCACACAGATGAGATGGGTGGGGCCTGGGGATTACTGCGCAGGGAGGATGGCCGAGAGCTACAGGGCTTGGGCCAGACGTTGTTTTGCGAATGCTTGTAACAGCCTGTGACAGGTGACAACCTTCTTTGGGCTGCCTCAGTTGGCCTCGTGCGTTCGAAAGAGGTGCCACAGATGCAGCGCAGGCAGGATCCCATGCGTTAGAAAAATTCGGCTCTGGGTGAATCTGACCGCGGTCAGGATGTGGAAAGGCTTCAGTCCCTCTGCCTGATTTACGATGACGACTCTTGTACTCTGAGCGGAGAGGGTGAACTTTCATTCTTCTTCTACCTGCCGATAACACAGGAAAGAACGGGGCGGTGCTGAATTTTCTGGGAGGCGTTGCAAGCTTGAAGCCCAGCCGTACCAACCGAGTTTGAACTCTTAAGATGCATGTCTCCGTAATTGCCGAGTCGTTTGTTGCGCCAAGATGTGAAGCGCAAGCGCAACTGGGCATCCATTTGGCGGCTTCACTTTGCGATCTGCGAAAGCCCCAGTTGGAGATGCACTCATATTGCTTACGAGTAAAGCGTTCAAGCAACACAGATGATGGATACGGTTCTCTTCAGGGGTTTGGGATTCGCCTCCTCCTCGCAATTTCAGAACAGCCTGGCACGATATGAACACGTTCTTGAGGGTCTTCAACCCTGGCTCACAGACATGTCTTGGCCTCCACTTCGCCCTGCTGGGCAAGATAGGGAAAGATGTTGCTCTCAGAGCTCGGAAGCCGCGCTTTGAGGTGCCAATCTCCTCCTCCTCTACAAGGCAGTCCTCCGGCTTGGCCTGAAGAGCTCTTCAGTTGCAACCAGCGATGCCCAGTGACATGAAGAGTTGCAGTGGGCAGTCCTCTTCAACAGTCCTCTTGAGTCCTCTTGGCCCTCTTGAGGTGTGGACCACCCAGACGACCGGGTCTCAGTCGACATGAGACGGTGGGAAGTCGTCAGACAAGATGCGGGGGGGAACGACAGTCCGCAGGGTCCGCAGCGCGTTGCGGGAAGTATGCGGGAAGTGTTGTGAGGATGCGCGCCTTTTTCACGTGCTGGAGATCCTTGGCATGCTTGCCAGCTACAGAGTCCTTCTTTCAAAGCTGAAGATCGCCAAAGCGTCCCATGCCAGGCGGGGCTCGGGCAGTTAGCCCTCGACAGTTTCTGAGCTACTGGGTTGTGTGAGGGAACACGAATGAAATCATCATGATACGAGGAGACCATGCAGGCATTCTATACCCAGACGAGTACTTTGATATAAGCTCCTGAAAAGCAACGAACAGATCAGCGCAATGACCGCAAGGCTGGGCCTCCTCTCCATGTTGGCTGCGGCATGTGGCATCTGGAGCAACTGGCGCAAGGAGAGGGTTTAGGGTTTAGGGGAAAAGGGCCAATGTGTAGTTCCTTGGCAGTCACCAGTGCTGATGGGGAGCTTCAGTTGATCTTTTCTTGTATGGATGATACGCGCGTCCCGGCCTCAGCCCAGGGGTTAAAAGGGGAAAAGGGGCAAAATTTTCGTGACGATGAAGGCTACAAAGTCATGAAAGCCTCTCAACCCTTTCAGCCACTTCTGCAATGAACATTGCTTTCCCCTGCAAAAAGTGGACGACAGTTCTTCTGGGCGGGAGGCCAAGACAAACACTTTAGCGACCCTGCTTTGTGATGTGAGGCTATGCAAGTGGCAAAGGGAAGCCTAAGCCCAAACCCCATGGGGGCGGGGGTTGGGGGGGGCCCAACAGTAGTGACTCTGAGAATCGGGAGCAGGTGCGGCGGAAGAACTGCGGCACCAAGACGTGGATGGTCACAGACCTAAAGGCCGATTCTGGCTGAAGCAAGAAGGAAGTCAAGGGATGTTACGTGCATGACACGACAGCTCGAGACCATGCTTTGCCACTTGGATGCAGTATGGCGACAGTACCCTGCAGACCAAATGAAACCCTAAAATTACCAATTAGTGGCATATACCCCATACTACTATTTCCTGTCCAGGTATATGAACCACAAACCCCTTTAGGGTTCATTTGGTCCCCAAGGTGTGGGGATGGCAGATCGCAGGTGTAGGCCCTTGGCAGTGTTGCTTCATCGGCTCCTTAGGTCTACATTGTCTACATGTTCACTGTGTACATACGTCGCAGATGGTATATCTGCCAACAAATTCACATTGGGCAGGAAACGTGCGGGTAACCCGTTCTTGGCCAAATACGTAGGCATTTTTCCAAGCCTCTTCTCCCGGCATCTGGGAATGCAGAATGTATCGCCGTATCAAGTGTTCATCAAGCTTTCTGCTGTATTTGGCTTTGCTGATGCCGGCATGTGTACAGCCTTTGCATGTCATCTTCCCCCAAAAGCAGTTTTAGCAGTGTAAGACTCTGGGGCCACAGTGGCCCTAGAGCTGGAAACGCAAGGTCGTGCTTCCGAGAAGCCTGTGTGCTGCAAGACCCACTTGCCGATGGGCAGTGAAGACATATTAAAACAGCTGGCTGCGACATGCTGCCATCATGCTGCAGCCACACCCCGGGGTTGAACAGGAGCGGATTGATGTCGGTGCGCTGCATCGCAGGAGAGACATCTGTCAACACGACTGCTGGATGTTTCAGCGGCTCCCTGCTCAGAGAATAGGCAAGTTCATGGAGTTGTGTTGCCGTGAGATGCGCTCTGGGAAGCACAGAGGCGCTGCGGGTAAGATTCTTGGAGTTTGTGCAGCAGGCCTCAACTGCCACAAGCTCCATGGTAGTGCATGGTGATCTTCATGTTTTGAGCAGGGGCGCTTTTTGACTCAAATGCCTTGCACTTGTAATAATTGACCTTTCGCTCGACTTCTTTCAGGCTTAGGACTTAGGAAGGATCGGATCCCTTCGGGTCCCTTCGGGTGCCATGGCGGCCCCCGTGGACTCCGTGGACACTACGACCCAAGCAAAGAAGACCCCTCTACTCGGCGAGGGGAATGAATCCGTGGACCCCGAGTTGACTCGGTCCCCTTTCACCGGTGGTGATGGCAGGCCATCCGAGCCTGAAAGAATACAAATCACCATCCATGCCCCTCCAACAACGGCGGCGAACCTGGCCCCGAGTAGCCAGTCGCTCATTGGGTCAAGTGCGGATGCACCACCTGGCTCAGATCATGGGCCTTTGGGCGGCTTAACATCCGAAGAAGCAGCCGCACGGCTCATCCAGTACGGTAAGAACGAGATACCCGAACATGTGGAGCCTTGGTATGTTATGCTCGGGAAGCAGTTTCTTGGCATGATGCCTTTCATGCTCATTGTGGCTGCCGCCCTCTCTGCTGTAACAGAAGACTGGGCAGACTTTGGAGTTATCGTTCTCATGCTGGTCGTGAACGCGTTTATCGGCTTCCATGAGGAGTTCAAAGCTCGCCAGTCGTTGGATGCGCTGAAGGCTCAGATGACGGCTACAGTTCCTGTGAAGCGCGATGGGAACATGATCATCATTCCCGTTGCGGACCTCGTGCCTGGCGATGTGACCCTTTCCTGTGTTTCAGGGGCCAAACATGGTTCAAAATGTCAATCGCAAATGGCATAGGCATAGGTCTCCAGCATGCAAAGGTCAAGAGGTCAAGGAAGCATCACAAAATGTCATAAAGCAACCTTTGCAAAAATCGAAGTAGGAGGGCAAGTTGAACGGCACTTGTTGTCGAAACATTGCTCTTTGTGTATTTATGTGCTCAGGGAGTCGTTTTGTCTTGATTTCCTCCTTGTGCAAACAATGTCTGCCTGAGGATCTTCTTGCGTGGCGGCAACATCGTTCCTGCAGACTGTGAGTTCTTGGAAGGCGATGAGATGTTGGTGGACACAGCGGCTTTGACAGGGGAGCCCATTCCACGCAAGATTCCTCGTCCGGACCGGGAAGGTGAGCCAGCAGGTTCTGGCAAGTTGCTGCTTTCAGGCTGCATCGTCAAGCAAGGCGAGGCTCATTGCGAAGTAAGGGAGACAGGGCTGAATACAGAAATCGGTCAAGCAGCCGGACTTGTGGCTGAAGCCTCTGGTCATCAACCTGGCATCTTTGAGACCAAGATCATGCAGGTTGTGCATGCCGTCATCTTGCTGGCACTCGTGGACGCTGGTGTCGTGCTATACATTGATGTGGCTCACAGGGGAACGAAATTCTCCAAGGCACTTCTCAATGTTCTGGCGCTGGTGATCGGCGCGGTGCCTATTGCGCTGCCCTTGGTGATGCAGGTGACGATGGCAATTGGAGCGGCCAGCATGGCGCGCAAGCAGGCAATTGTGACACATCTCACTGCTCTGCAGGAAATTGCGTCCATGACAGTTCTGTGTTCAGACAAGACCGGCACATTGACAACAGCGGATATGAGGGTGTTGCCTCACAGGACATGGACCCGCAACAAGCTGCCAAAAGACGATGCATTGCTCTATGCATGCTTGGCATCAAACCCGGCGAACAAGGAAGACCCCATCGACAAAGCTGTGTTGGGTTCTGGGACTGAACACTTCGGAGCTGAGGAGGCTGAGCAGCTGATGGCGGGGTACAAGAAAACCAAGTTTGTGGGCTTCAATCCCACGGTCAAGAGGACAGTCGTGTACTGTGAGCATGAAGAGAAAGGCAAGCTGAAGATCTCCAAAGGACTTGTAGACAAAGTCCTGGTTACTGGGGACGATGAGGGAGACTGCTGGGAGTGTGTGGATGCGGATGTACTCAAGGATGAACTGAAGGAGGTTGACCTTCGCTTTTCGTCACAGGGGTACAAGACCGTTGGCTTAGCAGTCTCTGAAAGCGACGGCCCCATGCAGTTTCTGGCGATCATCCCGATGCTGGACCCACCCAGGCAGGACACAAAAGTGACGATTTTCCGGATCAGGGCTGCTGGGATCAATGTGAAGATGATTACGGGAGACCACTTGAACATTGCAGTGGAGACCAGTCGCTTGATTGGCCTTGGAACAGGCATTCTCCCTGCTTCTGACTTGTGGCCCGCATCAGCAACTCGAGATGAGACCATCATGACCGCAGATGGCTTCGCACAGGTTCTGCCCAAGGACAAGCGGGAGGTTATACTAGTTCTGCAGAATCGGGGACTGGTGGTTGGAATGACTGGTGATGGGGTCAACGATGCCCCGGCCTTGGCGCAGGCTCAAATTGGAATAGCAGTGGACGGTGCGACAGAGGCAGCGCGTTCAGCTGCAGACATCATCCTAACCTCTCCGGGGCTGTCCGCTATCTACGACGCTGTCGTCGAGTCGCGGAAAATCTTCGCCCGGCTGAGGTCTTACGTGTTGTATCGTATTGCAGCCACGATCCAAATTGTCTTGGTGCTCTCCATTCTCATCTACGCATACAATGACACGATGCCCGCCATATACGTGATCTTGCTGGCATTGGTAAATGATGTTACCATGCTGCCGGTTGCCAGTGACAATGCAGCGCCATCGGCTCTGCCCGAAATCCCATCGATGCCGTCGATTCTCCTGGCCTCATTCCTTTATGGATTGCTGGGCACGGCGATGACGATGGCCTTGTACATGTCGGATCTTCTTCAGGGAGATGGTTCGGACGAGTATCGCATGGCCGTGACATACCTTCAGATGTCTATTGCCGTCGAGCTCTTCATCTTCTCGTGCCGAACACCAGTGTACGTCTTCAACTTCTTTCGATGTGATGCACTGCCCTCCCTGCTCTTGTTGGTCTGCGTGATGGGTGGCAATATCCTGGTCTCCCTGTTGGCCGGGTTCGGGGACACCTTCAAAATTGTACACAAAGTGGTTGCTCTGATTGCACGTAGCGGCGCAGCGAGAGTCATTCTCGCACCTGTGCAGCAAAGAATCCTGATCTCGATCTTCATGCTGAGGCCTGGGTCGACATTGGCTGGTTCTTGCCTCAGTCTCTCTCTGTCTCTTCTCAGATCTGAGCCCAAGCTTTTAGACTGGTGAGACCCAGGATTTGGGTGTACGACCTGCTTGGACTATTGGTGATTGATTTCCTCAAGCGCTTCTTCAATGTGGTGGGTGTTGAACCTCGCCTTTGCTTTTCATGGGATAGTGGGGTTCTTGCCGAAGCTCGTGAGGCTGGCTCTGTTGCAGACCGCACCTCCGTGGCTTGCGTTGTAGCTGTTCATGGAATCTGTCGGGCCTGTGTGCCTTGTCGTCAAGGACTGGATGTCAGCTGGAGCTGTCGGGGATGTGCTTGGGTATCCTGACTTGCCCGATGAGTTCCACCACGCGAGTCATCGATCCACTCTGCTACACAACAGATCCAGCGTCAGGAGTTGTTGTTTGGCGCGTGTCAGGCTACGTGAGTTGAGTGAGTGTCGCAGCATGTTCAGGAGCGTTCTCTACCACAGTCGACTGTCCACAATCTCACAGGCGGGCGGGGTGATGAGAAGCCTTGTTTCCTTCCTGCCTTTTTCTGAATATGAAATCCAGTGCCAGGGTGGTGGGCTGGGTGCTGGGCGTGCTGCACCCGCCAAGCCATCAGGTTCCACGTTGCCGTTCCCGCACAACCTGCGGGCACAGGCGCTTCGCCACCTCCATTCGTTCTAGCTGCGGCGTTGCCGCCGCAATGCCGGTGGCAACTGGCTTCTTGTTGAGCTGCATGGTAGCAGCATCTGTCCGCATCGCGGACACAATCGTGCCTTACGTGCAAAGGGATGCCGGCAATGGCAAACTTTGCCATCGCTTCCAAAGAAAAAGCATGTCTGTTTCCGGTAGCTAGGTCCGCTAGGTGACATGCAAACAGCAGGTCTTCCGGTGCAAGCAGCAGGTCTTGCAGCGAATTGGAACGCCGGACTTCTCTCCCTTGCAAGATTCGATACAGATGGCGGCTTTATATAGCTTAACTGAGCTTAGCCCTCCATTTCCCGGCTTTCGCTGCACACTTGCGAGAGGATAACGGCTAGAGACGTTGTGCTTGCCAATTGGGCCACGGCTTCTCACTGCCATCAAAGAGATGTTTCAGCTGTGCCAATCAGAGCACACAAGTTGTTTGGGCTGTGCCTTAGCATGAGAGGTTTGTTTTCAGGACTGGGGCGTCGAGCCCTGCAGCGTCGACTGGACAGCCCGATGCAGAGGACAAGTCGGAAAAGACTTGACGACGTGGCAAGCCTGATTTATCTCTCATGTAGAGCGGGATTTCTGCAGCGCCCACATCAAGGCAAGCCCTTGTTCGCAGCATTGCCAGGTTCCGATCTTCCTCGAAGACCTTCTGTACGTAGCTTTGTAGTCCTTTGTAGTTCAAGCATCGCAGAGCAGCCGCCAAAGAGCCTACAGGGCAACTATTTGGCCATGTCAAGGAAGTGCACCATTGAGAAGCCGGTGGCTGAACAGCTCGCACACCAACGGCCCGGGACCTTGCGACCCAGCTGCGCGCACAGCTTTTCTAGGAATGGCTGTCTTCATGTCAGCTTCGTGACTTCGAGTCCAAGCTTCAAGGCGTAAGGCCTCAGCATAGGCACTGCCACCGGACGCAAGTGCGGTATTCAGAGTGGTCCTGACAGTGTCAGTAGTGATACTCGTCCTACGGGTGCAGATTCAGCTACATGTCGAGAAGAGAAGATTGACTGGGCCGTGTTGTCCTGCATGCCGGCGGATGCTTCTCCCGCGCGCGTTGCCCCTGCCAAAGACGACAAGGCCTGCAGCTTGAGAGCCGCATATATACGTATAGACCGTATAGAGTCTTGCAAACGTCTAGGAGTCTATGCAATCCAGATGTTCAACGCAAGCTCGGCCGCAAGGATGACAGGCTCGATGTCCCTGATGGCTTGTCTCTGAAGGTGGAGGAACTGCTGAGCAAGCCGTTCGATGAGGCCTCGTTACTTCCGCTTTGCATTGAATGCGCAGAGCGGCTGGTGCTCACAGGCCTTGAAGGATTGCCCGGCGCTTGCTGAGTACATTCGAAAAGGTGGCAGTGCAGAGGAGTTTTGGTTGCTGCGTGATTAGGTTCAAAAAGGCAGCAGAGTCAGGTCGCATGTGGTTGATTCGGCTCAGTGGCAAAACAAATCAAGCAAGTCACGCAATGCGTAGGAATCCCTGCAACTTAAAAACGCAGAATCCTGGACAGACAGCGGACCCAAGTGACCGCGCCCGCACTGTTCGAAAGGTCAGTCGCATAGAGCATTGACACATGCGTCGCCAATCAGACTTGCGACAACTGACAACTGTGGGGCTGTGATTTTCATTTGTCTGTCGCTTGACGGATCGTTGGGAAGACACACTCACAACATCTCACAACCCTAAGCAAAAAGAAAAACCTTAAAAAGCCTAACTTAAAGTGGCGGGGGCGTTTGCGTTGAGGACAGCAAGGCCTTGGAAGAAGAGTTTCGGGAGCATTGGCACCGTGAGGCCTCAAGATGACTTGAAACATCCCACTCGTCGTTTCTGTGGCTTTTGGTGGCCTCTGCGGTTTTTTAAGGGGCAAATAGGGCAAATACTCATGCAGTAGGGTTTGACAAAAAAGGGATTGGGGTTTCGGGCTTAGGGCTTGGGATCCAGGCACCACAAGAACTTCGGCACATCATTGAGGAGATTGTGGACCCAGAGGCTGTGAAAAAATCTGTGCATGATTGTCACGAAAGCCCCTCGGGATCTCACGTCTCGAACATTCGGATACTTGTTCTGCTGTGTCAAGCCGGGTCGGCTGAAGTTCACCAAAGCCGTTTTCACCTCAAGCTACTTGTATTCCCACTTCACCCGATCTTGTACCCCATTACTACACTCTTCCTCTCAGCCGGTCATCACCAGCCCTTAGCAGCCCCGCAAGCTTCCGCCCTCCTTTCTGCACACCGCTGCAGCCAGGCGGCAGCCGCCAATGTGGCGGAGACTGAGGCGTTCCTTCGAAATCGCAGCCCACTGCTGCCTGATCCATGGCCTGACCCGTGAGCAATCTGGTGGAGTTTTGTTCTAGGGCCTTGCATCGCATTTTCCTCGCAACGTCCCAGCACATCTTCCCCACTCCCTGTGATGGTTTGTGCTCACAGTACACACTTGATATATACTACAAGGATCTTCCGTCTGATGATGCACAACAAGTTGTGGATACGCCAGCGGAGAGACAGGCCGCCGGATTCATTCAGAAATCTTCTTACCAATAGCTGAGCTGTCTTCCTAAGCATCGGGTAGCAGCAGGACATGACGCTGAAGGAAGGCGCTGTCCTCGGAATGCCTAAGGAGCGTGAGCCTGCTTGTATATTGCTGCCGATTCCTGGCCCTAGGTGCTGCAGACCTTGACATGGAGGAAGATCCGTTTGCCGATGTCGATGTATCCTCGGCAGTCGAGCACTTGCTTTCCATGCCTTTCGAAGCAGCAATGAAGTCGAGCAAGGAGTTGCGGAATTATGCGACTTGACCTACTATCCCTGGCTCAAGTCCTACTGACCCGAACCTGGAACCCACGAAAGTGAGCTTGGGGAGCTATAGGCTTGCTGGGACCCTGAAGCCCCAGTTTCCTTCATTAGCAGGAAGTGCCTGCAAGAAGGCAAACCTCCTAAGCTCCTGGTCGGGGAAGGGGGGGGCGTGCCAGGGCCGGGATTGTGCAGCTCTCCCATAAGGCAAATTGAGACAAACAGCTCTGGAGCCCAAGGCGTTTCCTTGCACTGAGGTGAGAGATCCAAAGCGAAGCAAGGATGAGATTGCGGACTTGGAGGCCGAGTTTGCTCAAAGTTGGAGCTTGGAGGCCCCCATGGAGTTGCGCGACGTCCTGGCCTCTCGGTTGCCATTTGAGGTGGCAGGCCTTTATTCAAGAGTGCCTGCGGCAAGCTGAGGAGGAAATCCTGTTCCCCGACGTCGTTGCTGCTCGTCAGGCGCGAGAATCTCGCCAACCCATCGCCCGCTTGTGACCGGAGAAAACAAGCAAATTGTGAGCAGGGCCATGCTGCAGTTAGTTGCAGAAAGTTCGAAGGTCGCATACTTGGTTGACGTTTTCTTTGTTGTCACTCTCTTTTGCTGCGCCCTTTGCCTGCGTTTCAAACTCGAGCCTGGCCTAGAATCGTAACCCACAAAAGCAGAAGCACATGTCGGCCTTGCTGCCGAATGACATCTTGATTGCTCGTGTCGCGCAAGGGACAGAGACCACAACATGCGCTTTGCCTTTGTGATCCTTGGCGTGTGCAGGTTTAATCCGAAGACGTGGGTCCTTAGGAGATTTTGGAAGATAGACTTCACGTTCGCCAAACCTGCATGAGGAAAGGTCAGATGCAATGCAAGCAGGACGCGAAACTCAGACAAAGATGTAAGAGCACAATGCACGAAAAAAATGGCCGATGGCTCTGGCTATGCCCTGTCCACATTGTCCCCAAGTCCGATGTGCATAAGTAGCGCAAGTTGCACCAGTGGTGCATGGCACTTAAGAAATGACCGTCCAATCTTCGGTGACCTGGCCATTGAGAGCATGTGAGAGCCATGGGGATGAATCCTGGATCCCACGACAGCTGCAGGCAGGGAATTTTGCAATCGTTGTCGAAATTGAATGCGTGACAGAGAGAGAACGAAGAGTGAACACACCAAGCAAAACAAAGGTTGCATGTGGCTGCATTGTGCTGCGTTGCATGGCTTCCATTTGCATGCAAGCTCAGGTGCCGCCAAGTGAGCCGGCATGAGCTTTATTTTTGCGGCGATTCCTCGACGAGCGCGCGAAGAAAAAGGCGTGTGCACAGGTGAATGGCCGATTTGTACACAGCGCGAAAGAGCTTGGGATGCAGAGGGGGCCGCATCATCACATCAAACCAGGAGAAGTGGCAGTCCATGGTCACTTCCTCCCTATTAAAGTCTGCCTGAGATCGTGTGGTCGTGAGGTCACTTTGGGAGAGGTGGGCAAATCTCGTGATTTCAGAGGCGGGGTCCTCAGAAATGAGCGAAGCGAAGGGCGTTGCTCCGAGTACATCACGGAAGTGACATTGAGTGTTCCAAACAATATATATAGAGAGAGAGAGATAGTTAATTACAGTATGTAGCAATATACCAATATGGTAATATTATACTGTCATAAGATCATAATCTCATAATATCACGATAAGTTGTTTATCCGTAATTTCTTGTGTCTTGGCCCAAAGCCGACGGGGATGCGCAGCGGGAAGCGATGGGTCGTAAACGCGATCGGTCAAAAACGCCTGAGGTTGGGCCTGCAGCCGTGTGCATGCATGTGGATGCATATGGCCGATGGCAGAATTTGCCTGGTGCAGGTGCCCTGGGAACTGCTACCGAGCGGAAATGCGGTTCCAGTTGCGCCGATAGCAGGAGCTGAGCCTGTTCTGCCAAAGGCGAGTCCCTCCTCCGCAGGCAGAGAACAACGGTTTCATTCTCGAGTAAAGTAGCGGAGACATGTAGGTAATATTGTGCTGGCAGTATGTGTATGTGTGTTCAACCATATAGGGTTCTACTACATCAGGCCTTGAGGCTCCTACACTCGTCAGCTCAAGTGACTCAAGTGTATTTTGGGAAACCTCGCTGATACTTTAACATGGTGTGATGCCTGGCTGCATGTCATCCTTGCACAGGGGCACATGGCTGCTCCTGTAGCATGTATGCCCGTACCGGCACCCCAATGTCATGATGTGCCAACCTGCCTCGCCCTCAGATTTTGGTAACCCTGGTAACCCTTAATGATGAGTGACCATCGGCAAAGGAACTCAACATTCCGTGCAACTCTCTGCAAGGGGAGCGGCGCAAAAGTTCGAAGAAGCAGACAAGAAGAAAGAGTGTGGGCCAGGGTTGAGTGTCAAAAGTATGTGGGTCAAAGCGGGCAATCGCGCGGCAAATGTGTGAGTCAGATCCAGACTAGGTGACTAGCGCCTGCGGGAAACTGAGGTCGGTCGCAATCTGCGGGTGTCTTCTCTTCAGTGATGCACAGCCCATGCTACAGACTGTTGCAGACAATGGCCCCTTGCGTACCTGGCCCCCCCAGCGACGTTGCTGTTCAGTGAAGCACCGGACACCGGTGCAAAGTGGGTGTTGGCACACTAAGTCACTAAGTCGGTATTGACAGTTGAGGAGTCCCAAGAAATGAGCCTCATCAACTTATCAATCTAACCTCAACCTGTTGTGCTCAACTTGTTGTGCGCCATAACCTGAACCAAGATCGGCAGAATGAAGTCAGAAATGGCGGTGGAGCCAAAGCTGTCGATCCTGCACTTGCAGCTGTTGCAGCTGCCAACGAAGAACGTGTCTTGGAGCTATGAGCAGCTGTTTAGACATCATCTGCAGGTAGGTGGATCCAAGATTCTTGGCGACTCCTCACTCAGTTCGTCAATTGACGCCAACCCCACTGCTCGCTTCCACGTGTCTCTTCGGCACCCGCCTACTAGATCGAACCCATTGACAGATGGCACCACTGAGGAGATGCATGGAGACGCCTCGTTATTCTGCTAGCTCAGTCGCGCGGAGACCGCAAAGTGGAAACTCTGTTGAAAGAGAGACATCCGGAACTGCTGCAAGTGGCCGAGCCTTGGCGGGAATGGTGTGAAGAATCCTGAAGCAACAGGAAAGCTTGCTATTTTCCGATTTCATGTTCTTGCAGCCACTTTGGCGCTTTGTTCGGGAAATCCCGGAAGCCAGGGAAGTAATAACAGTTTGCTTTGCTAGTAGAGCCCACTGGGTGGGATGTAAGGGCCGGCTGAAGTGTTTTCGACACATCGCAGGAAACCCTGCTAAAGTTTCGACACATGTCATGCCAGCAAGGCCATGCTGCCCCCTCAGCCGAAACCCGGTGTCGACTCAGCTGAGAGCCGATTGAGCGTGTGTGGTTCGCAAACTTCTTGCGCCCGAGGAGAAGTGCGGGGCCTCTGGCAAGGTTGGCGATTTGACTCGGATTGTCTTGTGACACTCTTGTGACCCTGACTTGCGGAGCCAAACTCATAGCTACGACGCTTTCCCTTGCTGCTCGCCCTTGGCTCACCATAGAACCAGTAGATTCCAATGTGAGAGGATAGAGTGGGGAAGGCCATCATCGGACATGCGGATGGGTGCCCTTGGATGAACCTGGACGTGGCAGAGATTCGATCGAAGCTCTACATCGGCTCCCATGAAGCTGCTTCCCAGACCAAGCAGCTCTCTCTCTTGGGAGTGACCCACGTGCTCTCGGTTGGCACCGAATTCCCTGCAAAACTGGGCATACCACTGTTAGAAGACGCCAAGCATATTTCCAAGCGGAAGCTGGATGGACGTTCAAGCGCCGGACGGATCTATCTCCAGGATGGTGGCAAGAAAGATCCATTCGTGAGGTTGTTTATTCCAGTCAAAGATTTGGGTTCCGAGGACATAGCGCAACATTTTGATGATGCCAGACTGTTTATTTCCGAAGGGTTGGCACAAGGCAAGGTGCTCGTTCATTGCATCGAAGGGAGATCCAGAAGTGTTGCGATGGTTGTCTCTTTCCTGATGCAGAGGGAGAAGATCTCGGCTGGAAAGGCGCGGCGATTGTCACGGGACTCATGCCACACCAAACTGGAATTCCGCAGTGTTCCATAGCTTTCCTTTGCCTGAGGCTTTGCTGTCTATCAAGGAGCTGCATTCTGAGCCGCACCTGCCAGTTCAACAAGTGGCACTACTATACTTAAGTGACGACCTGTCAAGCCTGAAAGTTGAACCCTGTGAACAGGAGAAGCGTCCAGCGATCAGTCCAAATTCTGGTTTCGTCGAACAACTTTCGTCGCTTGAAGAGCGGCTTGGCATTGAGCCTGCCTCCCCTCGCACGGCAGAGGCAAGTACACCTTCCGGCACGTCTGAGACCTCACGGCAGAGAGAGAGAGAGAGCTACAGAAGAAGAAGAAGAAGAAGAAGAAGAAGAAGAAGAAGAAGAAGAAGCGCGCGCCTAGGGGCATACGGAGGCGTGCGAGTTCACGCCCAAGTCCTTACAGGAGAAGAAGAAGAGGAGATGGGTCTTCATGACATGTCATGACTTGCTGCCTTCAAAGCCTGGCAGGCAGCAGGCTTTTTGAAGAAGGCGGACCAGGAGAGGGTTGATCCCAGGGCGGCTTGTCTAACTTGGAACGGACCCCGAATTCACATCAATTCACCTTGCCACGCTGTTTGCAAGGTCTTCCTGGAAGTATCCTTGGATGGACAAGCCATTGGGCGCCTTGAGATTGAATTGTACTTCGACACGGTGCCTGAAACGGCCGAGAACTTCAGGTGCCTCTGCACTGGCGAGCGGGGACGTGGGTCAGTGAGCGGAAAGCGCCTCACCTTCCTCGGGTCTGTATTTCACTGCATCATCCCTGGCTTTGTGTGTATCGGCGGTGACATCACAATGGGAGATGGAACGGGTGGAGAATCCATCTACGGCCATGCGTTCAAAGACGAGAACTTCGAGATCAAGCACGACTCTGAAGGAATTGTGTCAATGGCGAATTCTGGTCCAGACTCCAATGGCTCTCAGTTCCTTATTTGCTGCACAGCATGCCCACAACTTGATGGCAAGAATGTGGCCTTTGGGAAAATCGTCTCAGGAATGGACACCGTAAAGATGATGGAGGATCTTGGGCATGCCGAAAAGTCTGCCCCTGAACGCACAAACTGCTACAGTTGATGTTCGGCCCCTGAGTAAGACCGCGAGGTGTAGACAGGTTCAGGCCTTGCGCGCCTTGTGGCTTTTTGAGGGCATGATGCACTGCAGCCCCTCCTCAAAAATCACAGGTTACCAGGAATCTGTCAAAGGCCTACGCCAAGCCAATCCGATCGGAAGCCCCGCACCCTTGTTTCCCCAGGAATCCCTCGTAGCAGGCACTCCGAAAAGAGATGTTTTCACAACAGCCACGCCAAGGGCAACGGGCAACGGACCCAAGCAACCCCCCGAATGCAAGGGCGGCGCCACATAGTCATGTTTACATCTGCTGCGCGAGGTGCTTCCCTAAATTCTGGGCCGTTCTTGGTGCCGTAAATATATTGCCCTGTAGTATAGGAACAAAAAAGGATCCTCTTTTGGGCAAGCCCCAACGCTCGGCACAGCCCTGCATCCCCTTGGAGGCAGGTGCTCACTGTTGAGATCCACCTCCCTCCCTGCCGACGACTTGGTCTCGTTGTATAATGTAGACTCCATTCTGTCCGCGTTTTAGCCTCCTCAGTTTTCGGTCTCTCAGAACATGTTCTTCCCTGACAGCTCAGCTACTCTGGTGGTTGGATTTGGGATGCTCCTGCTTTCTCGCGTTTTGGTGACGGTGGGCGGGGTCTGGCCTGGGGCCAGCAAACTCAAAAATTTCGGAGTGTCTGCAGCCAGGGGGAGCCTCAAAAGCTACGCATGCTAGCCGGCACTCAACCCACCAAGCCGAGATCGGTTCATACATTGCAGTGCAGAAGCTAACGTCGAACCCTTCTATTCGGGACGAAGCGTGCTCCTCCCAGCTCCACTTTGTTCCTAACTCGCTTTTTACATCTCCTTGAAACCAACGAAGAGGCCTGTGGCAGCGAAGACGGGACGACCTCCAAGCGCGTGACCATCTTGGACTCTGGAGAGGAGGGGGCGCATGGGGGCCTGTGCGGGAATCATTCTTTCGGAGCTGCAGAAACATGTCACGTCCCATGCTACCTCGCACGCCTTCGCTCCTTCAAATAGGTCCCGCAGCCGGGTCGCCCGGTCAAACGTGCCAAGCACGCTGCAGCTGGTGAAGTCGCCACGGTGCTGCAGATCCTTCGAAAACATCGGGGCTGCAAAAAGGCACCTGCACATGCTTGTCCTCTACTTTAGAGACCTTCCCAAAGATTTTGTTTGCTGATGTTGAGGCAAGTTCCTGGCGAGAGGAGGTCATCGCTTGCAGCCAGGAGGAAGCGAAGCAGCACCTGCAGAGCCTGCGGCTTCTCCTTGCTCCCACTTCGGGCCCTAGCCTTCTCAGCAAGTTCGAGGCACGGAAGGTTTAAGATAATCCTCTAGACTCTAAACTTAAAGCATCTTTACAAGTCCTTTAGACCCATGTCCACCACATGTCACGATTTTTGCAAAATGCAGGAGCTGGCAGGTCAGCATTCCGACTGCAAATCTGCCAAGAAAGGAGGTCGCCTCGATCCCTTTGAGAAAGGCATGATGAGCAAGAGTTTCGAGGAGGTGGCGTTTGCGCTGCCTGTTGGCGGGTTGTCGGAGGTGTTCTCCTCCAAGCAAGGAGAGCATTTGCTTTTGCGCCTGTCCTGAAGCCCCGGCTTCGATTTCAATGGCAGAGACGTGCTGAACGGCCTCGTGACCACTCTAACCTTTGCTATAAGCCGTGCAAGCCCATTCTGGGCGCACTTGCGCTGGTCGAACATGCCACGAGTACTGCGCTGCGATCACATCGGGCAGCCCAGGCGAAACCTGGGACACGGTGCTTCTGACTCGCAACAGCTGAGCGGAGCAGAAAAGACCTTCAGCACTTCTCGGGTCGGGCTGCTATTACTGAGTGGGCGTAGGCAATCCCCCAGGGTCCCGAAAGGAAGCTTCAAAGCTTCTTTCCATCCGCTTTGCCTTCAGGCCTCGATGAGCCTCCAAGCTGCCAAGGATGCCGCACGGGAATGGTTCGCCCGAGGTTTGACACTTCGCCGTACTCGAAGGGTTTGCCACGGACTTGTGTGTGCTCCTGGCGAAGGTCTCTTGTTTGTGCTAGGACCGCAGCGACAAGTTGCACCAAGGAGAGGGGGCAACCAGCATGGGCCGGCCGCGCGGGCCAAACTTTGCAAGCAGCTGGCAGGGCACCAAGAGTATAAAGGAGCATAACCTGCCTTGTTGCCAAATGTTGTGGATGTAGCAGAGAGCAGCGGAAATGGTTGCAACAAAGCTGTGTGGACGTCACGATGAAAGCAGACACAGGAGATCACCAGAAGTATGCTTTCTTGAGGCCATGCAGCTCCAGGAGCATGCAGCATCTCTCTGTAGCAGTGCGACTCCTTCGCAAGTCGCCCACGTCCTGGAGCGCGGGCGGCCAGAAGAAGAAGGTTAGTGATGGGGGAATATGAGACATCCCTGGCAATGCAAAGGTCAAGGAACCCCGTTTGCTCCCCCCCCCCCCCCCTGTGCCCCGGCCCTCCGTTCCGCGAACTCGCGCACAGCATGTTTTCTTGCCCCGACAGGTCCACTTATTTGCGCGATGATGGCCCGGGAGCTACGAGGAAGCCGCTATGAAGGGCTGCGTGTTGACTGCAGAAGTTGACCACATCTACCCACGTTGCACCCACTGTTCGCTTCGAGGGGCTGCATTCTTCAGTTTCCATCCGACTGGTAGCTTCCTTCCGGATTTGTCCTTCTGAGGTGGATCTCACGTAAAGGTCCCGTTGGGCACTACTACCTGGGAGACGAACACGAAGGTGCAAACCTTCCTTCGACAGACAAGGCTTGCAGAGATCAACATGATGTGCGGACGGTCAAGATGATGCTGTGACCCTGCATTGAATCTTCGCACACCTGAGGATGGAGACCCGATCCATCCGCGTGTGCACGCAGTCGTCAAAGTTGTGAATGAGCAGTTGGCAACTTGGCACATAGGTGTGTCCTGCCGCTAGCGTGAGAACTCACCTCGGATGAAGCACCCTCTCAAGGCTTTCAGCATTCTCACATGATTGGTCTTGATTGAAATGACCGGAGCCAAGGTAATTAGTGGGTTTTTTCTCGACCCGGAAGATGACACAATGAGCCCTGCCAAGGCAGGGAGTTGCCACGCGCCCGCGCACCCAAGGCATGCAGCGTGCACTGCTGCAGGTGCCAATTGGACCCTTCCTGAGCGTTTACTTCGAAGGCATGTCAGTCCGCGAGGCTGCATCACGGATTGCCTACAGAGCACGCAATTGCACGTTGTTGCTGAAAGGGTCAATGTTTGGTGAAAAAGTCAGCCAAGCTTGACTTGAGGCTGCAGCTGCCTGGAAGAGTGGCCCTCCAGCAAGACCAAGACCTGCACCCAAAGTGAAACCAGGCCCGGCAGCTTGCGAAAGGTCATTCAAGAGAATACCGTGTGCTACAAGCTCTCATTCCTCAGGCCCTGCAGTGACTGATCCGAAGCTGAAAGAGCTGCAGGCAGGCTTACCGCCTGGCTGGGAAGCTGCTCAGCTCCAACTGCCCCAACCGATGCCATGTGGGGACCCCTAAACAGCCCCCCAAATAGTAGAACTATAGGATTCCCTGATACTAGACCCCAACAAAGTACCCCTAATGTCGGAGACCACCATGGACCCCGAGGTCCGAGAATCTCGATCAAAGAAGGGCGTATACTTCTTCGCCCATCCCTCGTCTGGCCGCTCTCAGATGGAACGACCGAGAGCGTGACGGGTAAGGGGCTGGGCGACAGGACGGCTAGGTTCCTGCCAGCGGAGACCTATGAATAGTCTGAGGGACGAGGATCTAAGTGTACGGACAGACATCTTGAAGAGTCTTGAAGATCTCCCTGTCAGAAGTGGAATGAACATGAATGAACCACCGCACTCTGGATGGAAAGCGCAAGCACAGGCAGTAAAGTGGGCTCACAAAAAGGACATGCGCTTGCCAACCATTTGACGTGCGAAGCTTTGATGTATATAGCCATCTCGACAGTGAGCCGGAACAGGCTTGCAGATGCTTGCAGCTCAAACACTTAGCCTTCTAAGAGGCCGAATAGTGGGGGGCCGTCGCGGGACATGGGCAAGCCACCAAATGGGCATGGATGCCCGGGTTGGCGCCATTACTGTCCACCCTGCTTGTGGCTGCAGTAGGGATGTTGATAATGTGCTATAACGTGCTCGGCCTTGACAAGGGCTGTGCCAAGCATGCTGACGTTGTACAGCTCCGATTTCCGGCAGAGAACTGCTTTGAACGGAGCATTCTGCCAGCTTTGCTGATGTGAGCAACATACCTGCGCAACCAAACAGAAGACCCGGAAACAATGAGAGCATCACTGGCGCCTTGGTGAGTCCGTACATGGCCTTGCTCTGTCAAGCGAGTGGAACGGTGCACCAAGATCACCGCCTTCGACAAGAGCTACACGCAATTCGAACGGCTGTATATGACCATCGTTGAACAGCTCATGGAGGCGAGCAGCATTTGCCATGACAGTGCCATGATCCTTGTGCGGAGTGCTAGCTGCCAGTGAAACCTGCTGTTTGCTCACCTGGCACAACTTGGCAGACAACTCTCGAACCCTTGCGAAGTATGGCCAACACGTGTGCTCCCCGGCTACGGGCGTTTGTGTGCGTGTGGTACTGCCCAGTGCTTCTCATTCGCCGCCGATGATGGTCCATGCGAATCTTAGTTACGGTGGCAGGCACCAGTAGCTTTCAATCACATGTGGCAGAAAGCCTAACCTAGCAGCATGCGTACTCAACCATCTTCAACCAGCTTGATTTGCATCCTTGAAATCAATGGGGCAGGTAGGCCTGTAAACCAAGGGTGGCATGTCAGGCCAGAACTGGCGCTAGAGGAGGTATGAGGAGGTCTAGAACTGGTCATGCCTTTCATGGCTATGGCCGCTTGTTCACAGCATGGCTTCCCGCGCCTTTCGCAGCTTTGTAAAGCAGGGCCTTTGTTTGCTGTCGGCGTCGGACTCAGTGATCCCGGGAATCATTTCGTGGGTGGACCTGTCGCGACTGCTTCGGAGTCCTTGGAGGTGCTGAGCCTGTTTGCCGGCATTTTGTTCTGGTCTTCATTCGTGGAGCCCTGGCCTTACCTGCCAAACGTGATGAAGGGCAGGAGTGGTTGCAAGGTGGAACGAAGAACCGAATACATACAGTAGTAAAGTAGCAGACGAGTTGTTTACGACGTTTCTGATGTGTGGTGGTGCTGAAGCGCATCGCAAAGATTGCAGAAGTCTGCACAGGGTTTTTCCAGCAAGGCAGGACCGCCGAGACTCTGACTTGCAGCTTGTACGGCGGCTTCAGAAAGAGATTGCGCCAGCAGCTCAAATCTGCAGTCAAGGGGTGACCAAAGAAAGGCGTTAAGTAAGGGGGCACTTCATGATGCGAGGCAAGAGAAAGGTGCAGCGGCATCCTCGGCCGCAGCAGCAGAAGCTGCTCAGAAAGATGCAGAGCTGGCGACAGCCAAGCTTGCCAAAGCAGAGGCCATCAGAGGCCAAATCACTTCGGAAAATTCTGATGGCACAAGCCAGGCACAACTCGCAGAAGCGAAAGCTGCGATGAAGGCTCCGACTTTGCGTCATGTGACGGGCCTACGGTTGGGGGGGCACGCGGGCCGCATCCGAGTTCAGAGAGGTGTCCTGGTTCGGAGTGGCAGCACGCGCAAAGTTCGAGGGCATGAGCTGCACTTCTCCTCTCAGTATTTCAGATGTTTGTCAAGGGATGCGTTAGAACAAACAGGCGGAATTGTCCTGAGACTTGACTTGCTGCACATGGGATGTAGTTAACGTAGTTCGTGGCTCGTGGTGTGTTGTAAAAGGTGGGGTGAGGGAGCGCGATTGAGAACTGCATTGGGTTTTTTTCTGCAATCGCTGGAATTCGCCCTGGAGTCTTGATTCAAGCCTTTGATCTGCCGATGGCCACTATGGCTAGCGACTCGCCACCGTTGATTTCAACACTCAGAGCAGCAGCGACGGCGCGCAGCTGCATGACCGAAGCAGCGAAACTAGTAGCCTCGTAGGCGCCTAAGACTTTGCAATCGAGAAGCGCATGCTTGTGTCCTGCGTGAATGATACGGGTGCTGCGTATGGATGGCTCGACCGTTGCGTCCATCGAATGGTCCCCAGACTTGGGAGTCCAGAAGATACGGGAAGCAGTCCTTGCTGCGCTCCACGGCCAGAACAGCATGGATTCCAGATCTGCGCCTTCGCAGTTTGACTTGGCCACCCGGGTATACAGAAGACTTTGTCGTTCCTAGCCCTTTGTTCTTGGCCTGTTGTGTCTGCATCTTGGCATTTGAGTTTTCCAGCAATGTGGAACCTACCCCCCAATAGGGTCAAGACACAAGGTTTCTCGACTGCGAGCCCAGGTCTTGGACTGGCAGATTCTGCACGATTCCGACAGCTTGGCTTCGAGGGCAGAGCTAACTCGACACTCCGAGTTGTTGCTAACCGCCGTATGGAGGGCCGATCCGCGGATACTGGCGGCTTCTTGCGATGGCACAGTGTCCATCTATGACTCAGACGGGCAGATGTGCTTCACTAAAGGCCCGTTCCGGGACCTTATAGGCTTTGCCTCGGCGTCAAGATGCTTCGTCTGGCTGGCCAGCTGCGCCGACGGGATCGTACATGTTTTCGATGGAAGCAAACACCTTTGCAGCTTCCGGGGGTCGCCTCGTCGAACTCAGAATGTCATCTTCAGTTCAGATGGGCTTTCGGTTTTGACCCCTGCGGAAGGCTGTACTGTCAAGTCCTTTGATGCACAATCTGGGCAGTGCTTGTCCACATATGGTGGTTTCGACTCAGATGTTTGCTCGATCATCCTTTCGCCGGATGGAGTGTGCATGTTATGCACGACCGTCGGTGGCTTCGCGGTAGCGTTTTCGGCCAGATCAGAGCAGCAAGTTCACATGACCCAAGCTGGGAAGTGGAGCCGATGTGCTCATTTCATGTCAACTCCTGGGTCAGTCCTTGCTGTATTGCGTGATGGCACCGCGCGGATATTTGATACGCGTTCTGGGCACGTGACAGCACATTTACGGGAGAACACGGCAGCGAGTAATGCTGCTGTCTCACAGGATGGATCCAAGATAGCGTTGGTGTTCAGCGATTGTACGGCAAAGGTCTACACTTGGAGGGACCCTCAGCTTCAGGTCGTGTGTTCTCTGCTGGTTACAAACCTTGGCGACTACATCCCTCCACAGCCTGTCACGTTCTCTGCGGACAGTACAAAGATCCTGTTTGCTCTGGATAGTTGCCACATAAGAGTGCTCGATGCGAACACTGGCGAGTTTGTCAGCTTGTGTGAGGGCGGCACGCAGCACATTACGACGGCCAGCTTCTCGCCGGACGCCCGAATCGTATTGGCTTCATACTACAGATCTGTGGTCAACTTCTTCGAAACAACATCTGGCACACGTGTCAAGCAGCTGGGCAGTAAATCCAGTACCGCGCATGCTTTTCTCGCTGCAGAATTCGCATGGGCATTGCCTCTGCACCAAAAATGTTGCGCGTCGGCTTTGCATGCGCGAGGTGCACCTGGCATGCCAGAGGGCTACCCTTGTGATACACCAGTACCGCCCACCCCCATTAAGGTACACTTTGGGGGTCCAGGGAGGCTCAGTGTAGCCTACGCTGTATGTTACTCTATGTTGTTTTTTGGACTTTGTGAAGAATATGTCCAGGACCGCTATGACAGCCCGGCCACGTCACGTCCTGCATCAACGCAGGACTTGCCAATCCTGTCCTCAGACTTCAAGATGTGAGAACACTATATTATATAAGATTATACATGTATGTATATATGTATATATGTCTACATCTATATATGATATCATACATATATGCATACATGACGATGGTAGGAGACGGCCCCCTTCGCAGTCTCGGAACCTTCGCCTGGCCACTACACGACGATAGGCGCGCACTGCGAGAGCGTTGTGCCTTTGTGCTGTATCTGCCTGAGCTTTAGGAGCTCCAGTTATCCCTACCCAACGTGAAAGATTGGGTGTGAGATATATATATATATAGAGAGAGAGAGGAGAAAATGAAAAAAAACGGGGGGGGGGGTTCAAAGGGGTGGGGGGTAGGAGGCGTGTATGGAGTGTCCACGAGGCTTGACGGCAGTGGCGGTATGGCCCTCAGGAATCCTGGGCTGCGTTGTCACGTCGCGTGCTCTCCTGCGCTCAGTGACCTCAGGACAAAAAATACCAAAAGCGCTTTGCCATCTCTATTGCTAGCCAAAGATGCTATGCAAAGCAGCACGGTCTCAAACTCAGCTGCGTTTGTCCCAGGTCATTGTCTTCCACAGTACGTGAGCAGTGCACGTGCACCCTTGAATCTGCCTGGTCCGGTCTTTGGCTCATTCTGGCCCATCTCTGGTAGGGCGTAGTAGGACCTTGTGCAAGAATGTCGATCATACAGGCAGTCGGGGAATGGGACAGCGGCGAAGTTGTCGCTGTTGGCATGGTAAGTGGGAGGAGGCAGATCGAAGACATGAAGCGCATAGCTGGATTGCAAGAGACCACCCTCTCTCACGAAGAGAAAAGGGAGATCGAGCGACGACGTGCACAAGCAGCAGAGCGCAAGGACCTTCTGCGGACGCAGGCAGAACGCAGCCGACAGGAGGCAACAGAACTTCAGTCCAAGCTTGCACGACGAAGGGCACTCGAGCAGGCAGATGATGCTAAGAAGGAAGCAGAAGATACACTTCTGCAGCAGCTTAGCGCCTCCAATACAAGGACCCCCGGGATCACTTCAGTTGAGCCCGGCACAGATACGGCCACCATGCCTGTGGACCCTGAATCTTGCAGTGGAGTGCGGAACAGTGAAGAGGCAAAAGCTTCGGGCACCAAAGAGAGCGAAGCTGTTGCCGATGTGAGCATCACTTTAGGTGAGGAACCATTTGCTCAAAGCCTCCAGACAGGACAGGCTCCACCAGAGAACCCCTGCTGCAATGTACAGTGAGGATGAATTCCACTCTCAGTCACAGTCACAGGCCAGTCGCTTATGCGAAGCCCGAGATAATGAAGATAGCAAAAGTTGCGATGGTTTGGACGATTACTCAACAACTCTTCCATTTCTTGATGAATTTCACTGGGCATGTTTCTTGCACTACTGTGTGTGCCAACCAAAAGACACGACCATCGCTGTGGTGCGAACCTTTGCCGATGCAGAATGCTCCAAAGCAGGGCATCGCCGAGAAATGAGATGAAGCGAAGAAAGCAGAACAGCTTCTGTGCTTTTGCTGGACGCCTAAGAGTCGCAGCATCTGTGCAGGCTACGAGTATTCAGTTGTTGACCCCTCGGATACTTGGCTCGCAATGTGCCCTTTTGTCGATTCTTGACATCAAAGCAAGTGGCATCTGTGGCAAACAAGGACTACCCAGCTTGCGCGAGATTTCGAGATTTCTTCTTCAGAAAGCATTGCTCGGTCGCGCGCTTCCTGGAAACAAAAGCGGGTGACTACATTCTGTGCCTTGGTGCCAAAAGGTGCGTGGAAGAGAACCAGGGAGACTTGTGAGCTTTCCTTTGGGCCTTCCTCAGGTTTGTCTTCGATGGTGACAATCCAGTCGTTTGGCTGGAGAGAGGCAGACGGAGACAGAAAGGAACGAAGAAATCGCCGAGGGAAAGAGCCCAAGCGTAAGTGACTCTTGTACCCCCTCCAGCCAACAAAAGGAAAAGAGGAGAGTGGCCCCGACTTTCTGTTCGTAGAGCAAGGAAGAGTTTGTTATGTCCCCTGGGCCTGGGTTGCATGTTCTTCCCAGAGTTGTTCTTTCCCTTTGGTGTTCGGGCAACAGATGCGCCCAGCTGCCCCGGCACAAGTTCTGCCCCGGTAATTCAGGTGTGCAGGACTCTGCGACCCTTGGTGAATTAAAACAACTCATACTGTAACATCCCGCACATGGGACCACTGAACCCCATCCCTACAGAGAAACAGCGAACCCCCTCACGACTGTCCTCCTGCCACTGCAGCATGGCTTGAGAGTGTTGGCCAAAAGTTACGTACTGTTTTTTTGGAGTTGAGGTTTGCTGTGCCTCGGTGCTGGCTTGAAGTAGTGCTGTTGTGTACGGGATCGACGCAACAGAGGGTGGAGGGATGTAGAAGTTTAACCAAGACAGCGGCTACTCTAGCATTCGTCCTGGAGTGGGCGAGGAGGGCGGGGGGGGGGTCGGGTCGCACCTGTTTCCCTTCAGCTTGCAAAAAAAAAACAACTGTTCATGAGTTCACTTCGTGCTCGTGCCGTGTTCACCCCACAAGATGTCACTGGTTAGGCAAAAGTGTAACAGCCTCACCCCCTCCTCCGCCCTGGGACCTAAAGAGGGCTGGAGCAAAGTGAGCAGAGGGAAAGCATCAAGGACGCTAGAATCTGCCAGAAGCTGCCGATTGCTTCCCTGCAGGGCAGCGCAGTGAAAGTGCAGAAAGAGCGGGCAAACAAGCGAGAGAGTTAGAGAGTGGGCCATGCTGTACGCACTGGTGTGCATGGTGTGCATATATGAAGCCGACCGACCTGGGAGGCCTGGACCACTGGTTGAAGGAGGTTGCAGCCACAGATGTCGTGCTGTACGAGCGTTGGATGAACAATGAAATCATGGTCCGCAACTCAGTGTCTGCAGCTAGCCTCTTGCTTGAAGATGTGCAATTTTCTCCTGATGTCGCACGAGTCGGGTTAGGCAGGAAACTATGCCGTGAGAAATTCTGAATTTGGCATTCGCTTTCTCGACGATTGGGCCAGCTTTGAAGAGGAACTTCCAAGAAGCGGTGCCTTGTTGGGCACATTGCGCACTCTGGTTCGGAGCATTTTCAAAGCTTGCAGCATCATGCAGCAATATTTTGCAGCAGTTGCAACTAGAGTTAGCGAGATGATCATTGCCAGTGGCCAGTGGCTCGAGCAGGTTACCACTCTTCTGACAACGGTGCCATCCACTTGCACCTGCTTCGGGTATTGGGCCTCAAGAACGAGAAGCCATGCAAATACCAATGGGATCATCTGGGAAGCGACCGTGACCACATGGACGAATACTTTGCCTTTGTTACCTGTGCAAGGCCATCACTTAGCGGTATTGAGCCGTTCACCATGCCCTGTGCCTTTGAAGACTGTTGATGGGAAGGTTGGTTATGGGTGCCCCACGACGGTGGAAGATTGCCGGCAAGCAACGCTGCACGACCTTGGAAGGGAGTGTGACGGCATAGGCCGCATGCGGTGGCATAGGCCAGGATTGTCAGTATTCAGGGGCATATTCAGGCTCAGGCGGACGTTGGCTCAGCGCGCGTGCAGGGTGGGCTCGTACCTAAGGAGTCACGATCCTACCTCGCGGTCATGCATGGGCCATCGATGGTGGTGATGCTGACAGCCATGTGTCGTCAGTCGGTGCAATTTCACATCATGGGCAAAAGACAGAATCCAACTATCGGCAGTCACCTGGCCGAATCTCCTCACATGAGCTTCCGGTACTGTACATACATTGCAAAACGGGCAGCAGTCCGAAACCATGTTGAAAGGGCCTGCTCCATGTTGAAGCCGGAAAATTGAAGATGCATTTTCAAGCTTTTCTACTGCCAAAAGTGCTGAACTTGTGCTACGTAAGATATTCCTCTGCTGCCAGCAGCAAGGTACTTTCAGGACCGCTTTGTGGACGACGGTGGGTCCGACTGCACTGCCATGGTCCGGGAAGGCTACTATGTCGATTCGAAGCAGTACGGCGAGTCTCTGATGCTTGCTTCAAGCCTTGGCCAGACTCTTGTCACCTCCAGCAAGGGAAGCAGGATGAGTGGCACTTTTTGCTTGTTCTTTTCAAGGTGGAACAAGCTGAAAGCGCGCACTGACGGTGCACTGCTGGATTGGACTCGCCAGCATGTTCCGCCATGGGACTTCACTTACTTGGGCTGCAGCTGGTGGGCAAGCATGGGCCGGAAATGTCATCATTTTCTAGAGAGCTCCCGTCATCTCTGTCCATCTCCCACACCCAAGGCATGGCGACTTTGTCCTGCCGGCCACTGGATGACGACGAAATCCTTCGCGTCAACATACCCAGGTTCCGCCGCAGGCTCTGAGAGTCTCTGAGAGGTGTGGATGCACCTGGAAGGCCCGTGCAGTCTTCGATTCCATTCAGGAAGGTCCCCAAAAACACCAAGTTCGAGGTCGGGACCAGGGCGGGCGAGATAAAGCATCTTATGGTCTGCGATCGCTTTGAGTCGTTTTAAAAGGTGTGCGCTGGAGAGTGGGAGACATCCGGGCTGCAAATGGATCAGGTCACGTATGTCTTGGTGGCGAAAGTACCTGAAGTGTCCCTGCTCCGCATGCCCAGCTTAGGACCTGCGCGTGCGTGGGTCTGGCAGTCTCCTGAGTCCTGGGACACGTTATGACACTATGAAACATTCATGCACACCACGAAATCTGCCGCTGTGTTTGAGCTTGTCAGCATGTGTTTCCCTTTCCTTGATCACATCTTTCTCTGCGCATGCATCGCTGCACGTGCGATTGTTTCGTCAAGCTTTATAATTTGCACTCCAGCATCAGACAGGTTATCAGGACGTTGAAGCACAGACACGTAAGCAGGTGGCAAAACGAAGCATTTTGTCATTGCCGAAGATGGCAACATCTTCACTGATATGGGATGATATGGGGCTCAGTCCACATACCTGCAGAGTTACGCTTGTGATATCCTGCATGTCCTTAGTCGTGATCTGCCGATGGTTTATTTTGTACTCTCCCTGGGATTGTCAGGGATCTCCCAGATTTATTCAAGGGATTCTTCAGGCATATCAAACAAGTTTATGTTTTGTTCCGACCCATATGCCACAAGCCCACCCACACACCCACCGACATATACGAAAAGACCACAGGTTCGACCCTGATGTCACACAAGGTAAAAGCTTGTCGCCCTATTGCAACAAAACATTTGATAAGTAAACCAGAAGGCTCTGTAAAGAGCGACCACAATTTGTGGTAATCTAAATGTCTACGACCGCACTGGCCCGAGGTGAAAAACTTGAGTTAACAGAGAGCTTCGCACAGCTTCGCTTTCCCATTTCCCATGGGAGAGCACACGCAAAGATGCTGCCTTTTGAGGTGTACTTCGGAACGCAAACGCGTCGAAGTCCAGTTGTCGAGGCGGGGAACCTCAAGAGGCTACAGGCTTGCGCCATATACGGACTCAACATAATTCAGCATAGTACAGTAACAATCAGGTTTAGCAGCTGCCTTCCGTTTGCTACGTTGGAACCAAGCGAGGTCGAAGCGGCACAAGGCAAAATAGAATGCCGCCCCTTCGTTGCAGGGATGTGGGCTGTGTCGTGCTGTCAACGTGGGCTTACGGCCAGAATTCTCAAAGGTGCAGACAACTTTGATGGAGACCCCGCTGTCGGCGAGATCAAGAAATGCCATTGCGCAACTCTCGCGGAAAAAACATCATGGGCTGCGATTTTTGTTCGAGGGCAAGCATTCGTGCCTGAGCTGTGCCTGTTCACTATTCTCAAGATGCTCCCAGCGAGTGTTGCTGACTTTGTCCACATGTTGCTGTGAGGTGCGATTCGCTGCTCAGCACATCTGGAGATCCGTTCCGTGAGGCGCATTGGCACAGCGTCAATGCTTCTAAGCATGCCTGTGATAACGTTGTCGAGTCTCAGCGTGGGGGTACTCTGATCACTCTGATCACTCTGTCGACCAGGTTCAAGCCGCGTCACTATGTCAGCGTCTGGGCCTCCTCAAGCAAAATGTCGTCTGCTGAGCAGCAGATTCCATGCACGTTTTTGCTTTGCTTAGTGGTTCATCATCCTCTTCCACCTTGCAACTTGCAACTTGAGGTCGACTTCGGAGGCAGCAACCAAGTTGTGCACTTCGACTCCAACTTGTTGGAAAAGGCGCATCGAGCCTGGGGCTCAGGCGGCCCCCTTACGACCGATGGGCTTCTCAAATGCGAATGGCCGAATGAAGGTTCTCCAAATGGAAACGTATGGAGAGGCCATGCGGCCAATCAAGTCTTTGATGGCTCATCATTTGAGGGTTGAAGCTTCATAGCTTTGTCAGGTGCAAGAGATGGCACGGACACTGCTCCAGGACTTCGAGTCATTGTGCAAGGCCCTGCGCTTGGTGTTGCTTGCTTTCGCCACGCGATGCGCATGCATGTTGTAGTGGCTCAGCTGGTGCCACGATGGTAGCATTCCGGGTCGAAGCCGCTCATGGCTGCGCAAAGGTCTTGCTGCACCTGAATGACAATCAAGTCAAGCCTGAGCTCAAGGAGAATGCTGTGTCCTTAGTGCTCGAATGTCCCCGTGCACGCCTCGTACACCTGAGATGGACATCCTCCTTTCTTCACCTGTTCGAAACCACAGCAATTTCAGGCAGAGCTGACCTCGGCAATCTTGAGACTTGAGCAGGCTCACCAAGTGCATTGGCTGTTGGTGCGTGCTACCAGTCTAACGCTTCCAAGAGGTGTGGGCTGACTGCCAGTTCATCCTTCATCAGGTTCGCAAACTGTGGGTGCATGTTTGCTTGCAGAGATGCCATCGTCTCAGCCCTGGCTCAGGGCTGCCTGGACTTTATTGAGGTCTTGGAGCGGGAAGTCTTGCCACAGCTCAGTCCACTGTGCTGCCGGCAGCTTTCCAGCCCACCCAGACATTGCCACCCAAGCACTTTCACAAGTGTCCAGGCTGCTGTGGCAGATTGGCATAGCCCTGGGCTTCTCGGAAGGCAAGCTTCAACATGCTTCCGCCACTGATATGCCTGAGTGAGCACATGCCTGCGATCAGCCCACCCGCAGGAAGGAACTTGGACTCCGACGTCACCCAAGCGGACAGCTAGTAGGGCGATGTTCGTGCTGCTTGTTTGGAAGCTGCAGCAGAACAAGCATAAGCTGTGTTTCAGGACATCAAGGCGGCGAAGGCGTCTCTCTGAGCATCAAGCGCGCCAGCTTTCTGTGGTGCTCCGCGCTTCAGCGAAGGTTGCGCTGTACCAAACAGTGCCAATGATGGTCTACGTGGACTGCCGAGCTGTAGAGAGAGACATTCTGGTACTCGTGTGGTTTGTGCACCATCGACAGGAGGAACTATGGCGGGACGCCAACCCGGAAGAATCGAGCAAGTGACTCGAGCTGTCAGCTGCATCATGGTTCATGGTGCATCCAATGAGGGGAATTGCTGCGTGACAGCTTCACAAGGAGCAAGCACGTTACCTGCAAGACAAATGAACTTTGAAAGCAGGGGCTGCAGCATTTGCAGGGGGGGGGGGTTCGTATTATATAACTGGTGCCAATCCGAGCCGCCGGCAATGGCTGCCAACCTACGAAGGAATCTATGGAGGCAGCGAAGGCTTCATGGACGCCCTCACGGCGAGTTCGCAGGAGGAGAGATCACAAGAATCACGACCACATTCGAGCGGAAGACCCGCCACCTGATCGGGTCGAGTGGCTTGCTAGATCTCCTCCTGTTTGTTAGTATATCGGTGCAAGGGACATATTGACATGTTGAGCCACTTCAAGTTTGTGGGGAACAGCCGACGGTTACCTTCAAAGAACCCTTCAAAGAAGATGCCTTCAGAAGTCAAGTCAGCAGTAAATCCTCTGCCCTTGCAAAGCTCCAGGTCGCACTGCCCTGAAGCCGGTCCTTTGTGTTCCTTAATGCAAAACATGTAAAATCTCGAGTTCTGCCAGTGCAACACAGCTAGGAGCAGATGGCAAAAAGCTTCTCGACCAACAAGCCCATCTAACCTGCATGGAGAACACAACTACCACCGCACAATCACCCCGCAAACGCAACACTAAACTCAAGCGGACAGAGCCAAGCTGTAGTAAGTCGACCACCGCCACACACAGAGACTCAGATATGTGTTCGTCAGCGCAGGATTCTCAACAGCCGGATTTATGACAAATCCAAGCCGCTGCGCCTGTCAGACCTGCAGAAGCTGGCGAGCCCAAAGGCCGTCACAGCCGCCCTCTCTAAGCTGGGCCAGATGCAACGCTGGCATGATGCTGTCCTTGCGATGCAGACACTGGCTTACGCAGGCCGATCCCGATTGGCAAATATTGAAGCCTTCAATGCCGTCATCACGGGCTGCGGCTCTGGTGCCTGGCACGTGTCGCTGGGAATGCTCCAGAGGGCGACTGCATTATCACTGCGGCATTCACTTGTGACGGCAGGTGCTGCCATTAAGGCGACTGGCTCACAGAGCGCACAGAGAGCTGCAGCTACATGGCACAATGCCGTGCGGCTGCTTTCCTGCATGCGACAGCAGGGCATGAGTCCCAACATCAGGCACCAGAACACCGTTTTAAGCTGTGAAATCCCTTGGTTGGCTGCGATGCAGATTTTCAACTCGGCTCTGGATTCGGAGGGTTCTGACATGGAGCATATGAAGCCCACAGAGTTCACGGGCAGTCTCCTCATGAAGAAGCTGGAGACGAATTCAAACTGGCCGATGGCAATACACATCTTCCTCTTGATGCAGCGCTTGCGTTTGCAGCACGATGCCGTCAGCGGAAATGCAGCGTTGAGAGCTGCTGGCAATCGCCGAGTGGGCCGCGATTTTGCACAACATCTTATCACTGCAGAAATTCCTGTGGATTCTGCTACGTGCAGCTCTGCGGGCAACGCTTTGGATTCGGAGCAGGTTTGGAATTTGCTCCAGCAAGTGCGGGCATCGTCTCAGGAGCCCGACATTGGAGCCTACACATCCTTCTTGGCGGCTCTTGACAATGATGGCCGCTGGGAGGTTGCCTTGAACTTCCTGCTCTCCATGGCCGCAGATGGGATCCAGGCGCGTGTGTGAGAGATGTGGGGGCAAGAATCCGATCTCAATCTGTCTCATGAGCCAGGCCAGTGTCAATCCACATGCTGCCGCTCAAAGTGCTTGTGAAAGATGCCAGCAATGGATGGAGGTTGTGGATCTGATTCGGACACTGAAAGGCTCCAGTGTGCAGCTGGATCTGGTGGTTCGTTCCGCAGCAGTCTCTGCCCCACAAACAGGCGAAGCTCCATGTTTGTGAGCTCGTGCTGTACTAGCACCAAGCCATCTTCCAGAATTTCTGATTAGTTTACATGGACAGGCCGGAGCTGGTACCAGGCCTCGCAGAACTTCCACCAGCTAGTCCTGGAGCGGGGGGTGCGCGTTTCTGCGCAAGTGCCCAACCCAACATCACACACTGAAGGAGACTCTGAGCCCAGACACTGTGGCTCACGGAGCAGTCGGCCCCTTACAGACTGTACAGCAAGGCAGCAATAGGACAAGTCGCAAGCGTCTCAAGAGCTGGCTAGCTGCTAGCCTAAGGTCCTCAGCGCAGCAGAGGCAGGACATCAGTGGCTCTCTGCGATTGGAGCTTTGTGGAATTGGAATCGTCGATTCCTGACCCTTGGGTGTAAAAAGCTTGTGTTCCTGGGTTTACCTTTGCCCTGAAGCCGCTGTATGTAGCCTTGCCTCTGGAATCTTTGGATGGAAGAAACGCCCTGTAGTCCACGACCCCTCCGTGCAGTGTGAAGAGGCCAGGCCACCAGGCCCGCACAAGGAGGAACCGGCTTGGAGCAGCGATAGCAAACGATGGCACGCATTAGAAACGCAGGCCTGCATGAGCATAAGGAAGGTGGGCCCTAGGCACATGGCTGCACCCACCGCCTTTGAGTCGGCAGTAGTTGCAACACGGCTCAGCGGGGAGGCCGAGCCGCAGAGCGGCAAGGAGGCAGCAAAGGGCACGACGGAAGGAAGTCTGTCAAGAGGAAGCGCAAGGGGCAGGGCTGGAGGCGCAGTAGCAGCAAGGTTGAGCGAATGCGAGTGAGTTTATACTTGTTCATTCTGGTCTCTTCTCTTTGTTATGCGGGTTCATGTTGTGCTGAATGCTGCCTGGAGATTCGACAAGGGCCTCCCCTGCCGAAAATTCCGCGTTCCGAGAATGCTCAGAGTCATGAGTATACCGTCCCAAGGATCACGTGACGGAATTTAGCACACGTGATCAACTGAGGAGGCTCGACGTAATCTCCATGAACTCAGCAGAGCCTGGGCTGGCATACATATGCATACATGTGCATCAAGTTGTCTGAATCGAGAACAAACCTCGTCGCTGGCTCGCCATCTGGGTTCCAGGTCAGTGCTTGTGAGAAATCGAAGTCCTGGGCGGCAGCAATCAATATCGTGACGCAGGACATGGCTTGGTGCCGCATCTTCCCGGATGCCATCAGTCCCCTTGCGAATTGGGAAGGAAGTTCGCAGGACTACGTGCTGAAGCGTAGGGGCAAGCCCTTGTAAGCAGGTTCAACATAACACGCAATTTCACATCCTCGCTTTCCCCAGCAGCCGAGGCTGCAATTCTGCCATACTGGCCTGCACGGAGACAAGCCGTTGGGGTCATGGGCTTCTGATGGTTTCATACGCAATGCAACGTGGTATCATGCCACAGGCCTGTGTCGCTTCAGCATCATTCTGCGGTGCAGCACAGAGATGGCAACTCTGCATGACAGCGCTGGAAGGTGGGTAGCTTCGGCGCGCTGCTCACAGAGTGTCACTGGGCAAAAGAGAGTCATCTCAGTCACCTCTCCCTAAGAGTGCTTTGCGCTGTGTACGACCCATCACTCAGAAAGATGCAAGGGCCGCAACCACGCCCAAGGTGAGCGCGCCAGTCCCTCCCTGGTTGCTTGCCAGCAAGAGCTCCTCAGTGGATCTCTACAAGCTGCCGGGTTGGACACAACTTTAGTTCAGAGCAGAAAAAAGTTGCGCACTCTCCTGGCTGCATGATCGAATCCCTGGGTCCTCCTGGGTCTACGCAGCTTGATCCCAAGGCCGGAAGCTGCGCTTCGTGGAGCTCTGCTGCCCTCAGGATGCCTGAGACCTTGCCTGGCATGCCGCAATCTGGGCAGTTCGTTTAAAACGTGTCCTTCTTTGGGTCCCTGGGTCCCCTATAGTATAGAACGCTTCTATAAAAAAGGACAACACAAAAGGGACCGTTGTTACAATGTTGTTGCGTTGTGGCATTGATGCGAGGACGACCGACACCACACTTTGAGGCGGGACTTCGGGAAGTTTGACGAGAAGAGGTTCAATGAGTCCTGGCCTCATTCTTCCAACCCAATTCTAACCAGCAAGGCTTCAGGAGCTTGAGCATACACGCATCTTCCGAGATTCCGGACTTTCATCACCGAAGATGAACAGAATCGCGGCTGGGCACTCAGGTACTGCAGGGTGATGTCACAAACGGCCGGCATTTCAATGCCCTTTCAAGTTCCGCGTGCAGGTGGTGCGAACCGTCAGACTGATTTTTTCCGCTTGGTGCTGTGCTCACCTGGCATTCTATGTGCATATGCTGCGTACGCGGCATATCCCGAGTCGCCCATAAAAAGAGTGCCCACCAGGTGTACCGACAATTGAAGGCAGTGGCTGCATTTCCGGTCCAGGACGCATCTCATTTTCCAGCATCCTACGGTCAGTTTGCTCGTCTCAGAGGACAACTTTGCGGCTGCGATGCTGGCAGCATCAAGAGCGCAGGAGTCGCATGTGCATCGCAGTTTGCTTCAAGCAGGGGATGATGAGGGAGGTGTCTCCGTGGCTGGCCCCGACACACGCCTGGGGGTACTTCTCAACCGCGTTCCCAAACAAATGTCGTCACTTCCCTCCCCACCCCCCCCTCCCCCACATCCCGTGGGTCTGCCATTTCTTCCTTTGCGCCAGGGACCTCCACTCCCATCCCTTTGGAAAATTGCTGGGCCTCCGAACTGGCAGCTGGCGTAGGGAAGGCTTTATCGTTCCACATCCCCGCATGAGGAGAATCTGAAGCAACCTGGTCTCAGCGATCAAGATGTTGCAGTCGTCCAGCGTGAGCAAGAGCTGCTGGAGGCGGGTGCTGCGCTCAGCCGACATGTGGCTGAGCTTTTCTTTTCTCTTCGTGCACTGTTCCAGGGCGGGGCTCGGTGGATCTGCCTCATGCTCAAGGTCCAGGCCGCAAGCGTTAAAGACATCGACAGACACCAGGGGAGTAGAAAGTACTGCTTCACCTCTGTAGGCCGTGGCTCCTGGCTTGTTCCCCCCGAAGCGGCCGCCAGACGCCCAGAGAAGCGGAGAAGCCGACTGTGTCTGTCGTCCTGCCCCCCTTAAGTTTTTGGCGAGGCCCGAGAAGTCAGACAAGGACCGTCCTCGGCTGGAACCTCGGAGCCTGGCAGGCTCTGGAGCAGATTCTGTTTGAGCCTTTGTTGCAGGCCTAGTAAAGGACGCCGCACGTCCTCGGCAACCTACCTGGCGGGCGGCAGGCCTTATCCTTTAGTTGTAAACGTGAAGTGCCTGAGGCATCTTGCGAATCCCTCTAATATCCCAAAGTTCGGACCTTAAACCCCAAAGTCCGACGCGAGATCCAGACCTGCTGATGCTTCCGAGCGGTTCAGGGTCTAAGGCCTAAGGCCTAAGGGGTCCAGGGGGTTAAGGGTATCCAGGAAAGCGTCCGTGTCTTGACACCAGCTTCAAAGTGAAAGCAGCACCCATCGCCCCACTTGGACAGGCGTGGCTCGAATGTCAATGCCTGGGAGGCCATCCAATGAGATTCTGCCTGTTCTGTTTGGCCTGTCATGATCCATGTTCCTGTGCATGGAGGCGCTGGATGCAGTAAAGGAGGGCTGAGAGTGGATCATCAAGGCACTTAGTTCTTTCGTTGATGCCCGGGTGGCCTGCTGTCAGACGCACCAAGGAGCATGCATTCTGCATAGAAACGTGCTTACGTGCATGTACGGAGCACATTCAGCTCAAGCCAGACTGTCTGTGGCATGATTGGCAGTTCCGCACCCAGACCATGAACAGAAGGGGTAGCTAGTGCTAGGAATTGTCAAGGGTGGCTTGCTCATCAGTCTGCGCGAGGTCAAAGACATGGCTGGCATTACTGTGGAATTGTCGTCCGTCAGGCTGCCCTTGCCAGCGCATGTGTTGCAGAGCTTGTCAGCAACATCTTGCAGACTTCTCGCTTACCGGCGGTGCTGCAGCCGATAACGGATTTGATTCACTAAATCCACATTCAAACTGCAGTCATTCTGAAGCCAGTTGAAGCAATCACCAGCGCAGCCACAGCACAGCTAAGCACGGACTTAAAAAGAGCTTAACAATGATAGTGTAGTTCTGCTATGTTCTGCCGGCCCTGACCGCCCTGACATGCGGTGAGTTCCACATGATTCAGCAGCGGCGGTTGAGGCAGATTGCAGCCTCCATCACATCAGCTCCGGGACCACAAAATCAGAATCCGGAACTGATTCCCAGCCGGTATGAGGATCGCTGTACCTTGCTGGATTCCGAATGGGCCTCCGAGCACTTGCGCTGGATGATTCAGAAAGATGCCCTTGGCCAAGACATGTTTCTGCTTGGCCCTCACTCACCACTACGTCGCTGGTTGGCATACCGGTTCTGTGAGATTGCAGGCCTTAGTGGTAGAGTCTGTAGGTAATCTTTAAACTTTTGGGTATTACATTATATCATCCCAAAGGTTGACCTTGAGTTCCCCGTCGGTCACGGTTTTATTGACGGGCCTCAAGGGCTAAGCCTCATGCGTTGCCTGGCGCTGCAGACCCTCTGGATGCAACGGCAGAGTGAGATAGAGAGCGGGGGGCCTCTTCGCTGGGTAGAAGAAGAAGAGAGAGAGAGAGTGTGTCCCCTAAGTGCAGGGAAGGGAAGGAAAGGAAGTGTGTCCTTCCGTTGCCTATGAAAGCCATCCATGCCTCGAGGTGTCTCACGAACTTTCATAGCTTTCATAGACAGACCTGCCCAACAATGTACTGTCATGGATTGAGCTTCCCAACACTGCAGGGGAGTAGCCGAACACGAGCAATGCCTCACATCTCCAAGTGTGTTCTGATCGGGAGCACTCTACTGTTGGTACATTCACACTTGGTTTTCCTTTGTTGTTGTTTCGGGAGCCGGCAAGAACACACTGTCACACACCGTTGGATGATGGGAAGAGGGGCCGTCTTGCAGATCATGTTAGTTAGCGGGGAACCATGGGGAACCACATCATGCTAACAACGAGATGTCTCACACACAGACAGACCGCAAGAGCACGCCCATTAGGGCAGCCCCCTTCGCGGGGGACTGTGTGCGAAGGAAGGAAGAGAGAGAGAGAGAGAGAGAGAGAGAGAGAGAGAATAAAAAAACCTTGAGTTCACCGAGGGTAAGAGGCATGGCGGCCATGAGACCTCCCAAATCCTTCTAGTTTAGCTTTATGCGACTGTCTCTAGCGCATCAATTCGCCGCACGATTGGGTGTAGGGTTTGGGATTTGGATGCTTAATTCTCTTTCGCAGGCATGTGGCCAGCCGCATGTCCGCATGTGCTTGTATGTGTTCACAGGTTTGCTTTGTGGCCACCGGCTACCATTCGAGGGGGTTGGGGCGAGCTTCCCTAGGGGATGGCATTCTGGCAATGCTGGACCTGCAAGCACTTGCAGACTAGGAAGCAACGAAACAAACACATTCTGGGGCTGTTCCACCAAGCCTCCCGAGCAGGGCCGGCCTCTAGCAAAGGCCTGCTGGAGGGCACGACGTGCTCTTGAGTCTGTCAGGCCCGGGGGCCATACTTACAGCTACCAAAAGCACAGCAACAAACGTGCAATGAACTAGGTTTTGCGTGATGAGTGCGACCTAACCGGGCATTCGGGTGATCTGCCCTGGCGCACGCCAGGTGCATGTGCGCAGAGCAAACTTGCCTCGCCGCATTGATTCCGACTTGCACTGACCGTCACTAAGCCCACAGGAACCCCCCGCCAAACAGTAGGGCTGGCGGTCCTCAGGTGAGAGTTGGGGAATTTGGATTCCTACGGGCCGGAGCGGAGATGAATTTGTTGCATTCCACGTTTTCTTAACAAGCCAGCACATATCTCAATCTTCTCCCTCTTCTTGCTTGCGCTGTGTGACAGTTTGACAGGCCGAGAGTGCGAGTTCTTGGCGCTGACGGCAGACACATCAGAAGTGGACCTGAAGATGCGACGCGAGCTTCGCATGAGCGGGAGCGAGAATAAAGACAACCACGGCCAGGCCCTGTCTGTGGTTTGGTTTGATCAGGCCATCGTGAGAGCAGCTTTGCGTGGTCGAGTGCTGATCATTGAAGGCCTGGAGAAAGCGGAGCGCAATGTGATGCCTGTGATCAACAACCTTTTGGAAAACCGAGAGATGCAACTGGAAGATGGCCGTTTCCTTGTGGCACCCCAGCGGTACGATAATCTGATCGCTGACCGAGACCGGCTACAGCAGCTAAAGCTTGTTCGTGTGCACGACAACTTTCGAGTCATTGCGCTTGGCGTTCCTTCGCCACCCTTCCCTGGCAACCCCTTGGACCCTCCTCTGCGATCACGTTTTCAAGCTCGCTATGTTGATCGGGTTCCTGTCGAGATGCTCCTGCCACAACTGCAGACCCATCATGCTCGGACTGTTTCAACCGAGTCGCTCGAAGAGTTGTTGAGTTTCCACGCTGGCCTATGGGAGCTCATGCAGCTGCGAGGTCAAACCTCCGGCATGGACGGACGGAACTTGACCTTCGGTTCGCCGTGTTTCCCCTGCGAGGAGTCCTTGATTTCCGCTGCTCAGCTGCTCGAGCATGCGCCGTGGCTGTCAGTCCACCATGTGATCAACACAATTTTCCCTTTTGGCAAGGGAAGCGGGCTGCTGACAGCAGAATCCGCAGAGTTGGTAGCCGGCATCCTGCCACGCCTGCCACGGGAGGGTAAAGAAGGAGCCGACTCGGTGGACTCCGAGAGAGAATCCATAGAATCCGCTAGGCCGGTGCCAGTTCTGGAGGAAGTCTTGCAGGACTCGGAGGCCGAAGCATACCTCCAAATCCGCGTTGGCACAGCTTCGGATGCTGTCAAAATGATTCGCTGCCAAAGGCCCAACAATCCGAACAATGTACAGCCCATGGGACCCTTGCTGGACAAGCTGGCAGGCCACCAGCGCCACATTCTGACAGGAATGCTGCTGTCGGCGTCTGTTGGCCGAGACGTCTGCCTCATCGGCCCAAGAGGAGAAGGCAAAACAGTTATTGCAAAGCACTTTGGCCTATGTTTAGGATACTCCCGTTTGGAAACGCTATTTCTGCATGAGGAGATGACCGCTCGGGACTTGTTCCAACGCAGGGCCACAAACAGACAAGGGGAGAGTACCTGGGAGCCATCTCCCCTTCTCCAAGCGATGCACTCTGGTGGCCTTTGTGTCCTTGATGGCCTACAACAGCTGCGCCCAGGAAGCCTGGCATCCCTGGCTCAGGTGATTCAAGACCGGGAGGTTACTCTGTATGACGGCACTCGCTTTGTGGCACCATGGCGATGGAAGCTTCTCATGAGATCATTGGGTTTGACTGCGGAGGAGTTGTCCAGCCGAGGGTTGCGCTGCACACACCCAACTTTCCGCATCATGGCTGTGGCGACGCCCAATGATGCGCGTAGTCGGAGCTGGTTGACAAATGAGGTCCTACAGCTTTTTCATTTCTTCACTCTGCCTCTCCAGCCAGATCTGCAGTCCCTTGTTGCAGCTGCTGTGCCCCGCTGCCCAGACCCAGTGGTTCGATCGCTTCTGCGTGTGCGCCAGCTTCTCTATGAGGCCGCGCAGGACTCCAGCTCATCCCTCTGGACCGGCAACAGGGGTGATGCCGGAAATCCTCACGTGATGCTCTCCCTGCGTGGAATCCTGCGTGCCGCAAGAACTGCAGCGGCTGCAAGTCTGAGCGAAGTTGCATCAGAAATTGGCGCGTTCTTGCAGTCAGCACTCATGACAGACTTCATGCCTTCAGCTGAGAGCGGGGCTGTTTTGTCCATTCTGAAAGCAGCCGGATTTGCAATTGAGGCGAAAAGCGCACGGTTGCTTGATGCAACCGGCATGGCCATTGAACCTCCAGATCTAAAAGATTCAGACCCAGAATTGCGGATAGGTTCTGTAGTTTGCCGAGTTCGGGCTCCGCAGGAAAAAGCCCTGGTCCCTGAGACCAAGTTCTTCCACAATCCGCAGCAAACACTGGCCCTGCACGATATGCTTCGCGATATTGTCACCGGAGAGCCCTTGCTCTTGATGGGCAACCAGGGCGTCGGCAAGAACAAGCTTATCGACAAGATGCTCATGCTCTTGCATCGTGAGCGTGAATATATCCAGCTTCACCGTGACACAACCGTGGGTTCGCTCACTCTGGTTCCAAGCTTGCGTGATGGTCTTCTCTGCTATGAGGATTCTCCCTTGGTCAAGGCCATGGTTCACGGTCGCGTTCTTGTGATAGACGAGTTTGACAAGGCTCCGACTGAAGTGGTGCTAACCCTCAAGGGGCTGTTGCAAGATGGTGAGATTTTGCTGGCAGATGGGCGACGATTTGTGCGACATGAGCTTATCACTTGTGATTCCAGCAGCACACCAATTCATGAAGCATTTCTGGTCGTGGCATTGGCAAACCGGCCTGGATTCCCCTTTTTGGGCAACGACTTTTTTCGTGAGATGGGGGACTGCTTCGCCTGTCATGCTGTCCAAAACCCAGACCAGGTGTCAGAGGTTGCCATGCTTCAGTCCTATGCTCCAGAAGTCTCGGTTGAGCTGTTGAAGCTGCTGTCGGCATGCTTTAGTGAGTTGCGGCAGCTGGTGGAGGCAGGAAAGCTTTCGTATCCATACTCTACACGTGAGTTGGTGAATCTTGTGCGCCATTTAGCAGCTTACCCGGATGACTCCATTGACTACGTCATGGAAAACGTTTTCGCTTTTGACACCTTGGATCCACAACTCCGCAAGACGGTTTTTGACATATTCCGACGTCATGGCCTTCCCTTGGAGTCCGACACAGATCAACAGTCGTCTGGGCAGCGCATGCATCGCACGCGGCTTGCTGCGGCCTTGCAGTTAGGCCCACCAGATAAGGTTGCCACCCTTCAGCGCTTCCCCGGCCACTAATCTACACAGTCTACACAGCCTACCTTGTGGTGCCTTGATTTGTGTTGCGTAGTCAGGAATGATGCGAATTGGCTGAGGTGACCAGGCCCAGCAAGTGAAGCTGGAAACCTGCCTGCTTCAACGCCATTGGCGGGCAGGCCACGGGGGACTGTCGAAGAAGGCACGCGTGGGGATGATGTGGGTATAGAAGTCGTGCGTGCCTGGGCAGGCGACTGGCATCCCTTCAGAAGCAGTTCATCTCGGTCGAGAGTATTCTCAGAAGAGGATCGCTGGTGGTCAATGGGCTTCGTCACGAAGGATGGTGTCGTGATCAAGGGCCGCTGTGCTGGCAAAGTTTTTTACCTTGTGGCACAGTTCCTTGTTTTGTCCATAGCTTGTCTTCGCTATCAGACAGACCCACAGAACCTGGCTCAAAAGGAGGCCACCAACAACCAACGAGACCTGACAAACTCAGACCCGGCCATTGACATGCAGGGTATGCTCTCCGCCATGCAACACAGAATAGCGCCCAACATGATAAGCTTGCGATCCAAACTAGCGCCCGGGTGCCCAATTGTTTTTTTCAGAGCCCTTCTGCTTGTTTCTGTGGAGAGAGATCATAGCTGTGAGCTGGCTTCTGCGATTTGGAGCACGCCCAGGCAAAGATCCCATCACCGGCTCTTGGCTTGGAGAGCTGCTGGGAATGGCATCGGCGCAAGGATGCCTATGCATCCTGACAAGCCAGATGATTCTTCATGTTTATGACGTGCATCGCGAAGCTTGTTGCGAAATCCCACTAGCAGTTGGAAGCACACTGAAGGATCGTGCAACGTATGCAGCTGGCAAGTCGCTAGTCTACGTGCCGGATCCAGCCGGAGGGTATGTTTGTGCTTACGACGTACGAAACGCAGCACATCTGAGCATTCGGCCTGGCGATGGATGCGTGGACTGCCTGAGCATACAGCCCCCAACTAAGCCACCACAGCATTCCAATATCATTTGCGCGGGCCTGTTGGCAGACCTGCCAGTGGCAATCTACTACGCCGAGTTCGGGCATGAGATTCTGCTCGTTCGTTGCGGCTGTTTCGACCATGAATCTCCAGCCGCTGTGAGACTTCCCTTTGATTGGCGCCTTGGCAGCAAGAGTTGCTCAACTGAGCCCAAGCTAGGATGACAATGCACGGCTACCCCTAAACCCTAAACCCTAAACCCTAAACCCTACAGGCCAGAGAAGATGGGCTTGCTGGCAATCTATGTCCTCAGTCGGGAACGCCTGCTGCTACGATGCGCTGACGCGAATGGAATGCCAGTTCTGCTTGAGCTGGTGCTTCAGACTGGCTACTGGTCAACAAGGTGTGTTGTAGCTATTTGGTTCACGTGCAGTTTCGTCATGGCTTGATTGAATTGCAAGTAGAGTGCGAGTAAGATAAAAGTATGTCGCGCGTAGCAAAATTGCCCAAAGAATCTTCAAGACGCCTCAAGCCTCGCATCGGCCAGTGGCTTAAGCAGGTAACCGCCACATGTTCAGACCTGGTGTGCTTGGCCCATTCTCGCCCAGTTATTTACTCATGTCACTCAACAAGGAGACTTCAAGGAGAGACTACTCTGTGGCTCGGAGTAGTAGTATTTACTGATACGTAGCTCGCTGATAGAGAGGACTGCCCATGCACGTCAGTTGGCTCATGACGTTTCGGAAGCCGAGGAACCGCGAAGTGCGACGTTGACTCGTACTTCGCATCCCTGGGCTCATATGATTCATATGTAAGCCTCCGCAAAGCAGGCTTGGAACCTTGTGTGGAGCCTCGCTTCTGGTCTCAGCCAATACCGTTGACTCAGCTGCCTGTCCAACCACATCGTGCGGGCCTATCAGAAGATTTACCAGCCGATTGTGAGGCCAATCTGTTCTCTCATGTCATGACGACCGAGGACACCCTCTGCATCTTTGCACTTGGTTTAAATGTGGACACGTTGAACCATGCACATCCTCTCATGGGCTATCGGCGCTCAGGTGTGCATGCCGAAGTACAGGATATTCTGCAGGCACCAGACGCGAATGCGCACGCAAGGCATGGTACCTCCTGCTGGCATGGCGCGTCGAAAAGCCTTGTCTCAGCTGCGTGGATAAGTGACAGCACTGGCCCAGTATACTCAGTGGATCACGGTTGTGTGTGGCTTGAGGTAATTGATGTTGCAAACGCGCAGATGCGCCGCATTGTCCTCGGAAAGATCCCGGGTATGGGCTTGGCTTCTAGGTCTCAGCCGGGATCCGGAACTGAGAACTCGCTGGCAGAGCAGGGCATGCTCCTGACAAAGCGTGAAAGTCCTCAGACAGAGCATCGCAAGGTGCAGATGGAAATGCCCAGTTGCGTCGCGTGTTGCGAGATGGACGATGGGCGTTTGGCACTTCTGTTCGCTGATTCTCACATACGCATCCTGGAGATTCGCAAAGGGCAACTGGCAGTGCAAGAAGCGCTTTACAGCAGCATGCTTGGCAAAGCAGGCGTCGAGCCCAAATCAAGCGCTCGTGGCATGGAGTCGGAGGAGGACGATTCTCAGGACACTGATGCTGACGATGATGTGGGAGAGTTTGAAGCGGGGCCGGACGAAGGTGAGGGTGAGGATGCTGAAGATTCAGACGGCGATGAGACATCAGACTCTGCATCCGGAGCGGCCGGAGGTTCGAAGGGCAAAGGGGGGAAAGGCCGAGGCAGGCGGGGAAAGCGGGGGAAGCGTGGGCTGCGGGGACGAGGTTCCGGGGGTTCTGGGAGAGGCTCCAAGGGATTCAAGGGCTCAAGTGGCTCAAGCAGCGTTCGTGAAGCAGGCGCTGGAAAGGTTCTGCAGAAAGCTAGAGAGCGCGCCATGCTTGCAGTCGGAAGGGAGAAGTTGGAGCTTGAGCTCGCTGACCTCGATATCGCAAAGTACGACGAGCTCTTCCGAACTGTTGAGAAAGAAGTGATGCAACTGCGAGTGATTCTTCAAGCAGTGGAGGCCAAAGAGAAGGAGAGGACTTGGTTGCGAGGAAAGGTCGTGGGTGAACTGGACGACAACAAGATTGTGGATTTTGCCATCGGCGAGAAGAACGTGTTCAAGCACCGTGGCCAACGTGAAGACCCATCCATGACGCAGTCCATCCCGAAACGCTTGTCTTTTGTGGTGGACGTCAGTGGCTCGATGGCAATTTTCAACGGCGACGGTCGGCTTGATCGGCTTTGTGCCTCCATGGTGATGGTGATGGAGGGTTTGTCTGGTTTGGAGCACAAGTACATCTATGAGATCATCGGCCACAGTGGCGAGACAGACTGGCTGCCTTTCGTCAAGATGGGCAAAGCTCCTCGCAATCGTGCGGAGCGGTTTGCAGTCGTCAATGCTATGGCGGACCATGCCTCATTTGCCCGCAGTGGCGACAACACGTTGTCAGCTGGCATCAAGGCCACTGTTGAAATCGTCAAGGAGAAAGCAGATGACTACTTTGTTTTCTTAATCTCCGATGCTAACCTCCGAGGCTATGGCATCTCCCCCCAGGATCTGGCTACAGCACTCACCAGCGACCGCCGGATTAATGCCCATGCCATATTCATTGCAGAGCCAGAGATGGCAGAAGAAATGAGATTGTCAATGCCGGCGGGCCACTCTCATCTCGTGCTGGACACTGAAGACTTGCCACTGCTTTTAAAGAACATTTTTGCAAAGGCCGTTCTTACGGGCCCTTCGCCAAGCAAGCTCTAGCCGATGGTGAGTTGGTCTTGACAGCCTGACATGTGGAGGTCTTGCTAACGTGCAGCGCGACATGGCTACGTACGCTTTCTCGCGCTCAGCTTCGACATGCTGCGAAAGAAACAAGAAGTGTTCGATTCAACATCATGAATCATGCCTGGCTTGGCTTCGCGAAACAAAAGCATGTTGGGTGTGCAGAGCGCAGGCCTCTGGTCAGTGTTATCCAGTGTTCAGAGACGTGCAGGGTTTCAGGGGGCGTATGTTGTTGAAGCGGGAGATGTCATGCGTTGAAGGGGCTGGCGATTGATGTAGGTTGAAGTAGCCGTCCAGGCAAGATGACAATCACACTTGCCCAGAACATGAGGATGAAGTAGAGCTGAAGGTGCGGCATGGGGCATATGGGGCATCTTTGGTATCGGCATGATGCTGGAATGTTCCGTAAGGTTGGGATATGTGCCATTGCTGCCATTCCCTCCAGGTCTCCTGGGGGGACTTGGGCGGAGCCTGCGAAGAGCTCATCGAGTACGAGGCAACTCTTTGCAAAGTCACATCTCAGACGTGTGCGATCTTGCAGCTGCCCTGCTTCTTCAGCCAAGCTGTGAGGTGGGATCGTTTGTCTCAGCAGTGCCTTCTTCTGGCAGTAGGACCTTTTAGGATCGTTTAGCTCTTATGCCCCGTTTTGACAGGGCAGTCCCCACATAGCCATTTGCGTTTATGCCAGTTGCAGGACCCCATTCCGCCGAACATCTGGATGGTGCACATGTTGCCGGAGAATGCTGCGCTGGGCTGAGCCACTGATTATTTGCCTTTCTTGGCTCTGGCTTGTCAAAGACACGGCAGGTCTTCAGCAAGAGATTTGCTGGGGAGAGCGCCGGAGGAAGTGGTGACCATTATGCGTGGCTATGTCTGGAAGTTCAACAACGGAGTTGAGCTGTCCTCCAAAAGCCTTAGCAAGTTGACGAACTGGCGCAGGCCCAGTAGGATGGAGTAACAGTGACTAACAGGTCTGACCCAAGGCGTCATGGTAATGCTGTGTGTTGTTTGTTGGTGCTCAGAAGGACAAAAGGAATAGAACAGAGCTAAGAAGTAAACAGCGTGACAAGAGAAAGGAAGGAGAACATGAAGAAGAGTCATAAAGACAGAAGAAGTACAGGAACTGAGAGGAGGCCTCAATCATGATTCCAGTCAAGCAACCCAACTTCTTTTTCGCGGTCGGGCACGCTCAACAGAAAACGCAATGCCTCGATGAACGCAGTTGTGCTTGTTCGTGTTTTGGTCAGCCGAGGGGGAAGCTCAAGCAGCTTGGTATACTGTGCGCAATTCGTGGGGCGGAAGAACGTTGCAAATGAGCAGCGGGGAACACACCCCCACTATGGCAAAGCCAAGCCAAATCCGAGCCATTTTGAGGCCAACCTGTTTCGTCGAGACGCAGTTCCTGCGACGGTTTTGCAATTGACGATGGGCATGTGCATGGGATTCCAGTCTAAAAAGCAACGGCAATTCTGTAAGTCTCAAGCGATGTGCGCACGGGGGAAAAGAAAACACCAAAAGCCAAAACGACAAAGCAAAAGAAAAGTCATAAGTTCTTAGAAGTCCTTCGACAGTTCCTAGGCCCCAGGTCTCTGACCAATCCTGGCACTGTAGACTACGCCGGCCTTGCAATCGTAATGGCAGTGGCTCCATTGGTGACCGGAGCAGGCGGATCTTTTGTCTGCAGCGCAAGGCCTCCACCACAGCCAGCAGCTCAGTCTGGCCCAGAGAAGTGTCACAGCTCCGTCCATCCTTTGGTTTGAGGTCATAACATATCTCTCCGAGTGCCTGGGCTGGTTATGGCCAGTCCCAAATTTGAGGAGTGGAGCGGGTGAGGGCAAGAATGCTATAGAAGCGCGAAGAACTCAGGTCGTTTGGCTTGTAACATTGGAACCTTTCTGAAGCCCAGCCGAGGAAAGAGAATGGCGTCTTGCAGCTAGCTTGCGTTCTCCAGAGTGCTCACGCCCATATTTGTCCATGGCCACTTGGAGTTCCTGGAAAGTTCAGGATCTGGTGTGTTTTCGATTCATGACCGGGGGGCATCTCAGCTCTTTAAGAACTTTGTCACACTTTGTCACAAGGCGACAGGCTTGCAAAGTGACGCGGCTGCCAAGTGTCGACTTGGAAGCCCTGGAGTCCAAGAGCCGAGAGGCCTCGCATCACATGGCCTAGGGAGTGAGGCTCAGGAAGATGGTCTGTTCGGTTTTACCGTAAACCCTAAACCCCTGCCATAGTTGTGGTACCAGCAGCTAGGGGGGGGTGGCAAAGAGTATATATCACTGTGTTGATTGTTTGCCTTCCCAGGAGCTAGCCTTGGCAAGTTTCCAGACGTTGGCGCCTTCAGGACCTTTGCGACTCAATGCGGCAGTACGACGTGGCCTTTGCTGGACAGCCTATGAGTACCAGCTATGACACGGTCATCCCTAGTTGCCCCGTGGCGAATTCCTTAGAACATCAAGCTCCCGGCATCTTATGGAGAAATTCTGCCGAAGGCCCGGAATTGTTTTCGCGATTGGGATGAACCTCCTCGACGCCTCGAAAAACTATCGTAGGGCAATTGAGGCCAGATGAGTGCGGGCATGTCCGAGTGGCGAGTTAAGGTTTGCAGCCTTTATGCTTCAGACGGGATTCTTCGGCCCAGAGTTTGATCCTCGGGGCTCGTCCGGATGCCAGAGCCGCACGTAAAATTCTGCTGCTCTTGGTTTTGATCCCCACCTCTTCTTCTTCTCAAGTAGAATGCAGGGGCATGCTTTGTCTAAGGAAATGATGAAGGTTTGGGAAAAGGCGCTGCAAGAAGCAGTGCCAGCTCTGAGGATCGTGAGAGATGCAGACATGTCTGGGACGCTCAAAGCAAGTGGCCCAGCATAGGGCAGGCCAGGAGTGCTTGTTTGGGCACGCCTGCTTAGAACCTTACAGCATGGGCTTAGATATCCTACACGTCCTACACGTCCACGTTGGTCCGCGCTGACGCTCGCGCTGGACTGACCACTTGATGCCCGATACGAAAAGGCAGACTGCTGGAGCGGCTGGGATGGGTGCAACAGCAGAAAGAGAAAGAGAAAGAGCATCCTCCACAACAATGTCGGGGCACGCCGACCCTAGGGGTGGCTGGCCTCCACAAGGAGCATGTCGTGTCAATCTCGGGCCGTTTGCCTTGGAGCACGGCTTCATGAAAAGAAACCAGAACGGGAGAGAGACAGAGAATGACAGAGAGAGAGAGAGAGCCAGCCCTCTTTTGGGGATTCCTCTGTTCTGAAGAGAGTTGAAAAGTGGCGGAGCAGAGTGGGAAGCGACAGGCTGGCCTGGAACCCCGCAGCTGAGAGGGTAGCGAAAGATAATGTAAGTGAAGAGTTGCATCAAAGGCATCTTCAGACCGGCATGGACCGGAAACGTTTCATTAATGAATTCTAGTTTGCACCCTGTTTTTCCAGGTGGTAATACGCCACCTCACAGGCATGTGCCGCAGAAAGCGCGACCATGAAAGTGTACGAGATTGGACTGCCTCCCAGAGGCCAAAGAGTGCCCAAAAAGCGGAGAAACAAGCTTCCTGGACTAGAGCACTGGCATGCGCCGCACGTGGACTAGAGCACTGGCATGCGCCGCACGGGGTATTGCGAGGAGGTCTACACCTAAGCAGCGGCGATTCTACATTCGAAAGCTCGGGCCTAAGGGATGCTGATCACTACACAAACTCTCCAAAGTGGCTCTGGGGGGAGGCGGCCGTACGTCGATGGGTACTCACAGCCGGGCGACTGGGAGGCGGATTCGCACCATCTGATTTCATCCCAAGAGCAGCAGAAATTCGGTTGAGAGCCCCAAAGGACAGGACCGGCGAGGAGAAAGTGTTGGCTTCATAGTTGTGCAACTGCGGACCGTGTGCTGTTCAGCGTAACTGCACAGAGAGTATATGCTGCGGAATGTAGGTCTGAACCAAGCTATGAGGTGGTTGGGAGACGATTCCATGGTGTGGGTGTGCTCGGCCCAGCGCATCTGCATGCTTTGCGTGAACCAGCATCTGACCCGGAGAGAGTGCACATGATCTTAGGGACCCTTTCCCGAAGTACTTCAGCTGCCGTGCTCTGAGATTCCTGCAGTAAGACATTGCGCAACAGCACAAAATTTACCCAGACTGCTTGGACCAGCCTGACGTGATTGCTGAGTCTCTCCGATCTTCAAGCCGGACAAGGACCATGGAACCCGCCGCCACCGCAAACCGAACCTGCCAAGTGAGGAAGCCAAGACATGATGGTAGTCAGGGAGTAGCCCCTGACAGCTGACTGAGACAGCGGCCGATGCTTCAGAAAGGGGGCATCAATGCGTCCAGGCACGTGGTGATTCAATGTTGCCCATGGCGTCGTTCAGCACAAGGCTTTTTTGCCAAACCAAGTGATGGTCTCATAAGACTCATGAGGTTAGGTCAAGGCTACAAGCTTAGGTCAAGGCTACAAGTTGAGCAAACTCTCACACCCACTTCACGATTTGCTTCAGTGCAAACATATGCAAACCCACAAGGCCTATGAGAGCATCGAAAAGGGGGGGGCACAGGCGTAACAATTTGCAACCGTTCTTGCAAGCGCACTTTGTTGTACGATGGCCTCCAACCCACGCCGGCTGTCATGTCATCGCCACTCGGCACATACCAGCTGTTTGCACTTGTCGTCTTCGGTTCTGCAGATTGAGCTTGTTCAGTCTTCAGGTTTTACAATGCCAAGATCTGGCAGGAGGGAAAGCAAGGCGCAGCACCCAGTTCCTGTCAGACGCATGCTCGTGTTGTTGGGTTTCGTAATGCTCCTCATCACCGAGAAGTAAAGCTGGAGCAAAGCGGCAATCGAGGTCCTCCCCCGATTTTTTTGTCAATCGGCGTCCGCCACCCGAATCAGATTCAGCTGGACATCGCGATCCGAGAACAGGAGCGTGCGGAATGGAAGACATCGGCGTCACAACCACAATCTTGCATAGCCAGCACATGCAAGGCAACCTTGCAGAAGCTTTTCGAGTTGGTAAGCCAGGCAGGCTGCATCGTCCGCCATGCAATCTTCGCTCTTGAAGCTTTTTGCAGACAGCACTGAGAATTGCAGTGGCATCTCGCCAGGAGATTGGGCGCTTCGATGCAGGTAATACTGTCATTGCAGTAGCACAGGTTCCCAAAGTGGAGCAGGACTTCCCAGCATGTTCCCAAGAACTAGTGGGGCACCATTTTTCGTTGCAGCTCCAGGACCCTCACCTCATACCGTTTTGGCACAATCGGGCCCATGCCTCGGGGCACGGTGTGTACATGACCTTGCATGTACTGGCAACTTGTGTTGAGGTTTGGGTCGAGCTACAGAAGCGCGTGGGCAGCTCTATGTCGCGTCTTGAGCCACGAGGTCAGTTGTTGCAGCCGTGCTTAATCACGCAATTTGCAGCTCATAGGCAGTCGTTGGCTTGAAGGCTCTGGGACGAGGATGGGGCCGGAAGGTATTTGTACGTGTGTAAGGCAGAGAAGTAGCAGCCACCACAGGTCATAGCAGTAGCCATAGCCGCATCCAGGTAGAAGTAAGCGGAGCAGAAGTAGGTACTCGTGTCCGGGCTTGCAGGGTGTGGGCGGAGGGGTGGGGCAAAGGGCACGAGTATTGGAGCCCCTCCGGACTTGAGCATTCGCTGGGTTAGTGGTTTGTTCGCCTGCTTGTTTATCCTGCCGCGTCAACAGGCCTGTCCATGCTGGCATATGCGCTGGCTAGGATAAAAGACTGGGAGGACGAGAAGCTGTTTCAAGTTTGTTTGCCTTTTCGCTGTCAGTCCTCGAACTCAACTCATGGCGCAAAGTTGGTCAGGACCCATCCATGATTCAAGCTTTGCTAGACAGATCTTTGCAGAAAATCGATGATTTCGGCCCGACAGATGCGGCCAAGCCTGTCAGCTGCAAAGAGCTGCTACTGCAAGTGTCACCAGCACACAGCTTGCAGCGAACCTGACTTGGCGACTAGGCTCGCCTGGGTTTTGGCAAAGCGGCTTCGCGGCAATTGTCCCCGTGGGCGTCATTGCAGCACTTGTTGGCGAGGTTCGGGTGAGTCTGAACATCGCTCAGTCAAGGCTCCAAATCCGTGAGCGTGGAGATCTTTGGATAGCCCTTTCAAAGGAAGCGGCACGCAAGATCTGTAGCTGAGCTGCATGCGGTGCCAACATGTAGAGCAAGCAAGTGGGGGCAGACTCAAGTCTAAGCGGAGCATGACGTGCTGACTCATACAGAACTGTTGCTTAAACAACGCTGCTTACTCAAACAGAGCTGTTCACTTCAGCTGTGTAGCCTGGTGATCCGAAATGCCGAGGTAACTCGGGCAGGTTCATCGACATCTCCATGACTGCTTGGGCATTTGCAAAAGCTGGCATGGCAGAGCGGGTGCTTTTCGGGCAGCTTGCTTCCGCAGCCATGGACTGTAGTGAGCTGCCACCGAGACTTTGCTGCAAAACGGTGCCTGTGCCTCCTGAAGAAGCGTAAGAAAGAATAGTGTGCCAGTGCACGCGAAGATATTGCCACGGGCCGACCAAAACAAATATTGTTGAGGCACACCATCGCGAATCTGTGCTGGGCTTTCGCAAAGTCCAAGAACCACAATCCGCCTCTTTTTGACATGTGGCGTGGCTGCAATATGCTGCAACCGATCAGTGTCCAGTTGGTGCAGCAGGTTCGACCATCTGGCTTGCATCCGCCGTCCTAGGCTCGCAAAGCGGGCCATTGAAGCGTATTCCTCGTTTGATCGTCAGAGTGCGGCATGTCAGCAAGCCTGTCAGCAAGCCTGAGTCTACCTTCCGGGTCCCCGGGTCTCAGAGCAAGTGCTTGATTCATGCCAAGCACAGGTGTCCAATCTGGTTTGGGCGTATGCGACGCTGGACGTTTGCCATGAAGAGCTCTTTGCTGTTTTTGCAAACTACACCGTGGCGTAGCTGCAATTAGCCCTATGAGGGCATCAAGCTTTCCACCCTTGCATCCTTCGTCCCTCTGTTACTCCAGATCGATAGCGGCTTATGGCGGCAATTCTCACCACAGATGGCCTCCAACATGCTGTGGGCCTATGGCAAGGTTCTGCCGGGAAGTAGCGTTAAGCTTTGTCGAAGACAAGCTCCGTAAATGTGTTCCCATGGCAGGTAGGCATTGCCCACATGCGGCTTTTCGACACCTTCGCTGAGTTCATTTCTATCAACATTGAAATCTTCGACAACCAGCTTCTTGTTAGCCGAAGAGACCCAATTTCCGTCTAGCTCGTTTGTTGTATCTAGTCAGTAAAGCATCTTGGGAAGCCGCAAGTTTTGGAAGGAACATTGCCAACTCTGCCTGGGCATATGCGACGACCCAACTGCCAAGCCTCTAGGTGATGACAGGACATGCTTCTCACACTTGCTCAGTGCAGTTTTGGGGCACAAAAGCGCAGAGTGCCAGCTCTGAGGCAAACCGGTCTTTGACACCTTGACACGCAAGGCGTGTGGGCGTCTGAGCAGCTTTCGTCTGGATGAGCTATGTGGACTGATGTGCCTGCGGCCGCAAGAGAATTCAGGTTGTCATGCACCAGAAACCAACTTCTTCTATCCACCTTAGAATACAGTTTTGCTGCTCAGGTGGGCCTATGTGAGAGCGAAGCCGGAGACAGTGACTTGAAAGTAAAAGAGAGCACGAGGGCTCACTTCACGAAGGGGACCCTTTTGAGCCAACACAACTCCAAAAATTGTGGCGAGGTAGCTTCCAGTACGATTTTTGAAGAGTCCGTTCAACTGCTCCAACCTCGGGTCACGACGCTGGACGCACAAAGCGTTGCCAACGCCAGGTGCCCAGGAGTTTGAGTGCGAGTTGCAGGAGCAGGCAATCGTCCATAGTTGAACGGCTCAGGTCATTTGGATCCTTGCTACTTGCCAGCAGCTTCGAAAGCAACCTGTTCCTGGTTCCCGAGATCTTGTCGCCTGAGTCTGAGACATTCAGCTTCACTTTCGTTGGGCATGTGTTTTCTTAGTCCGAACTTGCTCCACCTGGCATGGCTCATGCCTGAACATTACATGGTTTGCCCTTGTCCTTGGGCCCAAGAGAACGGGAGACAGCGCAATGGGCCCAAATGTCGGTCAGTTTTCCTCAGGGCCCTTTTCGGGTCTATGCGATTGAGAGCAGGTTGTTTAGATGACGCAGCTCATTGCGGGCAAGTTCCAGGTGTCTGAGAAGATCGGCTCTGGATCCTTTGGTGATATCTACATGGGGACCAATGTGCAAACGGGAGCACCTGTGGCGATCAAGCTCGAGTCCGTGCGCGCACAGCATCCGCTACTCGTCTTCGAGTCCAAGCTTTACAAGCTGATCTCCAACGGTATGCAGATTCCATCTGTGCACTGGTACGGTGTTGAAGGTGACTACAACGTTATGGTCATTGACCTTCTTGGGCCATCACTTGAAGATCTCTTCAACTACTGTGATCGCAAGTTCACGCAGAAAACAATCGCAGCCATCGGGCAGCAAATGATCGATGCCATAGAATATGTTCACTCCCGAGGCTTCCTTCACCGAGATATCAAACCAGAGAACTTTCTGATGGGCGTTCAGAAGAAAGCAGGTGATGTGTACATCATTGACTTCGGCTTAGCAAAGCGCTACCGGAATCCGCGGACTAGCCAGCACATTCCATTCCGAAATGACCGGAAGCTGACAGGAACCGCTCGGTACGTCAGCATCAACACACATCGAGGTATCGAGCAGAGCCGTCGGGATGATCTCGAAGCCATCGGTCAGCGACTCAGATTCTTCGGATTCCTTGAAAGGCTTCGGAGCACTGTGGGGGGAGGGGGGGAAGGGTGCATGTTCTAGATACCTTGGCCCTTGCTCATTTCCACTGAGGTTATGTCTTGATGTACTTCTGCCGCGGCAACCTTCCCTGGCAGGAGAGGTACCTTGGAGGCCTGAAGGGTGGTTCCAAGGAGGACAAGTACAGGCGGATCTTGGATAAGAAGGAGAGCACACCTTTGGAGATCCTGGGGAAGGCAGCTCCGTCTGAGTTGAATGCCTACCTCAACTACGTCCGCAATTTGTCTTTCGAAGACCGGCCAGACTATGCATGGTGCCGCTGGCAGTTCATCATGATCATTAACAGAGAAGCTAGCAGTGGCTTCGACCGTATGGGGGATTGGGACTGGGATTTGCGGTACATCCATGAAAAAGAAGAGAACGCAGCAAGGTATGGTGATGCTGCAGTGGATCATGAATTGGCCTTGGCAGACAAGCTCCGCAGAGATGGGGATCGGAGCCGGAAACAGGCTCCCATTTTCCACAAAACTGGAGAGCAGACTGAGGTGCCTCCAAAGCAAGGTAATGATGCTCAGCCCGCCGCAGATTCACATTCTGCTGCCGCACGGGTTTCCGAGGCTTCTGGCGCAGAAGGTGAACCCACGGCTGCAACCGTGGGGACGCCAGTCTCCAGAGGTCCGAAATACTGGGCAGAGGGCAAGGTCATGAAGGCCGAAGATGAGAAGCCGGAGGTTGTGCAGTTCAACAGTCCCATTGGAGCTGCGTTCACAATTGGGCGTGCAGCGAACAATGACTTATCTCTGGCGGTACCTGCAGTTAGCGTGTCGCACTGCAGCCTGCGACTCCAGGATGATGGTGAAGCGGTTGTGCTAGCTGACACTTCGCTCAATGGCACGTTCATCAACGGAACGCTCGTAGGAAAAGGCAACGAAGCCGTGATTCCCAACGGCGCCGTCATCACGTTCATCAAGAACAAATCGTATCCACAATTGGTTCTCCGAATGAAGACATGATGTGAATACAAACGTGGCAGCGTGAGTATCCCGCTTCCGTTCCTTCATTGGCTCCGGCTTCAGCGTTTCACTCCAACATAACTTACCACAAAGCGCCTGTAGCAGCTGCATTAGCATTCTCGTGGCAGCACGAAGACTGCTTGTATCACTGTTCTCGGCAGAGCCCTGAAGCAGGCTCGAAGGCCGATTTGACAGCTGCTAGTTGGAAAGGGGAAAATTGGCAGCGAGCCTGGTCTCGGGTGTTCAACAATTGCTCATGTGCCGAGCTCGCACAGACTTACGTCAGCCATGTCTCGGCTTGAAGTGAACAATGACACCAGACGGCAAGCTCTCATGCCAAGACACACCGCCAGTCCGGCTGTTCACAGATCACACATGTACAATTCAGCACTACCTCCACCACTGTCCGTTCCGCAGATGGCTTTGCTGCACGCCACGTTGCTGGCTGACCAAACCCTGGATAAGGATGAACTTCCCGACTGCGAGGCTGAGATTCAGCAATCTTCGATCAGCGTGGCAGGCAGGAGAACAATGAGAACACAAACCGATCAATGTTTTCCAAGGCTTGCATAATCATAGCTGGAACGGATGCATGAAGACCTATGAGTTTGATTCTGGCCCCTGAACGGTTTTGGGCTTCACTGGGGTCCCCTGAGATGTGGCTTCCGGGCCACTCCAATAAATGGCTGTGAGGGTGAAAATGGGAAAGCCATTTGTTCTTAGGGTGTTAGGGCCCATGTGGTTTTTTGTTTCCATTCAGAAGCAGGCCAGAGAGCATAGAGATTAAGAACTTAGAGAACATGCCTTACAACATGGTGCGCACCACGTACTCCTACATCTCCTGTACTCGTTGCATGATCAAAGATGATTCTGTAGAACAACCCGTAGTAAACATGAGTTCCATGGAAAGGAGAGATGGCCCTCTGTTTTGCCAGCCTCCAGCTGCTCCATCCCCCCCCCTCCATCCCCCCGTCTCCGAGAGACTGGCAATCTCGCCCCCCAGGCAGGCCAGAAACGTTCAATTTGCTGGAGGGCTCTCAGGATCCTGCCTCAGAGTTCTCGGCGCCATCATCCGGTCGCGAAGTTGGCGATCGAACTTGCTACGTGAAAGCAGACCGAACTGCTGGGCTGCACAACCTGGGCAATACATGTTTCATGAACAGTGCCCTACAGTGCCTGGCAAACATTCCAGATGTTCGGGTGCTGACGCCAGCGGCTCTGCCTTCTCAAACTTCCCGCGATCGCGTTGTGGCCGAGTTTCAGCGGTTGATGCATGCCCTATGGGACCGAAGATCGGACACAGTGAACCCTTCAGCCCTCAGGGAGTCCATCAACGGCTGCACTTCTGCATTCGGTGTTTGGGAGCAGCATGATGCAATGGAGTTTCTGGAGTTCCTTATAAACCATCTTGCAGAGGGTTCAAAAGCATCGGGCGAGGAGGCACCCTCAGCTTCGCCACCTAGAGATGGCCAGAGCAGCACACCTGGAGCCAACTCCGTCCAGGATGGCGATGGACTTGCTCCTTTGAGTTTTTTTACTGGGCTTCTGAAGACAACGATTTCGTGTCCCCACAGCAGCTGCGGTACCGAGCGGGCGCGAGTAGAACCGATCACCTCTGTGAAGTTGCCAAGCATCGATCCCAAGCTCAGTGAGCAAGATGACGTCACTGTGATTGTTGTGCCAGCTCCGTCCTCTGAGCTGCCGATTGCTGAGCACAGGGTCTTCGTCGAGCGGGCTGCAACTGTCGAGACGCTGCTGGACGTGGTGACCACCAAAGCAATGCTGGCACGCACCGCGTGCCTTTGTACCACTTTGGAGGAGGGTCGCCTGATCGTCTGGTCAGAGCACACTGAATTGAAGGAGTTGAGACAGTTGTTGAAACAGCCTGTCAGAACGACTTCCTTTCTCATCTATGAGCTGGAAGCCGAAGACCAGGCTTTGTGTGTCAAGCTTTCAGCTGACAAGGCAGAGGTCTCTGATGAGGATGAAAGGCGGGTGTGCCCCGATGACGGCTTAGCGTATACCTTCCCAGAGTTGAAGGTAGCCTTTGAGTCAGAATATTCGCCCGAAGACCTTCGAGCCTATTGGCGTGATGCCATGGCTGTTGCACCATCTGCCATACCTGCTGGGGCACAGTCCGCTGTCATTGTGCATTGCCGCCTGGACAGTCCAAGGCTGGTTGGGAGGATGCAACTTCCCAGGGGGGCCTCCTTCACCACATATATCTGGGCTCGCAAATGAACGTATGCACAACATACAGACAAAGGAAGCGCCTACATAAGTTGAGCTATTGTATCCACTATTGTATCTACATCCATCTCCTTCTCTCAACCGGCCAAAGCCATGGCTCAATATATGTTTTCGTAAATTCACTTCTTCAGGCTTAAGGATGGGGTCCGGGTCAAGGTCTCTTTTCGGGCGTCAGGCTGCTGAGGTCGGCATATGGCCCTGTTGACGCTGAGGCAGCAGGCGTTGCAATTGAACGGCTTGGGTCAAGCAGACAGCGTGTAGTTTTTGGATTGCGCACATCTGATCGTGCTGTGGCACAAAGGGTTCTTTGGGCATGCTCAGTAGAAACTAAGTTCCGCAAAATTGTGAGCACAACAAGACAAAGAGCTTCCTTTTTGAGAACCACCCTTGGTAAGCTTTTGTTGCCATTACGGCACGGCACCCTGAGGACGCGAAGCCGCATTCTCGTTGGCATGCCGCTGCTGTTTGGCATGGAAGCTCGGCCACGGAACAGCTTAAGGGTGGGAAAATGTTGCCCAGTTGTTAAGTCTTAAGCCTCCACCCGCAGTCAAATGTCAAACTGGTTCATGCTGCTATGATGTCTAAAAGCAATTGTGCGGGGGGGGAGTTTGTGATGCCTTGCTGTGGCGCTCAGGACAGAGTCACAAGTCAATGCCAGCTTGTCGATGCGATCAGAGTGCAGCTAATGCTGAGATATAAGTTGGAGGATGCTTCAGGCTGGCTTTTGTACCAGACAAGTGCCGGCTGGGATGCTGCCAAAGCCGATACGCTGCTTGGCCACGAGTCATCACCCAGCACTGGCCCCATGTCGCTCCGTGAATGCGAACACCTGGTAGTGCATTGGGAAGCTCCTCCAGGACAACTGCTATCAACCTTCAGCAACACTGGAGTCTTGGGAGACACTGAGGAGACTTACAGCCTGGAGGCTTGTTTTACCTGGCTAACTGATACACAACAGCTCTCAGAAGACAACGCCGTTCTGTGCAGTGGGTGTCAGCAGAAGGTGGAAGCCCTGAGCAGAGTGCAGCTTGCTCGGATGCCCGTGGTCCTGGTTTTGCACCTCAATCGCTTTGAATATAAATATGGACAGCGCAACCGGCTCTTCACTTCCATACGCTTCCCCCTGGATGGGCTGGACTTGACCCGGTTTAGTACCGGACTAGAGACAAATCAGAAGATTACACCTGCGGAATCTGATGGACACACTGGCATTGACGGACCACCTGTTTATGATTTGCTTGCTACCATCGTCCATGCCGGAAGCGCGTGCTTTGGACACTACACAGCCTGCATCCGCTCTTTGAATGGGGGCTGGTATCTCTACAACGACGAGACGGTAAAGCAAGTGACTGCTGAGGATGTGCAGGACACTCGAGGCACCTACGTGCTTTTCTACCTTCGCCGAGATCAGCGTCCACCGACCTGGGAAAGACTCGACACGTGACTCGGCATGGCTCGGGTCGCACAGGCCTCACGCACCCCGAGGATGATCTACGTCGACAGCGTCTAGAGCCCACCTACCCCAAGATCGAGAGCAGTGGCAGCCAATCCTGAGATGCCTTCCATGCTTTGCACCAGACAGTACAGAGACACAGCCCCCGAGGCTGTGTGCTAAGGTTCTTTGCAGGCCCCCGTGCATTGCACACACCATTCGTGCAGACTGCGAGGTATGAGATGTGCTCGCTTTATCATCTTGTGCAGACCAAAAATCTGCTCCGAACTACCTGCCACGATCATGATCACCCTTCCTTAGCCTTTCTTTGCACGGATAGCCATGCAAAGCTCTGAATGCAACATGAGCTCAGGATAGCTTGATGGTGGCATCGTGCTAAGACTGTGAAGATCTTGCGAATTTGAGAAAGCCTCCTGCTTCCCAAGCGAGGCTTTGTTGGACTTTCGAGTTCGACTAGACTCCGAGGGTGCTGCACAAGTTATTTGGGCACTTTGGCGCATGGGTCGTATTCTCAGATTGAAGTTGGCTGTGTTTAAAATTGGACCCCTTCCCTCATTTCCGTGGGCCCTCTCCGATGCTGCGCGGAAAAATGTGCAGGCCGATTCCATGATGCGTGGACCCTCTTTGCAGCTTGGCCATGTTGGTTTTGTTCGTTCCACATGCCTGGGTGCATTGCCAAGCAGGTTCGTACCCTCAGTGACGGCCGTCATCCAGAGCATGGCAAGACTGGATACACCAAGAAGCATGCCGTCGACGGGCGGCAGTCGGTCACTCAGCACTTTTCAACGGAGGGTGTGATTTTTGGACTCCTTTTTGCCTTTTCACTTTGCCCCCGGTTCTCTAGCCCCCCATCTCCCTGGTCCTTTGGTCCCCAATCCGCTGGTTTGGCTGGGTAAGTGCTAGGTGACTTCTCGACTTGTTTGGGCTTTTGGCTTGAAGGCATCTTCGTCGGCTTGGTAAATGACATTGCACTTTTGGTTTGATGCCTTTTTGGGTAGCTTTCGAGAAGCCCGTCGGGTTGGTGCCTTGTGGGTCTTGGGGGCCGACCTTACGTCGCATGTATTGTGTTAACTGACAGGGAATGGTGCGGCGAAAAGTACGATCACTTTTTAGATCATGGTCATCATTGTAGCTGCGGCCACTGTTTCTGTTCTTTCAAGGTGTAAGGTTTATGTGATGCAGCGATGCAAAACCAGAGTGCTGGCCACCGATTTGAACAAGTGAAATGGAAATCGGCGTGTTGCAGTGTGTTGCCTGTGAAGCAGTGTGTATACTGCATTCTGTTCCAAAAGAGCCCCTATGTCTATATGATCATTGCAGCTCCCGATCCTTCTTGAGCCTCAAACACCTTGAAAACTGCAGCGGAAATACTTAGTGCCAACACACCACTCTAACCTCTGAGCAGCTGCTGAAAACCCGCGTTCCCCAACATGCATACCCAACCTAGCACTACCATCCCTACATGGGCAAGCTCTTCCTTTCATACTCGTAGCTTGGTTCCTCAGATGTGTTCTGATCACCGTTGCTAATCTTTGCTAGCCAGGGCCGTTCCTCAACTTGTCTTTTGCTGCGAGTATTCAACTTAGTGGTTTCATGCTTTAGCATTAGCACGGGACCTTCTGTCCATCGTTCATCGTCACTTGCGACAAGGCGTTATTATCAGACATTGCTCATGGAGACCGAGCACCGAGGCGATGTGCAGAAGCAGGCCATGCCAAGCAAGGGTCAAGTCGTGTGGGCGGCATCTGCCACCGACTAGGAAACTAAAGAACTAAAGAAGCTTACAATCAGAAATTTGATTGTACCACCAGGTGTTCTTGTGGAAGCAGATGGCAGCAGACTTCTATTCGCGGAATCTGCGCACAGCATGCCTAAACTGTGCCATGGCCAGCAGCAGCAGCTGGGAGGGCATGCGTAGGTGCACACAGGAACAAGCTACAAACATTTGCAAGGCTTGCCGGTATGTCTTGCTCCTGTCTGTAGCAGGATCAGGAGGCTGTTGCAGGATGGACACCTTCGAGATGACATTGTGTTTGCGAGCGAGCATACAACCGTCGCCAAAAATGGCTCAAGAGTGGCACCACTCCGCTCCATTTCAGTCCGCCTTAGCGAAACTTAGCAAGCAACGGCATGAGCTTGGTGATCCAGCTCTTGTGCAGACGTCGGTGCGTGCGAACACAAAGTTGGGTAAAGTCGGGAGCGCGACGAAAGTCACGTGAGCCTCACAGTTGCTATGTTCCTCCACCGGACGGGAAAAAACCAAGGAAACATCTTGAACTGCGAACCTTGCACTTCGCCTGGCCGACCCCTGGCCTTCGCTTAGCTGCTTACTTGTGGCTTGGGACGTTCCCCCTTATAACTAAACTAACAGTCCTTAATAGCGATTCTAATCGGGGGTACTATGATCCCTATTAAGGACTGTTAGTATAGGGCGGCACATCCCAACTTGTGGCTTTCTCATGTCGTGGTTAAGACATTGCCATGCTACCTCTTCTGACGGATGACCCTCATACCCTGTCGAGGAAATGAATCCATACGCTGAACAGAAGCTTGGCTTCGTTGTGCCGGAAGGTGACGCACGGTGAAATGAAGGTGGGAGCAATGCGCGTTGCTGCAAATTCAAGGCAAAACTTTGCCCCCCAGAGTTCTGGCTTGTTTGGAGGAGCCTTGCCTCATTTGGGTTTAGGGTCTAGGGCTTCAGGTCCAGGATATGCAAGGGCCGCTAGGATGTCGAAGGGAAGCCTTGCTGGTTCTTTCGCTGAGGCTATGAGGCGATCCAGAATTTCAACAAGGGGTTGTGGCTTCCCTCAAAGCGGAAGATGAACTTTGTGCCTATGCTGGTGTGTGGGGCTGAGATATCTTCGCTCTGCAATCGGCTTCGATGGGTGCACCATGCTATCAGTTTTCTGGACCCTGACACTAGAGGTGCTCGCTGGTTCCCTGGGCGCTGTTTGTTCTGGTGTATTGCACTTCAGCAGCAGCTTTGTGAAGCTGAGCCGCGAGGCCACGAGGCACTTGCTGCACAATATGCATCTGGCTCAGGCCTTATGGCCTTCCAGTTCCACTACAGCCAACCGACGCTGTGCTACATCGCCGTGTTCGGGCTTCTTCTGATTGTTCTGGCAATTGGCATCAAGGCTCGAGTTTCTAGCCAAGCGGGGCGTCGTCATGAGTCTTTGCTCTTGCTGCAGAAGACCATGGCGGACCGTTTTTGGCAGGCACTGGCTGGACGATTCAGGATCTTCAGTGGTGTGCAGGCGGAAAGAGAGCCGCAATCGGCTCAGAGCAGCTGCTGAGCAAGTGGTAAAAGAAACCAGCATATACGTACTCGTCGGTATCTCCACATCAAACCCTGAACCCTCAACCCTAAACTTGACAAGGTCATGGATGATCTTCTTCGCCGCGTCCCTGCTCCTCGCGTGGATTGTCGGCTTCCTGCAGGGCGGGAACAACTTCTCGGCGAGCACAGGGTGCCTTAAAGGGTTTAGGGTTTAGGGGTTTAGAGGTTTAGGGTTTAGGGTTAGGGAACTTGTGTGCAGCCGGCTGCAACTCGACAGCGGTCGCCTTGGCTGTGTCGGAGGCGTTACTATGACCTGGGCAACCTGAACAACTACACGTGCCCTCCCCAAAAGCATGTGGAAGACAGGTGCCACACTTGAAAGGCACGGTCCTGTGGCGCTGTGCCGAGGATGGTGTATCCGAATCGAATGCTTGGGCAGCAGCTGTTGGATGCCGGGATTGTGCAGTTTGCACCTGGGAGCCAACTGGACATCAAGAAGTCCATGGGCCCCTCGTCATGATAAGGCTTGTCATGAAAGCGCTTTCACTGCAAGGCTTCGTCAAGTCCAAAGTCTCCGCCCAACTAGGGCCCCGGTGCACGCGATGCAGTGGTGCCTAAGGCTTCAAGAATGGACAGGTCTATTGTGTGGTCAGACCCTGAGTTGCATGCACACATTCGTGTCTCAGACGTCGCAGCCACAGCACCGAAGGCACCGATTGTCTTTGGTACCACAACGCCCATTTCGTATGACTTCTGGGCCGTAGGCTCGATACCCAGGATGGTAGGGACAAAGACTATCATTATCCATGGCGGATGGCAGGCACAGACTGCTGCAGCGGGAACCAGCCGGACTTCTCCTGCCGCATCTTGATGCAGTTCTGCTAAGTCGATACTCCGGTCACTCTTGGTAAGTGAATGCCCGACCCTTGTGTTGTGATCTAAGGCAACTATAACAACCCACAAGCCAGCGGGGGCATCAGGCAAGCTTCAGGAAGGATGACAGACTGTCCGCAACACGACCTTTGCGTTTCAGGCTGATGAACAGCAACGATCGAGCATACTACAGGCCTGCAAGACTACTCGGGATCCCCCAGGCCCATCTTCATTAACTCTGTTGTGCCGGCTACTCCAGGTTGGCGGTGCAACAGGCTGAGGCAACGTATGACATCAAGGTGGGGTTGCAAGTTTGGTAAGTTAGCATCCATCGCAGAGCGGATAACTCGACGTATTTGCTCCACTCGGCGGCTCACAACCCTAGGGCTTAACAGGCCCCAGGCGGGCACGGAGCGACACGGCTCGTAATTCCTAAAGGGCCGATGGCTCCCTGATTGCCGCACGAGGAGGGCTTGAAACAAAGCTGGCGTGGCACCCCCTCCCCCCCCGTAATGTACATTGGGTCGTGTGTTGTGTTGACGAGTTCTGCTGGCATGCATGTCCGAAACGCTGGTCCTTTGCGCGAGTGAGAGCTGCAAGCTTTTTCCGCTTGTCCTGTTGCTCTTGCAATCTCGGGCGGGGGTGGAGCATCTGCAGGCCTCGCATCCCCTCTTCTTCACCTGGGAGGTAGAGCCTTCGAAGAAGGTGACCTTGCTGAATGTACACAAGCTGCTTGAGACACACTGATGGTAAGCGGTAGCCGGCCTCCTGAGGTGCAGCAATGGCTCACAGATGGCCATTCTGATCTCGCCGCGTGGATCTTGTCCTACCTCATCTTCCAGCACCTTGCATCCAAGATTGCATGTTCTGCACCATGCTTGCTGTCCTGGGCCATATGGAGCTGAGGATCTTCATTGTTGCGATTGCTTCAGTTGTGTTCTCCAAGATTGGCCACCAATGAAACTGGGTTGACTGCCGGCGACGGGCACTGCACGATTGTGGAAAAGAAAAGGGCCCGGTGTTCATGCTTGAAATGGATCCGCAACATTCCGCAACTCCTAACTACTATTGCAGGTACAACTTTGTACATTGTAAATGAAGGCTTTTTTGCAGGTACCTTTGAAAGCTAGAATCCTTCAGAAAAGGTCTCCAGGCAGGGGCTTTCAGATAACGCCGTCCCCATGAACTGTTGTCAGAGAATAGCAACAACATGTGGCGCATCGTGTCGAAGCCCAGGTGCTTTGATGGCTTACATACGTGCTGAAGATTCGGACGGGGCACGGGACATGTTACGGCAGATGGAATCTCGGCTGCAACCTATGAGTCTCTCTCGTAGCTCCGCCCCCTTCGGCCTGTATTTGCACGCGTTCCTTCTCGGTCCTTTCTGTGAAGGTTCGGACGAAACTCTTCAACCAAGTCACAGCGCCTTGCTGGATAATGTTCGGGTCGCTCATGAGTACATCTTCATGCAGCAAAGTCTTGTACCAGGGTCGTGCACAGAGGCTGGGACGCTTTTCCAAGGCATCGCTGGCAGCTCGAATAGGGCACAACAACTTGGAGGTGGGGGCTGAAAGGTGCTGGTGGTGGAGCCCGACGCATCTGCGCTTGTGACATTCCGCAGCGTCTTGCAGACCAGGACTCTGGTGCTCAATGTGAAAAGGCAAACAAGAAGAAGGGGCATGCAAATGGCATGGGTACAGCTTCTGCGTGCTAGTTAGCGTATGCAGCAGCATGACAAACAAAGCCTTCCAGTTAGACAAGCCCGTGACACACAGCGACCATGTCAGCTACGGCCATGGATTCGGTGCGGCTCGTTGCTGTTCACGAGCTGGAGGAATTCGCAGTTCGGGCTCACCCAGAAGATGCACTGAGCTGGTCCATGTATTCTGGGGATTACGTTCGCTTGCGATGCCTGAACCCTGAGCTTGTCTCCAAATGCAGCATCAGATGCCTCAAGGTTTACGAACTGGCAAATTGAGCTGTCAAGGTGCCGAGACATCTGCAGAGGCTTTTGTAGTACTCAACCCACCGGACATGTCAGCGGACGAGGGCAAGGATGCAAGTTGTGCCTGAATTGCAGTCAACCCAAGTTAACGCAAAGCTGCCAATGTTGAACCGCCCCGTCAGACGAGTCGTTCTCTGAAATCATACAAATCCCGAGGCCCCCTGCAAGGTGAGCTCTGGGTGGCTCCACGATTGCGGAGCTTGCTGGGAGGCATTCCTGGTGCCATGTGCTACAGTTGCTCAAGACGTCACTGGCTGCGGTGAGGTTCTTGCCAGTAGAAGCTCTGGCCAGGCGAAAAAGTGAAACTGGAGATTGCCGAGATAGAAGAGGCAGCCGTAGTGAAGCTTGGTACCTTGGAGGAATTTTGAGTTGCTACCCTAAGCCCTTAACGTTGTCAAATGATTGCAGACATGCCTGGAGCATCTCAGGTGGCCTCCCCGAGGAGGTGCGGTCGCAACGACACTAGTGCAACAAGATATGACTGTATTGAAGTATGAGAGTATTTTCAGTTATGTGGTTCTGTTATGAGATTAGATTACTATTTTTTGTTGTACGATTTGTATGTTCACAAGATTATGTTAAAAATGTCATTCGCATCTTGTATCTTATTGTGGATTATTGCATTCGTACATTTATCATATTAGTGTATGAGTGGAAGAAGAGCCTACTCGCATTCAGGCCGTGCAAGAGATGCACGGCTTCTTTGGGACTGCCAGTGGCCAGAGCTGTCTCACCATGCAAGGACTGGCCGAGGAGCGGGGGAGGGTTAATCGGGAAATATTTGGGGCTTTTGCAAGGATGACGCTGGTGCCATGCCAGGAAGAAGACTTGGAATTCGATGATGATGTTCTCGAGTATTGGCAGGCTTATGTGGAGAGAGGTCGCTGCGCCATGCGTCCCGTTTGGAGAGGCCTCACCTTCAAGGTACCCATGCCCGACCCGACCCAGACGGGCCACAACAGCAAACCGATCACCACTGCGTCGTTGGGACGTGGAGGTTTCAATGGTAGCGAAGACGAGGAACATGCTTGCACCAATACCTCTTGCGTTCGCGTGGAGGCTATTTTTGGACCTGGCGGCAAGCCAATTGACGCAGCAATTGTTGGCCCCGCAACCCGCTTGGAAGGGGAATCTTTTCGAGCCGCAGCGCCGGCCGCCTGAAGATGGAAATGTCTGACAGGTCAGGATGTACAGGACCATGGTACAGTGCGGACGAGAGCAGATCTGTCTTGACTGGCCCCGTGCCCGTGGCCTGTGGCCAATGATACCAAAAGGGGATGTCTGTGAGTCTAGGATGCTGTAGAATGTAGAAGCTCCGCTGCTGGCTGGAGCATCGTTGTTTTCAAGCCTTCTGTCAAGAGAGAACGGTGCAGGGAGAAGTTGAGCCTGCGACGATCGTTGACATTACATTGCGACGACGCCCCACCTGCCAGTCACGCTATGAAGACTTCCACTACAAGGTGCAGGGCACAACAGTGGTTCAGCATTGTGCCGCAGTGCATCTGGATGCCGCGCAGGAAGCCAGCGTGCTGGAAACAGTTGTCAGAGAAGCGACAGCTCGCGATGTCAAGAGTGTCGCGCTCTCAGGTATGTTCTGGATATGCTTGTGGGCGGCCCGTTGTCTGATCCATACCAAAGTTCCAGTCCCCCAAGGTCTTAAGGCAACTCCAAGGTCCACAAGCCTCAAAAATCCTTAACATCACAGCAGCTAGTGTCCCTGCACTGCTTGGCCGGCATTACAAAAAGTCGGTAGAGTTGTCTGCTGGGCAGGCGACTTAAGATGTGAGTAGAACAAGGCACCTCGTGATGGGGCTCGTTCTGCAAGCAAGGCTTCGTAGCTTTAGCTTCGGGGTTCAGCCTTTCCTACACCTTCCCGAACCGTCTCAGACTCCAACATTCCTGCTGGGTGCTTGAGGGGCTGCTGGAATTGAAGGTGCACGCATCAATCGAGAACGTCGGACTCAAAGAGGTTTGGCTCAAGATCGCAGGCGGCGAAAAGGCACGAGAAGACGATAGTGCTTGAATGCACGTTATGAAAGTACGGAACATCGACTAGTAGATGCTTGGCTTTGGAGGCGTGTGTGATTGATAATGTCATCGCGAAACAACGGCCAAAGCTGCAGCTCGGCATTTTGCAGCTCAAGGTGGCAAGATTTCTTTGGCCGATGCAAATCCGAGGATACTCGAGTTTGGGACCTACGTGGGCTACACGCTGCTTGAATTGAACATATCCAAGCTGGGGAAGTCGCAGGATTCCGAAGAGTATCACCACTTCTAAGAGCCGCTCTGGAGGTCCACACGCATGGCGCTCCAAGTTGAGGGATGGAACGGCAAGGTCGTTACCATGGAGATGGATCCTGTCAACGCATCTCACTTGCAGGGCGAATGGGTGGACCCCTTTCAATTTTCCCCACCCTCGGTGTAGAGTTGTTAGACTATAAACTAAGCTCTTCTCCGCCCATCAACCGTATCCCACCCCAGAGTATCCTCGGAGTGTCCCTGGAGTGCCAGAGTATCCCAGAGTGTCCCTCGAGTGCCTACGCGCAGAGTGTCTGAGGAGTGCCCAACCCCAGCGTGTCCCTGGAGTGGCAGAGTATCCCCAGAATGTCCTTGGAGAGTATTGGCAGATTGTTTCTATTGCCCCCTGGAGTGCCATATCCTCGGAGTGGTATCCCCGGTGGAGTGCCCGACCCCAGAGTATCCCCCGAGCGTCTGTGGATTAGAAAGATGTTCGAAGAAAGATTATTTAAAATTGGGGCTTCCGCCTTGACTCCAAGCCAACCAACCTGGAGCTCCGGAACATGATCACATCCCAGCCCAGGGTCTTGCTTAAGCTTGTCCTGACCCATAGAGGCACCTCTTGATCATACCAGGCATAGTCTCAAAAACGTTCCTGCTCCTCTGGGGCCTGAACACCTGGGCCTATTGTACCATGCAGGTGTGAGGCTGAAGGTGTCCTTTTCTGGGGCTTAGCACTTCTTTCGCGTCTCTGAAGTTGCCTATGGAACCACCACACTTTGGCTCCTTGTCGAGGGTCCAGGGTTCAAGGTTCAGGGCATAGCCGTTTGCTGCTTCCACTCCATAAAAACGCTCCAGCTCCTTTGCATACAGCGGTTAGCACTTTTCCGTTCGTGTTTCAATGTCAAGGCTGGCGGACAAGACACAGACTCAAAAGTGGCTAGGGGCATGCTGCATCAAGCTGCGACAATATGCTTGTGCTGCATTGACTGAGAAGCCTCCATAGTAGTTTCGCTGCGCGACGACAAGTTCCCTGATTGACTGAAATAAGAGAAATGCAACTCCCGACAACATCCCGGGGCGCGCCCAATCACAAGCCAGGCTGCGAACGGCTGCCTCATTGTAATCAGATTTTGGCTTTGGTGCAGCTGCGGAGATCTGGAACAACCACTGTTCTATGCATTGCCGATAGCCGCGCACACTGTTTGGGGTACACATGCGTGCACCCGATTACCTTGCAAAGAATTGAACGATTGAGCAAGATGTGTGCCCACAATGCCAGCATCAACGCCTGCTGAGGCAACTATAGCATCTCAGCTGCCAAGACTTCACGCCTAGCTGTTTCTAATTTCTTAGCCGGTCACACTAGGCGCGGAACCACATCGAGATGGCTGGCCTCTCTCACGTCGTGACAGTCCAGCTCGGCCATTCAGATGATGCTGTGCAGTTAGTGCTCGAGAAGTACGGCGAGCGGAGCGTTGACATGGTGCCTCAGTTGTCAAGCCTGCCCGTGATCAGGGACTGTCGTGCGCTTCTGTTTTCACACCATGGACAGGTGTTCATGGATCAGCGGGGGACAGCTACAACGCTGCATTGGAGCCAGCATTTGGCCTGTGATTGTAGGCTTTGGGACACCATGACACATCTCATGCCACGAAGGCTTTCCATGACGACTTGCAGAACTTGGATGCTCGAACTTGAAAACATGGCCAGCGATGCACAAAGGGGGCTGTGGCAGTTGTCTATCGAGACCGATGAAGATCTAGGATTAGAAAGCGGGCATCAGGAAAAGATGAATATTCTTGCCGACAATGCTGTGGTCGTCGCGGATGCTTGCCTAATAACCCTTCGGCTTATTCGATGGCATTTGGACTTTGATGTTTTTCTGCTCTGAGTGTGCTGGTGCTGGGACATTGTAAGGACAACGTGTTGAAACCTGGAGCGCCGTATCACGCGGCTCTTCGGCATTTTATCGCCAACGTGAGGCAATTTTCAGAAATTCGTCGGCAGACAGCTACTGCATGCGTTGGTCGGGGAGGGGCGGTAAAGCGAGGGGGGACGGAGAGTGTCAGAGCTGCAGAAGATGGAGTCGGACCCCACTTCATGAATGAGCAAGCATGGTAGAATTTGGGGGGGGGGGGGAGGGCAACCAACCAAGATGACTGCAGTTGCCGAAAAAGTGACAGGATGTGGGCGTGGGGGAGGTTGGGGGGTGAGTCTCGGGTGAGGGGAATTGTGGGTGACTGTCCGCTGTGATTTGCTTCAACTGCGCCCTGCTCCTGGCAGCCTCGGCCAGACGGTGAGAGGAGGAGTAGGTGGTCGGTACCTGGCAATGCTCCCCAACCGCCTACGGACGCAGCCCTGCAAATTAGTGAAGCTGGAACTATGTTTGAAGGTGCTGTATTTGGAATAGAGGCTGCCTGTAGCGAGAAGGTGTGGAGAATTTCAACATTGCCGCACTATGCCACTGCGTCCAAGCAGCACACATATTCTCATGCATACTTCCGTAGACCTCATGTCTCCACAGTCATTCGTGATTCCTATTGGGGGTCATCAAGGACATTGTCGATCTGCGAGAGTTTGGCTCAGCACCTGTAGAGGAGCTCGGCACTAGCAGCTAGCATGTCTAGGTTCATGTCATCGAGCACTGCCACAGGATTGGATGACGGTTTCCTGGGTACGCCGTGGAGAAAGCTATGGCCAGCTCCCAGCCGATGTGCGAGAGCTCAATGAGCTCGCACGAGAATCTGACAGGTTCAGGCATTGGAGTTGGTGCTGAGAATTCTGCCCGAGATGCTATGACAGAACACAGTTTGCAGGTTGAAGGCCATGGCAACATCTATGAAAGACCTCGTTGGTGATCCGCTCGACGAGTTCGCAAAGAAGTTTACAAATGAGTTTGTGAAGCTTGGCATCAGGACCTCGCTTCGAGATGCTTCGGGACCTTTCTGAGCTTGCAGCGCAGGCTTCATTGCTCGCACGTGCATGCGCAGGACCAGCATGTACGTGCGGACGGACATCCTCGATGGATGTGCCGTGTCCAAGTTGGTGCAGTTGGGGCCTGGTGAAGCTCCGCCCACCTGGGACGGAGAGGACTCAGCATCTGCTTCATTGCACCGTTAA